TGTTGATATAATGATAGGCAGTGGATATAGGCCACGCATGGGCAGAACAGAGTGGCACTGCACAACAACTGTATACACTCGGACCAGAAGCAACCACCTAACAAAAGTGAAGATAGAAATTCCTGCCTGTGGCTGGCGTAATGACGGAGACCCCCAAGAGCCACGTCTAACCCCACCCACGGCATCCCAAAATGACACGTGAGCATTTAGCGGGGAACTCTCCTGAAATGGGGGCGGGGTACCATGCAGCATAAACTTGTATTGTTGGCACCAGGCGATTACCCAACAGCCTCAGTAAGCCGTGAAAATACACTTCTTTTCGAGCTGTGCAATAAAAGCCAGGAGCAGGGCTATGGAAAAGCTCCCCCCCTGAAAGTGGCACAGGAAGGCCAACTTGAACCGTGTCGTGTGACCCGGTACTCCACTATAATCCTAATGAGCTGAAGTCGCCATTGTCAGCCAGTAGATGAACAGCTGGTGTATCTACAAACAGCGGTGCGAATCACACTGAGTCAAATATGAACTAAAGCTACACACCCTGAGCTCTCTCACTAAGAGTGTATGTCGTGGCGTGGTGTAGAAGATGCTGTGATTTTAAGTCGTCCGCGCATCGAGGGGAGAAAGACTGAAAGACTGAGCGTGAATGTAAATGTGTTTACATGCTCTTACAGCAGCCTTAGCAGGATAACCAAACCCATCCGCACTGAGAGATAGCTGTGAGAGTGCTAAAGGTACTAGACTGTGGAGGACGGGAGCTCTGGGTGAAACAGGCAAACAGCTTAACCATCGCTTAAGTTTGCGAGGCCTGCCAGTGAAAGCTCAAACGCATCTCCATTACTGCAACACATGAAAAGCAAGAGAAGAGCTGCAACGCACCTTTCGGTTTTACATGCACTTTGGCGTTTTTCTTTGAAGCCATGGCGAGTCTCTGGAAACTGGGCCGGTTCAAGGTGTGGGCTGTGGAAGATGGGCTGGAGTAGTCGTGGGCTTTACTTGCAGCAGTCAAAAAGAAATCGAATTTCTATCTCCTGCCTCATAAAACTCAGGCTCACAGAGACGCCACCCCCTTAACGACTGACACTTGACTCGGCCAATCAAAGAATTGCTACGCAAAGCTAGGCGGGGCGGAGGGGTTTCCGACCAATCGTGTTTAAGAGGCGTCGGGCTTATTCAACTGTGTGGATAGTCTCGGTTGGCCACGCCCCCTCCGCTTCTCTGGAACGTGGCAAGATGGTAGATGCCTAACCAAGTGATCACCCATTTGCTGATGCTAAGCTGGAAGTACTTCGGCAACCACCGGCTCAGTTGATGGTAATTTTCTCACATAGGAACTCAAGATCTCTTTCCTTAGGGCACCGAGTCTGACCTGTCTCCGCAGGGCTCTCAGTTGTTAAAGGTGCTATATTTCACCTCCACGCTTGAAAGAAGCTAAATAAAATTTTTAATGGGAAAACAGAGTGCTTATGGTTTTGTGTTTTACACAAAGTAGCTGCACTAAGCTCTCTGGATGTAACCATTAATTCCACAGTCTTTTTTTTTTCTTTCAAATAGTCAGAGGGGAAAAATACAACATGTATGATCAGCCTCTGTCCTGTGGGGACAAAAAGTTCTCGAGAGCAACGACACTGTTGTGTTCAAAGAACGGAATAGTTCATTCCCATGCATCAGAGTATTCCAAGCTCAGCTATCAGTGCGCACACACATACCCTCCCTCAGAGCATGGAGCAGTGGGTTATCTCACAGGCCAATCTCACATTTGGTCTGTTCACTGACATCACAGCCCCAGGGCTGCATGAGGGGGCGTGTGTGCTGTGAGAGCAGCTCTGGAGTATGGCTTTAAATGGATCCAATCACTGTGCAAAGTGGAGAGTGTAAAGACTGATCTAATCACCTGAATGACATGGAATTTGCATCATGATTGAATGTGTCTGTGTGTGTCAGTTATTTTACATCAACATGTGTCACCAAAACAACTTAGTTGCCAAGGTGGAAGTGAAGATAGTCAAACTGGGCTCCAGTATATATGAAAGTTGCTCTCTCAGATTCTTACTTTAACTCTGGTAATAAGAGAACCTTCTTTTAAATATATTTAAGTATCTAAACAGCTGTTTAAAAAGGATTTTTACAATACACGAGTGCAAGCAAAAATACTTTATGTTCATGTTTATAAAATCTTATTTAAATTTATGTAATTATTTACACAGATCTTTAAAATAACATGAATCAATCTTTATTATATGAATCAATCTTCAGGGCCCCCAGCAGCTGTCATTACACCACTAAACGTACTGCGTGATCAGAGCGTTAGCTCTGCATTTGACCATATACACAGGTTCAGTAAAAGCACTAACAAACCAGCTGCAGTACTGCACATACATGGTTAGTTGTTTTTCTGATCTGATTTTAGTAAAGTTCACAAAATTCATCAGCTGACCAGACAGAAGGGTGTTACAGGAACATTCAGATAAATGTATTGGAGTCAAAGTGAGAGTTTCTCCCCAAAAACGATACTCGAATAAAGTACTGATACTCAAAGAAATGCACATAATTACAGTATGTAGGTAAACGTCATGACTGTCCAACACTGACTGTAACACAAATGTGGACTCTAATGTGGGAGCCTTAACAGACTGGTTTCACTGAGATATAACAGCCACAATAATCCAGTCTCACCGCTGGTATTTTTCATTCAAATGCATTCTCTTTGAACTGATATTAAATGGGAAATCTGGGATGATGGGCGTCTTTAAATATATGCTGAAATTTCTCTAAGAGGAGGTCACTGTGGATCTAAAACACATAGAATGGCTCTGGACTTCAGAGCACAGAAAGAACATAATTCACAGGTCATTCACATTTATGTGACTTTCTGTGTTTTGATCCTTTGCTCTTCTTACAAGAGCCATGTTTACTCTGACCCTGGAGTGGCTGACACATCAGGAGGTAATTCACTTAATTCAGACTTAGCTCTGTCTCTGAAAACAGACCAAGGTCGAGCTTGTGAAACCAAGAGAAAATGTGTTTCTCTGCTGTTGTTGAGACTGTTTGGAGGGGATCAGAGTCAAAGTCATCATGAGAGGCAGAGATCTGAATCAGCTGTTCTCATTTCATCAGCTGTATTGGGTCATCATGGTTGGAGTGTTAAGTTTGGCCTCCTCTACGGTGACTGTGCAGCAGGCCCCAGCTCAGTCCTGGCTCTCTGTATGTCTTTAACTCTCTTACACCCTCTGCTGGGGGAACACACAATTCATTAATGGCCTTAATTTTTCTGACCCACTTCAGTCAAACACTAAATCCAGCTCCAGCAGTTCTGTAGCCGTCACCTGAAGCGGATTCTGTTTATTTTGAGTCAGCAGCGCGTGTGTGTCCTGTCTCAGATTTCAGCGCTAAAACCCTACATCAGTATGGTTGGATGGATCACTACAACAGTCTCTGAAAAGAAACCCAAACAGATTCAATGTAGAATGCCTGAGGAGTAAAAGCTGGTGTTTCCAGAAGTGTGGTACATATACCAAAAGCTGAAGTGACACCCTGACTTTAACATCACATAGAGAAACTACAAGACTCTGAGCTGAAGGTTCTCAGATTTTGAATACTCAAAGAGATTAAAGTTGACTTTTATACAAATCAAAAAGGTTTTAAATGATGTGGTGTGTAGTGGTCAGTAGTCAAAAGAAAAAAAATTCTCTAGTGGTATATAATCTGAAAAGTGTAGTTATATATGATAATCAAAAGGCCAAGTAGGCATGGTAAGAGAACATATGGTTATCTTTTCACAACACCCATGACTGCACTACCCTGTAAACACCTGCACCTGTATTTGACATGTCAAAATATCCCATGTCCATTCAGCCTAGATAAATTTAATTCCTGGTGGAGAGGATGCAGAAACAGGCCAAAAGGAGTGTCACATATGAAAAGATCACACATGTTTAAAAAGGAAGACGAGAGTTCACTTAAGTGTGAATTTTCAAACCCTCTCAAGAGGCCCTCAACCCTATCATGATGGAGGATGATGCAATCACTCAAGAGCACCAAGTTCAAGCAGTTGCAGAGGAAACCACAGGAAATCAGCTATAGGTGGGTGGAAGAATACGTTTTCCCTTTGCACACTGAATCTAAGCCTGTCAGTGAGAAAATGGGTTCCAAGGGTCATATGTATGTACAGTAAGTGTATGTGTGTGTGTGTTTAGAGGAGAGTCATTGGATTTGAGTGCACACACAGGCCCCCAGCTAGCTCAATCTCTATTATGTCTATGCCAATCCAGTCTAAAGTCTTGGACCTGATCTCAGAGGTTTAATTTCTTGTCACACAAAGTGTGTATGACTGTACTTTAGATTTTTCAACTTCTCTCGTTGAAGTAATATTGGAAGTACAGGAGTCATTTGAAAAACTAAGAGCACAAGAGTTTGAGATGTTAGATCTCTGATTGTGCAAACTAAGAAAAACAGTAAAATGCTGAATGTTATCATTTTGTGTTATTATATACAGTATATTTTAACAAAAGTGAACCTCACTAAACTTGCGCTGTGGATTGATCCTCAGAATTTGCATACTTTCAGAGTAGATAATGTTTTACAAGGTTAAGCTGATAGACATGTTTACTGAAGCGCAAACACTGACCAAAGGTCTGTACAGTGACAGAGTACAAAGATACAACCCTGAGAGAGAGAGAGAGAGAGAGAGAGAGAGAGAGAGAGAGAGAGAGTAGCAGAGGAGGAGGAGAGCTATAGCTCCACTCACAGGCCTAAATGGGCATCAGAAACTAAAATACTTCAGAGTTTTTATGAACATATAGAGTTTTTTTTTCTCCTTATTTTAACCTGTGGTTGAAGATGTGTTCATGTTAATGGAGTATCATTGTGGTTGCAAGAAAGAGTGACCAACCAATCAGTATACAAGAAAAACAGTCAGAAATTTTATAAAGAAGTGAGATTACACATGATTAACTATGATGGTTTTTACCAGAACTTGTTAGTTTTGCCTGTCTGCTCAACAGTGATATACAGTATTTTTCCTGAACAAAAACACCATGTTTTTTCCCAGTTCAGGTTGAACAACAGAACAGTCATAGTTTGTCAAAATTTCTCCAACACTTTGTGCTGTCAATACTCATACATATTTCCAAGACCATGCAGGTCCTCCACACCCTTGACTCACTATTTTATCACCAGCTGGATGAATGGAGGTGTCCTCCCCCTCATTGTTGATGCTGTAGACCTCCAGGACAACTGAATCCCTGAGAGGAGGAAAGACAGGATCACAGAGTCAAAAAACAATTTTTCTGACTACATCCTAAAATGTACTTGTTTGTTTTGGATTTTGTTTTTGAGCACTGAATGGTATTTTAAAATAATAAGAAACAGCTCTGAAGTTAGTGCTGTATAAGGCAATTCTGTGAAGTAGAGAAATGGACCACAAAAACCCAGCAAGGTCAGAAAAACTGTCTCCTACCTAATTCTGCAGACCACAAAAACCAAACAGGGTCAGTGAGATGGTCTTGGATCTCTTTTTACAGGATGTCAGATCACAGCTGGCCCTCCTAAACCTGATTTCACAAGAGTTAAGTTACCATTACTGCCCCCCAAAGGATCTTGAAAGCATCTTCACTCAAATTGACCCAGTTAAATGTCTTCATCGCACAGCAACATTTCAGGAGTAATATGGATAGCAAGATGCAAATCTCCATAAACTTTTTAGGGAAATATCTATTAAAATAAACAGAGACATGTTACTGAAGTTAACTGACAGTACAATAATTGCATTCAGTGAACAATTTTTTTCAGTGTATATCAAGGTATCTGCTAAACTTCAAACCTTACTTCAGATGTGATGATAAATTTATCCTCCCACTCTCTACATACATTGCTCTCACATACATATATTCTCAAAATAAATTAAGATGAAGAATCAGGACATATATAAAATATCCACAGAAATGTTTTTATTATTATTCATACAGATATTTAAAAAATATACATAGAAATAATCTGTATGAGGCATTAAATGTTTTTATAACATATATGTGCATGTATGAAAATGTTCCACTTTCCAACAAGTTTGTCCAAACATATGTACATATACTTCAGATATGAGAATGCACTTATTTAACTATTTATCAACAGTTTCATGGTCCATTAAAATTCTGCTCCATGTTTGCAAAAAGACAGTGAGAGACCCCAAACTTTTAAGAGTCTTTCAGTCAGTGTGCTGAGCTGTTTTGTTTGAACCACGCATGTCAAACTGTAAAAAAACGCTCTTTCACCAGGATGGTCACAAATCACATTATGATCAAGATTGACACAAAAAAAGTGGAAGTCAATAACAAACAAAAACTTCCCATTACAGCACAGAAAAGAAGAAATAAAATCTTTGTACCCCTCAACACCAGACTCCGTGACACTGTTGGTATCAACCTCGTTGGTCTGGACACAGATTTCTGTCAACATCACAGCCAATGTGTTCACTGGTAATGTTCCTGAGAAAAAAACACTAATTTCTCAGTTTGGGACCTCCACAATGATCACCTGTGATGTCTTCAGGTGCAGCTTTCATGACATTCGGCAGAGTCATGTGTTTGGCTGGTGGTCATTTACAGACTTCATCCACCCCCAGACCAAAAAGAACTAATGTTACATCTGTGAGCTTGTAAACCTGACTGTGGGTACTAATGTTTTTTTCTGGTGTGTAGTTTTAAATTAATAATGAGTGATATTTGTGCTAAGTTTGTAGCAGAGGATTGTACTCACACTTGTACCACATGTACCAACACAATGACATTCGATAGAATGAATGAGAAACTCTGATCTGTTTCAGCTACAAACTTAGACATTCATTACACATCCGGGTTCATTAAGGAGTGCTGTCACAGTGAGGCTGACTGAACACTAAGGCAGAGAGAGAATATCTGAATATTAATGTTTCAGACTCTTAGAAATACGCCATTTTCCACAGAAAACAGTGATTTATTTTTTAGTCCGGTATGGCTGTGCTCAAGTTCACAGATATGATTAAAAACCTTAAATAAGCTGGTTCAAAAACAAATGTCAAATACCTGCTTTCCTTTTGGATTTGGGTTCATGGCACAAAAAAACTTTTCTTCAAGTCTCAGGATGTGATGCGTGCCAGCTTCATACTGACAGATTGAGAAGCAATGTTTACACACTTCTAATGTCTCACCTTCAACATGTACTGTCTTTCCTTCACTCTCTACAGTAAAAGGTCCTTGGAAAATCTAAGTTGGGAAAGGTTGGGCTCTGTCCATTTTGAGCTAAAGTGAAGGGAAAAACCCCCAAAAGGCTGAGGCATCAAGTTTCTTTGCTAGGATCTGTATAAACATGTTGTTGTACTCAAGCATTTAAAACCTTAAAGAGTCTGCTGTACAGTGTCAGAGGTTGTTTTGATCCAATGAAGGAAATGTCACTTTGTGTGATTCAACATAAAAACATCATGACTCCAGAGGTTGGTCAGTGCCCACATCCTCTAGGATTGACGCATCACTTGCTGTGATGAAGATATCTCCTGTTGGGTGAGCGGCGATCTGCTGCAGGAGCTTCTCGGACTGAAAGAGCTGATTGGTCCAGTCCTGACACGCTGTTTCTACGCTGGGTCCCTCCCCTCCATACTCTGGAGGAAGGACATGCGGTGAGAAGAAGTCGGATAAACTGTCATGGAAATCAGAACCATGCATATGTATCTACAGGAGAGAACCAGAACCAGAACAAAGAAACAAGTTTAACCCTGAGTCCTCTTCAACAAAAGACTCAAGCAGAAGTTACAGGCGTCGTTTGTCCTGATATCGCTTACATGTTGTAAGCTCTGAGAAAAGAGATGGTGTTGGGATATATTGTAAATATGGAGATGGTTTGATGGAGTTGCATAAAGAATTAACAATTGTGCTTAATGCAGTCATGTACTGATGGATAACAGGAAGAAAGATGAAAGCACCAGGGAGGCTATAGATCACCCTGTACAGAGGAAAAGAACAGTGTCCATAGTATGAAGGTTTTAGCTTTGGCTTTTCTTGATAGTTGATAAGTAAGGTGTCATGTACAGAATAAAGATGTTCGCACCCAGGCGTATGAAAAAGGAAGTGTGCAGAGGGTGCTTTGTGGTTTGAACGTCTTCAAAAGAAAGGTTATGGAACTTAGGTGGGTGTTAGTTATTTTGGTTTATGATAATTGCTTTTTTAAAGCTTACTTAGATCATCTGCCCAGCAACAGCAAAAGTGTATGATTGATTGAATGTGTGTGTGTTACAGATGAGTGTAGAATGCATAAAATAACTCCTTATTGGGTAAACACCTGGGCCCATCTATGTAAGAGGTGAAGAAGAAACCTGAACCAGCCTACAAACGAAGACAACATCAAGTTATAGGAAACTCTTTATCTAGATAAGTGGATCCTTGACTACAAAGGCTTCAAGGGAAAGTAAGTCTTGGTTCTGAAGCACTCAGACCTCTATGCTGTCTGTTTGGTAGAATGAGCTAATTTGAGCCCAAAGATCTTTGTTTGCACATTCTTGACTAATTTGTAATAAATAAAATGGAGCTTCAACTGAGAGCTCTTCTGTATCCTTGTCTATCTTCTTCCAATCAATGACCAAGCTGGAAAAGGGTGAGAGGTTATTAAGTGGAAATGCTGATTAAGCATTTCCACTTATTGTTATCCCTGTCGGCCATTTTCTTTATTATTATTATTATTATTATTATTATTATTCCCCCAATTTTCATCCGCTTTCAACTCCTTTCTACTTTGTGCTATTTAAACCGTTCAAACTTTAAACTATTCCACTCCTTCTGGACATGAGGGCTTGTATTTTTTACCTTTCTACCCTTTATACTTTTTTTTTTTTTTTTTAACTTTTTGTGCAAAAATTTTAACATTGAAGTCAATGGGGAAATCCTCCAATTCTTCCTTTTATTTTTCTACCTTCTAAGCCTTATAACTTCAGCATACTTTCACCTAGAGACCTCCTTTTTGCTTTAAAATGTTCATTAACTTGTCCACTATTAAACTTGTATTCACATTTTTGCAACTCATGGTTTTCAGCAAAATTCAGGCTTTATAATGGGTGTGTATTGGAAGAGCTAGAGTGGGGTGATGTCATAGCTAGAGTGCAAAGCTCCTAATGTAACTTTTTTTTCTCCAAGAAAATCCTGATCATCACTCAGGCTCAGACCTTTTTAACTCGCTGTTGTGGCCACATTTTTTAGAGTACAGACATGAAAACCACATCATTGTGTTCATGAAGGGCGGGGGATTCGTACGATGTTCTTATTTTCATTCTGTGATTTAAAGAAATCACGCTATGTGAAGAAGTTCAGAGGCCCTAAATTCACTGCAGTTAGGCAGCTTCTCATTCAAACAGTAGGTCAGTTGCTCCTTTGATCTCACAGCTGTTTAGGATGCAATCATTAACGAGACACACACACACAGTTTGACAGTGTGTGTGTGTGTGTGTGTGTGTGTGTGTGTATGTTTGTGTGTGTGTGTGTGTCTCTGCCTATGGCAACCAATTAGCGCACCTGGAGACACACAGCTGACTGGAAAGCTGCTTCTAACGGCCATATAAGACACATGAAGCCAGGCTCAGCACACAGAGCACTGGGGGTGACATTTAAATCCCTTCACCAGAGCACTTGAAAAACTTCGGCCCCTCTCTCCTCCCACAAACTTTGAACTACAGAAACCATTCAGGGCTCCAAAACTTCAGCTCATTGAGGACATTATGGGGTGTACTTATCATTGTGTTCATGAGGGGTGGAGGATTCTTACATTGTTCTTATTTTCATTCTGGGAATTAAGGAAATCGTGCTATGTGAAGAAGTTCAGAGGCCCTAAATTCAGGCAGCTTCTCATTCAAACATTAGGTCAGTTAATGCCTTTGATGTCTGACACCTGTTAAGATGCAATAATTGACAGTCACACACACACACACACACACACTCTGACAATGTGTGCGCGTTAGTCTCTCTCTGTCTATGAGACCTACAGGTACACACAGTAAGTGTGTCTGCTTCACCACCTATCTCCACCCACAAACTTTGAGCTACAGAAACCATTCTGGGCTTGAAAATTTCAGCTTATTGAGGACACTTTGGGGTGTTTTAAGGATTGTGATAATAAATTGTATTAATGTGTTCAGCAGAGTCTTGTGGTTCTCACAAGCTCCTTATTATGAATATATACAGAGGTTGACCATCAGGGCCTAGTTGGAGATCTATTTCCTCAGCTTCAAGCCTCCTCTCTCCTGCTGCAGTGACACATCTTCCTTCGCCATGGCAACCAATTAGTGCACCTGCAGACACACAGCTGACTGAAAAGCTGCTTCTAATGGCCATATGAGATACATGAAGCCAGGCTCAGTACACAGAGCACTGGGGGTTACATTTAAAACCCTTCACCAGAGCACTTGAGAGTGAAAAATTCAGCTCATTGAGGACATTATGGGGTGTATTTAGGATTTTGTTGATTAATTGTATCAATATGTTCAGCAGAGTCGTGGGGTTCTCACAAGTTTCTTATCATGAATGTAGCCATTACAGAGAATGAGCTTCAGGGCATAGTTTTGGATTTTGTTTCTCAGCTTCAAGCCTTCTTTCTCCTGCTGTAGTGATGGATCTACCATCCCCATGGCAACCAATTAGTGCACCTAGAGACACACAGCTGACTGGAAAGCTGCTTCTAACTAGCCTGGCTGGGCCATCCAGTAGTCTGTCTATCAAGGAAAGTACTCCCGCCCACTTTTAGGGCTCCCAATTGGCCGAAGTCCAGACTGTTGTGGGAAGGAATGGCAAGTGATTCACGCAACTGGATGGCCCAGCCAGGCTAGCTTCTAACGCTTCACCAGAGCACTTGACAAACTTTGTCCCCTATCTCCTACTACAAACTTTGACCTACAGAAACCATTCAGGGCTCCAAAAATGTATTCAGTATTTTTATTCATTAATTTTTTCCCAACTTTAAATGTAATCCCGTTATTAATACATTATTCAATTCTTCAGACAAATTTAAACTCATTCAAACTGATTCAAACATTTTAAAATCATTCTCATTATTTATGCATTATTTAATTCTTCAAACAGATTCCCAGATTTACTACTACAATTACTATTATTATCACTACAACTTGTATCTTCACTTCTACCTCCACTACTCTGGCTTCTCTAAATATTTTTTTACTGTGTCTCTTACTTTTACTGCCACTATTACTTCTACCACGAGCTCTACTGCTTTGACTTCTACTTCTTCTATTCTAAAACTACTTCTACTGCTTACATGACTACTAATATCACTACTACAACTACCTATTTTCATACTACTTCTAGTACTAAAACTTAAACTTATGCCACTTATTACTTTTCTGTGTTTTAAGGTCATTTTCTTCCTTATCCAATTTTTTTGCAATTTCAGACAGTTTTCTCGCCTCTTTCAGCATGAATGCAATTTTAATTTATGAAGCACATTCATACTGTATGGACAGTTTTTTTACTTTCATCCAACTTCCACTTCTTCTTCTTCACCCCTTTTACCAATTTTACATTAAAACCTTCTATTTTTTATTAGCAGTTTTGCATTGTTTTTTCAGCTTTCAGCACTCAGCATTTCCACGCATTTTCTGCAAGGAAATGCAATTTTTCTAGTTAAGGTATTGGAGTCAGAGATTAAATATCAGTCAGTACCTTCTTTTTTGTGTTTGGGAGATTAAACATATGGGTAATCTTTAAGGTGATAGGAAACCCTTTTTCCAACAATGGGTATCTCTGCAAACTGGGTGATGGCTCTTTCTGTTTGTTTGTTTGTGTGTGTGTGTGTGTGTGTGTGTGTGTGTGTGTGTGTGTGTGTGTGTGTGTGTGTGTGTGTGTGTGTGTGTTAAATAACTGACCCTCTGTTTGATCTTGTCTGGCAGAAACGGGCTGATCATGGTGAAGACTGGCCGGAAGAACATTGGCTCATTGACCAGATGGATTCCTCTGACTTTTAATGGAAAAGATTCCTGCACACACACACACACACACACACACACACACACACACACACACACACACACACTGCATTGGTGGGTGTACAGATGCAGTATACATTCAAACATTTTAAATCCTTTGGCTCAGACGACATGCTGAATTTAGGTCCAAACAGGGTCTAGCTTCGTCACATATGGGGGCGTGTCTCAGTATAGTTACGCTGTATAGTTACAGTAATGCCATCTACATGTTCTGCCTAGGTTAAATACTCAAAAATCTGATTAGTTCAGACTCCCAGTTCTCCCTTGTTTTGCAGGGACCTGCTGTGAAATGTTGGGTGTAATCTGTATAGCAACAAAAGCTAATGCTGATGAAAAACCGCCATAAAGCGTATCCCCATTGCAGTAAAGACTTCATGTCCAGCATCGTTGCATAAAGCAGAAGTTGCATAAACAGTTAATCCAACATGATCAGAAACACAATTCTCAGCCTACCGATAGTACAGAAGATATCTTTCTGGCAAGGGAAGGGTTAATCTGCAAAGCATGGCCGAAACTCCAACCATGCAGGTCAAAGATGGCCTTTAAACCTCGTCTCTGCGTCTCTATCTCCATGGCGATGATCTCAGATGTCATAAGGCTAACCCTAAACACCTGGAGGGCTGTCCATTCTTTAGGGTTCCACTGCCCTGCACAGACAGACAGACAGACAGACAGACAGACAATCTTTTTAAAAAGACTTTGAGCGCTGCCTGAGGTTGCAGGGCTGAATTGTACAGATTTTTCTTTCCTTGTTGCTGTAGTGAGTTTCACTTTTGGCCACTTTCATAAGCACAAAAACTCCTCAAACTCTGCATACACATCAGGCCTGGTGTTTGAAACATATTTAATCCTGACCAAGTTACAGCAGTCTTGAAAAGTAGGAACTTGTCTTGTGGAATGCAGTGACAGTTCACAACAGAAACCACATATTACTTCATCAATAGCTGGACAGAAACCTTGAGTATTACCACTGTTAATGACTCTTACACACACACACACACACACACACACACACACACACACACACACACAGATTTACAGACCTATCCTGTACACGAGCACCCTGCTGCCAGTGTGGTCCCGCTGTGGGAGGACAGCATGGTATGATGTCTGCAGGAGGCCCAGCACTGAAGAGGGAGACAGACAGGTGCTGATTTCAGGACTCTCTCTCCGCCACCGCTGGTAGTTCAGTAAGAGCTGCACAGGACATATGCAAAATCCCAGGATGTTAGGATTCATGGTCTTCTGCTGGATCTGATCATAACACCAGGCTCCAGCTGAATCAGTAAAGAAACGATTGTTGTCTATTTTTCAGGAAGTCACAACTAACCTGAAAAGTTAAAAATGGTGCTGTTCGTGTACATCAGAAAATGCTGCTCATGTTACATCTACTGCAATAATGCTATGATACTTTATTTGGATAGAGACAAACATGGATGATGAATGGTATCTCAACGTGTTCAATCATTGTTTTGGTCCCAACTTCTTTTAGTGTTATGAAGATGTCCAAAGTAATCATGTGCATTCAGTTTTATTCGATGTAACCTACATTGGTCTCTATATGCTGGTTATGTTTAATGTACATTAATATGAAAAAAAGGCTTACCTGTTTGCAATTAAAGGGATATTCCGGCTATAAAGTGTGTTTGTTGTGTTTGATCATAATTTAAATTTACGCCAGATTATCCCTTTAAGAGAAAAACTCTACATGTTTGTGTCTTTGATAACATTCTGATCAACTCCATTTGTTCTGATATCACATTACGTGGGCTGGAGCAGATGAGTCCTGTTAGCACACAGGTGCAGCTCAAGAATACAAATGTCCCAAAACAAAAGCTAACATTAATACAACAAAAAGTCATTCACCATTATCTACTACAATGGACACAAAGATAAACAATTTGGTTGGATTTGTTACACGATACTTGCTCTCCTGCTTTAGGGATGTGGGTGTTTCTGGGGCAGCATCATACCGCTGTTGTAGTTAATGTAGCCCTTTAATGCCTGACACCAATGTTTATTTCACCTACTACTGAAAACCCCCAAAATCCAAATGTCCTTGAAATTTAACAAATATGTTTATTTATCTTGTTTGATACATTTGATGTTTTTGTAAACTGATAACCTACAAGAGGACATTTTTATTATGTATCGGACTGAATTCAGGTGTTTTTTTAGTAATTTTTTGATCATATTGATTTGATAGAAGTTTATAAAAGTATGTATCAAATATGACACAAAAGGCATTAAAGGGTTAACTCCTATCTTTTGAACTTTTGTCACTATAACCTCTAGTGACACAACCTAGGTTTGATGCTGAAGAACATATTACAATATACACACATAAACACACACTGATCAACTCTCAGCCCGGGTGTTTCATACTTACCATACCATGATCTTTTTGGGGATGAATTGCTGGACGATTAATCCAATTTTAATCATTAATTTGATTTTGGCTTCTCATGATCATAAAAACATTAGAATCGAAGAAAAACAATTAATGCGTCGAACGGCGTGTATGTGAGTTCCTGTGCTGGAATAACAACTTCAATTCACCCCTGTTACATGCAGCTGCAGCAAACATGTGACACGTGTGGATCAATAATATGAGGAGCCGGCAGTTAAAAATATTGGCAGAAAGGCTGTTTTTGGTTGAGAGGACAGGTCGGACAACCTAAGTTATCTGGAAACATTTTGGCTTCAAGTTGATGGAGGTTGAGCAAAAGGAAATTGTTTGCAAAGTTTGTCATACTGTTGTGTTTGCTCCCCAAGGCAGCACGACCAACTTCAGGGTTTCCCCATAGACTGTATATATATACTATGGACAACTTAGCCCCGCCTTCCGTCATAATACAACTTTGAAGCCGAATTGCTCTCGGTATTTTTGGGATTTTCTCCACTTCCTGAAACCACCACTTCCACAGTAGTGTTGTACGCACTTGGCGGGAGTGTCGCAGTGATGATGCTTGGCTCAAACAGCGTATCCCCTGGGTGAGCTACGCAATCCTTGAACGCCCATAGGCTGAATCAGGTGTCAATCAAAAAAAACCCTAATAACTTTGAAAAACTGAGTTTCACAGAAAAAAGAGGCCTTGTGCACAAACTAGTCTTACAATAACTACATGTCAACATCGCAAGCAGGGGGGAGAAAAACTTTATGAGCTATACTGCAGCCTGTCAACAGAGGGTGCTGTGCGCGGAGTGGCTTCACCCAGTGAGGAGGCAGATCCTGTGCATTCTATATACAGTCGTTGGGTTTCCCCTATATGCAATTGACTGTGGCACACCACCACAGCTAAATAAAAGCCGGCACACCTTAAAAATGAGGGGGGTTTTTTGTATTTATGTGGCTCTTTCTTGGACCTATATGTATCAGTATATGCACGCTCACAAGTTATACTTAAAGTTACATTTTGGTGGTTCAATAAATACTCAAGGTTTGAAATTAATGAATAATCGTGTTTATTCATCATGATTTTAATACCAGTCAAAAATAATCATGATTATTATTTTTGCCATAATCGTCCAACCCTACTTTCATGTCTTCAGCTGCATCTGTATGCCCACCCTTCTCAGGGGCTTTGCCACCCCATAAACATTGTTTAAGTTCACCCCTGGAGAGCAGTGCATGGCTGTTTTGGTCCACTGTGTCAAATACATTTAAGTGTCATTGTTGTGCACTGCAGCTGGCTGATTCACCCTGACTTTATGTGCAGTCCGTGAACTGCACATCAGGGAGGCTAATTAACATTCAGTTTGTTTCTACCTAGATTAAATTTGTAAAGGCTGAAACAACCGATATTTGTCCTTTTCTACGGAGAACTTGATTGGTTACTGGTGACTGGTTACTGTACATCCAAACTGTTTCTGCTTAATGTTAGACCTGAACACTATCAGAATGAGTGGACTGATCTTTCCCACTGTGTTTAATTTTAGAGTCAGTTTGGTTTTAGAGCGGTCCAGTTCCCTTTGCAGAGGTGGTTGCAGAGAACACGGAGTCCAGGCAGGACAACGGAGAGAATCAACAAACTTCATGACCTCTTCAGAGTTAGTCCGATCAGATCAGCAGAGCTTCCGCAGACCCAATGACCACGTATTTACAGTCTGATTGTGTTGAGGTTTACCTTCAGAGAGAGATCCACGTCGAAGTCTCTGGCCCGGAGGAACTTGACGAGAAAGGGTTCGGAGAGCGCCCCGACACCGGACAGTTCTCTGGACTGTAGGGCTCCCCGCCTCAGAGTGTCTACGTACGGCTCAAACTGCACCGAATCGTCGGGGAGTTCATTAAGATTAGGCCCGTTCATGTCTCACCGGGTCCGGACACCTGTATCTGCAAAAAGACGACAGTCCGCTGCTGGAGGAGGACTACCAAACAAATGTGGTGATTGGATGCAGGTCCTCTCTCTCTCTCTCTCTCTCTCTCTCTCTCTCTCTCTCTCTCTCTCTCTGTGTTTAGGGAGCGAGGGGGACAGGTTACACCCCCCCCCCCCCCTTTCTCAGGCTGTTGCATGTAATCAGATAACAGGGTCAGTCGTAGACCTGTATCCTCTGTGAAGGAGGCCCTGAGGATCTTGTGTGTTTTGAACTTTGGAAAACAAACTAGACTGATGTATGAAAGCACCACTAACAAACCTCCACTCTACTTTCACTTACCTCTCCTGTGTTTTTAGGTTTATTTCCCCCTGCCTCTGAACATGTGGCACACAAAGTCACATGACTAGCAGTGAAGAGAGCACCCAGACCCTTTACCCCTGCATCAGGGCGATTCAGGTCCTCTCCAGGCTTCCTCAAAGGTCAGTCCATCTCAAAGAAATGTTGATATTAGATGAAATAACAGACTAACAATAGCACTGATGCCTCTGACAAACAGATTTACTGCATGCTCACAAATCAGCCTCCTGATACGAGAGCATGTGAATCAGCGGAGAGTACTCCTCTGTCCACAGGGGGAACCAAAATCATCACATACCCAAAGTTTCTCACAGGAGCTTTAAATCAGGCTGGGCGTTACTCATTCACTGTACAGTATAAATATAGGTATACACTGAAGAGTTTCTAATGCTTAGCTGACTCTTGTCTCTCTGTTTCCTTTCCTCCTGGGTCTGGTTTCAGCCAGACCTGCTGAGAGGTAAGGTGGGTCTTTTGCTTAGATAGTCAGAGGTTCTGGTATCCCACTAAATCCCTCCTTCTGGATATCAGGAATTTAACAAAACCTTTTCTTGTCAAACCCTGCTAGCTGGCTTGAGCAGTGTAATCCTGAATCCAGGTCCCATTCTGTGAAGGATCCATTTCATAGTTGAGTGTAGTCCGCTGTGTTGCACTTTGTACTTTGCTCTTTATCTTTGGTTTTTGTGAGTTTATTTGTGTGAGACTCCACAGCTCCTTTTACTTTTGCACTGGCCTCAGTGGATCCTCAGGTTTCACTTCTTCACAGACACTCTGTGTCCAGTTAATAACTTTGAGTTTTCATCCTTGCTTTATCACATTTAGGCTTTTTAACTCTTGTTGTCAAGTTGTATTTTTACTTCCGCGTGTGTTTTCCACATATGACTGGGGCAGAGGTCAAGAGGCAGTTGTTGTATTTGTATACTGAAAATATTTGACAGAAACCTCAACACATATCAGGCATCAGTAGTTATCAGCTAGGAGCATCTGTTATCTCTGGTTGGGTCTGACTGATTGAGAAGCCTCTGTCTGGGGGATAAGGACCGTAAAATACTGGTGGTGCTTGTGTTTGTTATAGTGACCCTGTAGAAGCGTTTGTCTTCCCTCCCAACAGCAGGCATATTCAGTGGTTTGTTTTGGTTAGTGATCAAGTTTTAGGTTAAGTTGAGGAAACTCTGCATGGTTACTGCTTTCACAGATTTAACCCCCATTATCAGAGAAAACTGCAGGTGTGTTTGGCTGAGAGGGCGAATGAATCCGCTTAAACACTAAGAGTCAAAGTAAGTTGAGAAAATCAGGAAGTGAATAACAAGTATTCAAAACACAGACAATTGCATGAGGCCATTTGAGTTTTTTTGTTGTGTAGCAACAAAAGAGATGTTGGTCAAACCAGCAGGTGTGGTGAAACATTTTGAAAGGACTTGTGTTTGCTTCAACATACTGTATCTCACCTCTCAACAAGGCAACTCATGATCTATTACACCTAACCAGGAGTCTTGCACCTTCCTCTGAGATCTGTCCTTTACTCATGAGACAAAAGAGGTCACTGTTCAAGTGTTTCATAATGCAAATACCTTTAATTTGGTCAACATTTGGAACCTTCTGAAATAAAAAGACAGATCAAAAATCCATGGAAAATATTGACTTTATGATTACTTCTGATTTTCTTTGGAGAGGTTACATTGCCAGTAGTACAAAAAGGAGAATAAATACTCAGACCAAGTTCATTCAGTTGACTTTTGGAGAAAGGCGGGTTCACCTGTCTGTCACAGTCGCAATCTTACGGTAAAATAAACTGTGGTGTGTCATTTGTGCAACGATCTGCTGGTAGGAAACTGTAAGCTGCACAGGAATTTCCCCACAGCACATGCCTCTGCTCATACTATTTATCTGTAGCACCAGCTCTCCACCAACAGCGTCAGGAGTATGGAGGATCGCTGCAGCTGGAATTCAGAACTATTGTCAGCTTTATCAGGAGGTTTTGAGATCGCAGCAGGTCCTCAAGTTCCAACAGCTCAAACTGATTAAGTCTTCCTTATTGTCTGGTGTGGTTTATTGTAGAACCAGTAATTAGACCAACTATGATAAAAACAGATTCGTTATTTTCAGATTTTTCAGATGTCAGCATCTGATAAGTTCCCAGCCTCCTTCTACTTCAAGGGGGAAAAAAGCAAATGCAGAATCAAAAGTGTGTCCTTCACAGTCCGGTGCAAAAAATACAGCAACACACCTCTGAAAAGATGGAAGAACGCAAGTAAGGTACTTCACACAAAGACACACATTAACTGTGGTACAGTGCGTGTTTTTTGTCATACATCTGTGACCAGCACAGAGGATTCTGCGAGGAACTCAAAATTTTTTTGAATGGGTTGACACACCACAGTGAGAATGGTGAGACTGTAAAACTGTAAATTTTTGTAATTTTCTAACTTTAACCTCCAAGAATCATCTTCATCAGAAACTCTTTTTACAACTATCTGGGAGGTTAGCAATTGTTTCTGATATACTGTTTTTAAATGCGGAAAACCAATACTGGGTACAGGCCATAGACTGTACATATATATGGACAACTTGGTTCTGCCTTCCGTCATTATACGGATTTGAAGCCGAATTGCTCTTGGTATTCCCAGGACTTTCTCCACATCTTGGAACCACCACTGGCGCAGTAGCATTGTACGCATTCGTCGGGAGAGTTGCTGTGATGACACTCGGCTCAAACAGCGTATCCCCTGGGTGATCTATGCAATCTTCGCATGCCCACAGGCTGTATCAAGTGTCAATCATAGAAAACATGACCCCCCCTAATAACTTTTGAAAACGGAGCTGCACAGAAAAAAAGAGGACATTAGAACAAACCTGTTTTACAGTAACTACATGTCAACATTTCAACCAGGGGGGAGAAAAATTTATATTCTGTGTAATTAATTTCTAAAGTTTGTCCTTAGCTCCATAGGGATTTCTGGAGGAGGCAGGATTTATGACCTATACTGCAGCCTGTCACTAGAGGGTGCTGTTTTTGGAGTGGCTTCCCCCAGTGATGAGGCAGATGGTGTCTATTCTATATACAGTCAATGGTACAGGTCTACAATGAAATGCTGTGATTAACGTGTCGGTATCCACAGTGAGCTGTAAAGAGGAAAACGGAGAATATGAGAATGCTGGATTGCTGTAAGAGACTTTATTGGGCAAAGTTGAATATTTGCACTGTTTTTACTTAAACTGAGATTCAGTCCATTCAGGATGATTAAGAAATAAAGGATCTTTTAAAAGTGTTTCTTCTTTCTACTTAGAGCTCCCTAGACCCCCCCCCCCCCCCCCAAAAAAAAAAAAAAAAGAAAAAAGAAAAAGAAAAAGAAAGGTTGTTCAAGTAAAAAAAAAAAAACACCATGGCACATTCAACATGTAAGTCTTCCCCAAAAAACTTCTTAGGCTAAAAGAAAGTCCCGAAAATGATTGGAAGTAAAAATAAACTCTCCAGATGAAAAGCTTTGTGCTTTGCCCGAGTCCCTCACACCCTCAGTCTGTCACCACGACAGAGGAAAAGGTAGAAAAGAACACAATGTTTGGCGTTAAAGTGCGCAAAATCCTACAACATACTGAGAAGTCCCACCTGATTTTTGTCACTGAACACGCTCCATGTACAGTCCTTTATCAAGTTCAACTAAGAAGTGCTTGTAAGCTGAAAGGTTGGTTGTTGAAACAGACAGGAGTGAATGAAACAGACTGTAAACTTAAGAAGCTGGTTAACACTCTCCAAAAACAGTTTAACATCCATACAATAGCTGAATTTTTTCAGCCTCTTCAGGAATGTGGAAAAAAAAAAAAAAACAAACCCTCCAAATATCCTTGACTGAGAAAAAGCACCAACATTTTCTCCAGTGTTTTCAGACCTACCCGTCTTGACTACCTCTGAGGAGCCACAATCATGTGTCTCTTCTCCCACTCTCTAACTGTAACAGTTTTGGAAAGATTGATGACAGACTGGTGACCTCCCTTCTTTCTCTTAGTCTCATTCAAAAACCTGTTAACCCGACAAAAATGACCAAATTATTTTCTTTCTTTTCAATGAAGAGATCAAGAGACAAAAACATATTCCTTGTGACACTTCAGTTTCTTAGAAGCTTCTAAAATCTGACCTTTTAAAATGAGTAGGAAGGTGCTATTTAGGCTTTTTTTCTCCCAGCCATACATACATAAATAAATTAACATACATTCAGCAAACCATGTCCACAAGGAGGATATTTGTTTGACCAAATGGAGTAAGGAGAAGTTTCCCAAAGATGATAAAATGACCTTTGTGTTCTGGAGCAAAGTAAAAATCTTCTTCTTCAGCAGCTGAACAGTCATTTCAGCTGCTGTTCCTCACAGTCTGACGTCTGTCCTTAGAGTATTTTTTCAATGTTTCCACACCACCTCCTACTTTGGTCTTCTCCGTATTTACAACCACAGTTACAAATAATGGCTAGTATGTGTACTTATGTTTGTGTACTTATCTCTCCTCCTCCAAAAGATTATGGTTACGAGGTTCACATCCATAAACAAGCATATCAATCACTGTTCGTGTGCGCTGGAACACACCATAGGCATTTCGCTCTTATTCGGTCCTTCGACAAAATGCGTGTCTCTGCTTGTTGTGAGTGTGTTTTCTAAAGCGTGCTAGGTGCAGGTAGGCAGCTTTGTGATGATTTGAAGGGGCAAGCTTAAGAGTAAGAAACTCAGGCCAGGGATTGATTGGCATTATAAGAATGTTTGCAGTAGTCTGTCAGCCGGTGTGAGCGCCACAGGTCAGGGGGACAGTCAACAAGGCCTATTAAGTCACTGACACATGAGGAAGACAACTGTCAACCTTCCTCATTTTCCCTCTGTAAATGGGTTCATGTTGAGGTTCAAATACAAGAATCATCTGGAATCTTTCAGGATGAACTTTAAGACTGTTTAAGTGTGACCTGGAGACCGGGAGTGTGTCTCAAAGCTACAGGAAGGGAAGAACATTTTGGTCCTAGACATCAGGGGATCTGAACTTGTTGGTCTCGCCCTTCGTTGGAGATGTAAAGAACCAAGAGGACAGCATGCGTTTAAGTGATGAGCACACTCCTAAGTTTTAGTGTGAAGGGGTTAGGAGTTTGGTCGCCATGTTGCTGTGTTGTTTGTTCAAGAAATCAACGCTTCTCCTTTGCAATAGTTCTGAACCCAAGAAGAGGCTCATGCATCGGAGGAGGGATAAAGTCGTCATGTGAGCTTCAAACTCATATGTGATTAAGTTCAACGTCCAACGCCCAACCCGCCGGGTAATATCTCAGTTAGGAGGTCGAGTTGCCTCCTTTGAATAAATTCTGGACCCAGGCGAGGGGCGTGGCCTGATGTCAGGAGTCATCATCCGTGTCCTCTATTAAAACCTTGGTGTCACGAGTCTTGGACCTGGAGCAAGGAGAAAAAAAGTGTAGACAACGTCGCTTCAACTCAGTATTAACTTTTGATACCATAAACCACAACAAACTAGAATTCAAGTAGAAATGAACAAAGCTCCATTTACACTCAGGCAGAAGCTTGTTTTCTGACTTTCTAACTACTCAGACACTGTCTCCCAACCCCTTCAATGTAGTTTATTTTCTTTACTTCTGAACCTAAAAGTCTTAAACTAAGACTGTTGATGAGACTCACTGCGAGGCCAGTCGTGGTCTGCGTAGGCTCATGCTGTAGCTCCGCTTCCAGCTCTTCTTGCCCTGCCGGTTTCTGACTCCATCCTCCTGGTCCATCATCTGCTCCAGCAGAGTCTGGTCATCGGCGTTGAGTGGAGCTACACTTATGTCTCGGACGGCCCTGAACTCACCACAGTTATTCAAGTGCTCGTTCTCCAATCGAAAGAAGTTCCACACAAAGCGTCTGCGGAGGAAAGTCACTTTTGTTTTCAAACTTTTAATTCAAGTCCACATGATGTCTGTCTAACAGCCAACACACAGAACTTCAACGCAGATTACTACCATGAATATTTTTGTATTTTTCAATTCAAATGACTCTGCACAAGGGCCACAGTAAAGCAGACGGATGTAAGACTAACAGATGGGTGGGAAAAAAAGGAAAAGCAAAAGAAAGGAGAGTGAAAAAATAGAACTTTTTACCGAAAGACCTCCATTGGGGCAAGAATAGTCCCCAGTATGTCTGAGATGTGATCATAACCAGAGACTGCGCTGAGGGTAACTGTCAGGGTCCAGGAAAAACGTAAAAGCACATCCTCCACTATGGCACTGTAGTAGTAGGCCTGGAGAAGAGACAGAGAAAAGGAAGACAGAGAGTGTTCCCATCATATCATCAGAGGACTTTTTATATCATCAGTGAAAGAGTCAGACTTGTGGATCAGCCCCTCCCCTAGAACATAAAGAGATCGGTGAGCAGGAACTTGAAATACCTTATGAGGGTAGACTATCTCCTCTCTCAGGAAAGTGTTCTCTCCTGCATTACGGTCGAAAAGGCCCCAGTCCATTTTTAAATCCCAGACTAGTGTGTAACATGAGCTGATCACTAAACAGCTGATATATAGGTAGAAGAAGATCTGAGCATCAGTGTGCAATCCTGCTGAGGAGGAGAGAGGGAAAGAGAGAGAACTTGAGGATTCACTGCGGCTTTTACTACTTCATTTAACAACCAGTGTAGAGTGAGAGGGCAGGGAATATTTGATCCAGTTTTCATTCTACCTTTGTGTGTGCTGTACAGAGCAGCAAAGGTGACAACAAAGAAAGATGTGGAGTATTTCCCAGCGTTGACCAGGTGAGGGAAGGCCCGTTTGGTGTCACGGTAACGGCGCAGACACTGGACAAATCGGAACCAGGCAGGAAGACACTGGATCACCGCGCGCACACCATAGGAGTACGAGTTGCATACATCTTTACCTGCAGGGGGTGAAATAAACAGCATGGTAATGGAAATGTGTGGATGTACCATCATCATAAGGCAGTTTGATTGTGCACAAACTTCTTCAAAGTGGTCATGATTCAGTCTCACCTGGACTACTGATGAGTCCATCGTGTTTTTTCCAGTCTAACTCAAAACTGTAAAAACAGATCATGTACTCCAGATCCATCAGAACCACCACCAGAGAGTTCAACTGGTCAGCAAGCCAGAAGTCTGCAAAGCCGACGCGATGGAAAGGAGCGGTCACCACTCGAAACTGAGACAAAGAGGCAGAGAGGACAGTATCAAGAGTTGGCTTTATATATACATATACATAGTATGCTCAGCTTTAGTCTGCAGGAGTCACTCTTCAGACTGGGGAGGTTTTCAGATACAGACATCCACAGTGTTCACTGTAGCTGTCGCAGAAAGAAAGATTTGTTTTTTTTGTTTATATTATAACAGAAAAAGGTGATGTTTTCTTCTGCGTCTAAGTTGTTGGTGAGTGAGAACCCTACTGGCGAAAATTATGTATTGCACTGGATACTACACATACAGCAGCCACATGACCAATTAAGAAAACATATGTGCAGTCAGAAGCAAGCGAAGTTGGTAAGACAAAGGTAAAAACTCTAGATGGCAATTAACCGACCTTTAAGGACTGTAACAACTCCGGTTTGTGTTGACATTTTCATTTGTTTCGACATTTTATTTAAGTTTGAGGAATATTTGATATTAAGCAATTCTTGTTTCTGTGTATTTCATTTAGTTTTTCACGGTTTTTGCCATTGAAGAGAAGAAAATTAAAATATGTCAAACATCTGTTAAAGCGTGGCTTTTCTGTACCAGAAGAAAACCTTTGGGAGAAGTTATAATCACTTTATAGAGAGAAAGTAACCCGAACAAGGAAACCCTGGACCTTAGAAAGGAAACAGGATTGTCTCAGAGTAACTGCACACAATATTGACATTAGGACATTAAGTGTGCAGTCCTGTGTTTTTTTGAATTGTTCAATCATCTGTCATCATCTCAAACCAAACAAAACAACAACAAAAATGAAATACTATTTCACCGAGGACGGACTTTTAAGTTGCCTCCTCCCTTGAAGTCATGGTTTTACACCACATTGGTGTTTTACTTTAAAAAGTTCATGTGGACTTGAGAACTGTTGTGCAATACAAGAAAAAGAATTTTAAACATTTGATAATCGACTGAAATTCAGCTCTAAATCATGGTTTCAAAAATCAGTCATTGAAGAGGTTTACTTCTGTGCTTGATTTATCATGCAGTCCCATTATTCTTTGGATGTGGACAGAACTGTGGAAGATTCAAAGTCAATGTATCACTCCAAATACCATGTTTACATTAGATTTATGCCAAAAATCAGCCACCTGTTTTTTCAACACGAGCTGTACTGCTCCCATCAGCAGATTTATGATCTGATCATGCATGTCAAAGTTCAAAAGAAGACTTTGTTCAGACAAAGCAGTGAGAAGGTCTGTATTTGACTTCCTCTGTACACAGGAAGAAGAGACGAAGGAGAGAAAAACAGTCACTCTTCCTTATTTCCCATCTGCCCCTAACACTCCTGATCTTTTAATTTTATTGAAAACTGAAAACATAAAGAGTATCAAAGTGAAGATAATACCAAGAGTTTGAGCAGCCAGAAGCGTGACTTGTAGTAGAAAGTCTTGAAGGGGTTGATGAAGAAGAGGAAGAAGAGGCCATAGAGAGCTAGAGGGTTGGCCTGCATGGGTACCAGGATGCTATCACTGAACAGACAAGACAGCAGGCTGACGCACCAAAGCACTCCCAGCAAACCTGCAATCTGCACACACACACACACACACACACACACACACACACACACACACACACACACACACACACACACACACACACACACACAAAAAAAAACATACAAAGACCGGTTCTGTTAAATATATGAAATACAAACTCCATGAACACATTAGCTGACTGTGTGTAATCCTGCTGAAGGTGAGTGTATTTCCACAGCTCATGTTTATCTGAATCATCTGCTAAGTTTGTTAGTGGGTATGTTTGCATTTGAGTGCACACTGACCTCAAACAGATGCTGGTGGGACAGGTTGTTTCTGGGGTTGAGTTCAAAGATGAGTACATGGTTGACTCCTGCCTGTCTCCAGCCATAGGTGTTAATGCCTGAGGGAAAAAAAAACAACAAACAACAAAGATTTTTACCCTTTATTGAGAGAAGGATATGTGAAGGTAGTCATCCACAAGTATTTTTCAGTCCTTACATGTAACACCAGTTGTCTCTAGTGCGATCAAATGGTATTATTAGATCACATATATACATGTTAATTGGTGCATATTTGATATTACCTGATATGAATGAATTGTTGAATAAGTGTGTGGTTGAGTAAAGATTGTTATTTGTCTCGAAAACACCTGAGATCCACCTGTTCCTGAATTAATTCAAATTCTTTCATTTTTAAGTCTTTTTTCATGAGTCTGGTTCTTATTTTGGACTTTTCCCATCTTTTTTTGTGGCGTACAGTAGATCTATTAAATTTGCCTTTTTCCCTTGATGCTCTTCTTCTAAATACCTTTGCACATGATTCACTTACAACTGCCCACCTTCAACACAATGAATAAAAATCCTCAAAACACTGACACACAACAACAGAAATGATCTGATTTAGGTGGTATGCAAAGGTTGTGTGTGCTTGCATCAACTTTGGTCAATTAAAATTTTTGAGTTTTGCAACATCCTAAAAATGAACTCAATGAATGGAATTTGACTTTAAACTTGGCAGTGCTATGTGTGTGTGTGTGTGTGTGTGTGTGTGTGTGTGTGTGTGTGTGTGTGTGTGTGTGTTCAAGTGTGTACCTAAGAGGAAGAGGAACTCAATTAACAGGAAGCCACCTCTGTAGATCCTGACCATAGGCCATACGTCAGCACCTCGAATCATAACAGCTCCTGAGGTGGAACAAATAATGAGGTGAGGGGGACAAAAAAGGCAGATGACTCAGTAACACTGACTAAACGAGGAAGCAAATGTCTGTTTGTTCATCTAAAAAACCCTCTCTTCAAGTGTCAGGGCTCCATTGCTCTAGGCTGTGTGAGAATCAAGTTTAGATGTCTATTGATTTAAATTGAATTTTTCAGTACAATGTCATTTTAGGATGTAAAAACAGTCACAAACGGATTTTACTTTATATTTATCCATGTTTTGAATAAAGTTAGCCTAGGACTACACGTTAAACCATGTCAGGCTTTGAACAAAACAGAAGAGATCCACTTTTGTCCTACAATCTTACATTTCTGACTGAATCATTGAACTCCAGGCGCGGACTTATTTCATTGTTCCTGAGACTTCGGTGTGTTCTGCAGTGGCCTTGACTCTACGTGATGCAGACTATTTGACGTCCCCTATCTGTCTGTAATCTGCAGTTTAGAGGGGTTAGTCCTATTTTTCAACACTGTTCAGTCAGATAGTCATTGTCACTCCTGAGTTTGTGATATCACATTGGACTGATCTTTAGAGACTGAGAGGGTTTGACAGATAAGGAGAACTGTAGTGACCGTTTTGGTTAAGGCCAATTTTAGCCCGTTTGAGACTAATCGGTAATCTGCCAAAACTTGACGATTTTCGCCGATTTTTTCAGAAATAAAACGCGGAGAATAAGATCCAGTTTCACCTTGAAAATGTTCCTCCATTTGAAAAGATCCCCTGACTTATCCTGTAGATGGCACAGCGACCACATGACAATCTTCATCCACTAATTACCTCACAGCACAGCAGGGTGACGGATCAGAAGCAGGCAGCTCAGGGACGCACAGAGGAGAGTGGTCCGCCTCAATGGTGAATAAACCAGTTTGTGAAATACACAAGTCAACAAGTTTCAGTTTAACCCACTGCACGATGTTCCCCGCTGTGCTGTGCTGGTCTTGCTCATGCCGAGTTAACGGTGAAGCACCATGTAATAATAGAGTTAGCCATCTGCTATTGGCCTTGCTACACTGTTAACTGTGCCAGTAACAGTAGAATAAAGAACAGTGCACATTACGTGATCGAGCTACTTCTTTTACTGAGGCAGCTGCATGTCTCCAGATAAAACCGGACTGGAAATGATTAACGTGAGTCAAGACGTGGAGGCACTGATTGGCGGGGGTAGTTGAAAACATTTTTCTGGTCCGAGTTTGATCAGTCAGTCTTCCTGTTGACGTGAAGAGCAGTAGCCTACAGTATATCTACAGTATATATTATACTGTAGTATTAAGTATACTGTAGATATCTACAGTATATATATATTTTTTTATAACTTCATTAAAAAAAACTTAAAAATCGGCCGATTAATCGGTAATCAAACCCCCCCTAATAATCTGTATTGGCATAGGCCCCAAAAAATCCGTATCGGTTGGGCCCTAGTTTTGGTGTTACATGAGGTGTGTTGGTGTTTACATTTCTGCCATCTATTTACACCTGTCTTTAAATTAACACAACATGGTGACCAAGACTGTCTCTGTTTTAAAAGTGTGAGCCTCTGAAGCCTGTGAAAACATTATCAGAGCTAAAAAGCTCCACAGCGATGGATAAATGGATTGTACTGATCAGTATTAAAAAGGTGAGCTGACTGATGATGTTTAATTTTTTAACTTAAGTACTGAATGAAGGAGAAATACTGACTGAACTAACACACAATACTTGGCCCACAATAATATCACATTTGCTCTAGAAACTAGGCTTTCAGTGAACATTGAGAAATGGAGCTTCATGACACTTTGCATGGTTTTATTTTAAGCCCTGAAACACAGCTGCTCGTCTGTGACCAATGCTTGCTAAAATATGACTAAAATGTGATCAGTGTATTTGTAGCCTGGAAAGACCGGCCTGTCATATTCCAGGAAGTCAAACCTGAGTCACAAAATGATTCAAACCTTCAGACCTTCAAATGCTGCTGAATTCTAGGATGCATTTCAAGTCTGATGATTAAGGATGACTGTAAGTCTGCATGTATACACACGTTACCTGCTATAACAACAGTGACTATCAGGACCAGAAAGACTCCACAGTAAAGCCCGACTCTGAAGGTGGTCCATGCAGGAGCAGGCTGAGGGCACACAGGACATAGAAACAGTCAGGACCACCGAAGTGGAAAGCACAGATTTTAGGACACGTTCAAAAAGATTATTAACAGGCCCAGTGGACAAGTTTCAAATGAATCAAATCAAAACATAAACTGAGACATAAGCAATGGCAGTTCATATTATCATACTGTCAAACCCTTAACCCATCACTTTCAGTGCTCTGAGACAAACTTAATTCCCTGGCAGCTCATTGGTTCAAAGGAGGATCCCTGACCTTGAGTCTCAACCATCAAACCAATATTCAAATTTAAACTAGTGATGCACGATATGAAAAATTTCAACCGATACCGATAACCGATAATTTTCTTCTTCTCATGGCCGATACCGATACCGATAACCGATAAATTCATATTTTTACATTTATTATAATCTTCATATAATCTGCAGTTTGTGCAGGATGCAGCGATTGAAAACTGATGTTTTTGTTGCTCTGGCCTATCTAGAACAACAAACAAAAGTTTTTGGCTCTTCAAATGTGGTCATTTGCTATAAATAACAATAACAGAGCAAAAAGCAGAACTTCATTTTATCCCCTGAACTGTTCAACAGAACTGTAAACTGTAAAGGAGCTATTATGAGACGTTAGGCTTAGCATGCTGACCGGACTAACATCTGACGTCCATATGTCTGTGGTAAAACTCACGTGTAGTCCGTTCTTGTCGATCAGGTTGTGAATGTATGTGGCGACAATATCATAGAGTGCAGGAAGAGACACATCCGAGAAGAAGCGGCGGCTTGGGAGAGTGTAACGTGGCTCCAAGTGTGCTATTAACTTGCGAAAACCCGGGTTCTCAACGACGGAAAAAGGCTGGTCGTCGACCGCTATGAACTCCATCACTTTGTCGTTAATGGCTTTAGCCTTTTCGCTGTCTCTTGAGAAGCTTTTGCAGTTTTTAAACGCCCGCTGAATGGGGACATCGATCCTCCGTAGTGTTGTTGTCTTAGCTTTAGTACCGCTAGCAGCTTCGGCGGCTGTCTCATATTCTTTTACTACCGCTTCGCCGCGATGGCGACTTTTCAGATGAGCTGTCAGATTCGCTGTGTTAATACTTGACGTCTTCTTTCCTCCTCTCGGAATCCTCGCTGAACAGGTTTTGCATATAGCAATGCTGTTGTCATCTTCTGCCACTGAGAGAAACGACCATGCTGGTGAAGACATTTTATTATCTGTCAGGTAGTGACGGGGTCAGGCTTGGGACCTGCGAGTAAGGCGCGATAGATGACGTAACCAGCGCGTCTCGGACGGGCGGCTACTCCGCCTGCAAACGTTACTCGTAATTTCATTAATATATCGGATCTTTCTATCGGAAAAATGCACCTATCGGACCGATAAAAAATGACGTAATTTCCCCCCCAAATCGGCCGATATTTTATCGGTCCGATAAATATCGTGCATCCCTAATTTAAACTTCACTTATTTAAAACCAGACCCCTCACTACCAGACTGCTTTTTAAATGTGGGTTTGTTTGGTTGGAATAAAACAAATTTAGCATTTGAAGGGTTGTCCTGAACTGCAGTCATCTGTACTTGAAAGTCTACTTAAGAGGAGCCTGAGGTCTGAAGAAGTGGTGTACTATCCTTCTTTTTCCTGGAGAACTTTTATTTGGGATTATTTAAACCTGTTTCAGCCGACACTTTGATAAGTAAATGATGAGACTGATCCGACAGTGTATCTGGTTTGTAAATCATAACTTCTCTTTAAATAAACTGGAACTGCTGCCATCACTTCATAAGTATAAGTGTATGTTTGAGTGTGTGTGTGTGTGTGTGTGTGTGTGTGTGTGTGTGTGTGTGTGTGTGTGTGTGTGTGTGTGTGTGTGTCTGACCTGTGCAGCTCCCAGAGGAGGAACCCTCAGTCTTTTCATGGCCCTCTGCCTGTCACCTCCTTCCAACTCTGTTGTGACCAGTGCCTAAAAAAACAGGGAGAAAATGTTGGAGGGCTGATGTTGGACAGTTCTGGTACTTGTCAACTTGGGCTGGACGACTATAGATCTAGGGGTTTGGGTGACCAGGTGGACAGGTTTTGGAAGTTTTGAACTGTGCTGAAGATGGACTTAGCCTGTTGTTGGAATATCAAATATCAGACTGCAACTTCTATGACAACTAAGATGCAAATCAACCTTTAATCTGGAGTAGGATCCATTTTTGACTAAAGGTACCACTCTCCTTTCAGGTGTACTGTCACTGACGGACTGATAACTGGTCTACTGCTGCCTCCACTGGGTGTTTTTTAAATGGTTTGCTTGGACCCCGTAGAACACAATCACACAAGCGAACTGAAGTCACAACAACACCAACAAACGGGACACAGTAGAGGAAAAGTTGGTGCTGTCAGTGTTGTCTATTTTCTCTTTCTTTAATCAACATTGACAGCTTTTGAAGGAAAATGGCTTTCGATTAAAAAGCTGATTTTTTTATCTTTCTTTTTGTTAATGTTGTTCAACATACACACAGATGTTCAACATACACACAGATAGCAATACACTGGAGCAAGTTCAGAACTATTTGGGTGTTACTGAATTTGGACATCAACATTAAAGATGGAAATCAGTTGAAAAACAATTTGACTGCAGATGAGCGCATGAGGTAACCAGATATAGATCTTTAAGAATATTCACCTCTGTCTCAGAGATCAGCTGGGTGATTTTCTTGCATGTGTAAAATGGGGCCACTTCAACATGGGCCACCCTCCAGTCAGCCCCTCTTGATGTCTCCAAAATCTTATCATGCTTCTTCAAGATCTTCCTGAAACCAGTGAAGTTCAGGTTCTGCAGAGTCCAGACAGAGAAGGAGAGAGGCAATTTGGTAAGAACCAAACATGTATGAATTAGCAACAGAAAAGAGAGACTGTGAGGGAGATAAAGAGGAGGTTTAATGTACAGTTCCGACTGAATCTACATCTTATATTGGCTTACAAACTTCATTACCAAAACTAAGTCTATTGATTGCTCTGTTGTTTCTACTGTAGTAAATACTGAGCAGTGATTTGAGGGAGTCATTATTCTCTCCTTATTATTTGTGTGGTACAACATTTCTGACAGCCAGAACTGCTTATTGACATGATTTCTATTTCCTTGTTCCAGATCTCAGACTCAAGTTTCTTCCTCTCTGTATATTTTTCAGGTCATATGGACCCTGAGCACAGAAAGCTAGAGGGCTTTAGGTGAACAAATGGTTCTACTGCTGAGCAACGTGTGTGTGTGTGTGTGTGTGTGTGTGTGTGTGTGTGTGTGTGTGTGTGTGTGTGTGTGTTTAAGTGTAACCTGATAGTTTTGCAGCAGTATGAGGCTGAGGTAGAACTCGGAGAAGGCCAGCTGCAGGTCCTTAATGTTTCTGTGTTTGCATCGCTCCTGCTGTGACAGAGCGAACACCGTCTTCCTCCTCCTGAGACCCCGTCCATTTGCCCAGATCTCCCTTTGGGCATCCAGCGAGGACTGTAGCTCATTCTGCAGCGTGGCAAATCGCCGCTGAGCCTCAGCCAGCTTTTCTGGACGAGGGATTGAGAAAGAGATGAGGACGGCACCAAAGATAGACCGCTAGACAGAATACAAAGCTCATCTTTAGCGTGGCTGTTTGTCATAGATGTTACCTGAGTAAAAGGTGTTGATCTTGGAGAGCTCTTTTTCACATGTTTGGAAGAATTTCTCCTCAAACTTTGCGTAATACCTCTTCACTGTATCCTCGTCTGTGACTGTGAGAAGACAAGGTGTGAAATTAGTGAACAAACAAAAATGACGAGCTGACTGATCGTCTCACAGCTAGAGTTAAAGCTCCATAATGGACATGTGAGGTAAATACAGAGAGGACAGAAAAGAGACGAGAAAAAAGGAGAGGGCTGATAGAGGACTGTTAAAACTATCTTGCTTTGACCAGCAGGTGGAGCAGTGAGACAGCATGAGGGCATCTTTCTTCAATAACCTGAGGTTTGAACTTATACAGCCGCTAGTACTTTAGGAGCCCAATCTGCAGAACGACAGCCTGCAGAGAGGGTGTTAACATAATATTATTTGTGTTTTCAACATAACTTTCAACCAGGGGGGTCCTGATAAGTCTTTCTGATCCTATACATCTTGAATATCTGCTAGCCAATCCAGAGCACAGTGAGGCTCAGCAAAGACAGTCAGAGCTCCAAATGTCTGCTGGAAAACTACCAGCAGACACATCGTTTTTTAATCACCTTGGATGATGACAGTACAGCTAAGATGACACGTGGTGTTGAGACAGCAGGACATCACAAAAGATCCAAAGACGACCCAAATCCTGAACACAGCTCTATTGCTAGTGTTACTGCATACACAGTAAGTAGCAGTCAGACTGTTTTTGCTTATTTGGTTGTGTTTCAGATGGGTTTTTTTTTAGCACTGCTTATATTTGAGCCAAGAGGCTGCTTATTCAAGGTTACTTCAGTTCTGATGAAAACTAAGCTCAGTTCACAGCAGCTGATGGACAGAATTGAGATGAGATGATTAGCGCTAAGTTCTGATCCCTGATCTGTTCAAAGTCCCAGATCAGCTACAATCCCACAGCTGACATCAGTGTGGATACTTCCTCGTTTTCAGGGTAAATATTCAGTTTTAAAGGTCAGGCCAGGTTAGCTGAGCTCAGGTGTTTTTCAGGCTGATAATGCAACTGTACAGGCTTTTCCTGTCTTTCACTTGTGAACTGACAACTCAGGTGACTTCATGAAATCAAATGATGCATCTTTGCAGATCTCTACTCATATCCTGTCTCTCATGGCAGGCTAACTTTTATGTTTACAGCATTGCTGCATGAAAGTGAAGATATTTCTTCCTCAGCTGAGGAAAAGAGAACAATGTTTGACAGTCAAACTTTGCGTTTTTTTTATTAGTTTGTCTGATTTTGTCAGGGAAAGAGATCAACACAATCTGAACAATATCCTTTCTTGTACTGATAACTGAGCTCTGTGAGGAGATTGAGATTTCCCACCTCAAAGTGCAGCTATTGTGGTGTCTCCTGTTTCATGTAGGCCTACTTGAGCTGTTGTCAATAAAAGCTTGTAAGTGTAGCTGGTTGGTGCAAATGTCACCTGGTAACACATTGGTTTGAATACACTATGTCATCAACAACAAGCCTCCACCTCAAATGGCTCACTGACTGTTGTGAAAACAGAAGACTGCAAAGTTGAGTTTTTTTTCTGCAAATGACAGAAAATACTGCTGAGGAAGAAAGTCAAGTTTAATGTTCCAGGGAGATAAACAGAGAGGCAGGTGTGTCTGTGTGCAATACAAGAGCAGAGGTTTGGGTCTGCATGTGAAGAGGAAAGCCAAGGATGCAGGTTCAAAAAGCAGGAGTCACTGTAAGGAAGAATGATCTCGGGTGTAAAATTAACTCACTTTCAGAAACCTGCTTTTGAAATATTTGAAATGTTTCCCTGACTTCATTGATATTCATTCAAGTTCATAGAGGCTGGTGAAACAACATGCATACTAGGGGTGAGAGAAAAAAATCTATCAAAAATTCAAATGATGCGCTTGAACCGAAAGGTCGCTGCAAGTCTGGTCTCTCCGTATTATCTGTAATTTGTCATCTGTAATAATCACTCAAACTTGTGGTTCAGTATCTTATTTGACTACTCCAACTGATGTTCTCAAGACAAAATGAGTCAAAAATATAGACTGGAATTATAATATAATTATAATAAATGTGGAGAGTCCACGTCTCCATGCTGTAAGTGAGTGAGTAAAAAGGACCAGCACAGCTGACACACCGCTGTCATCTGCATACAGTCACAGGTTAACAAAGACAGAGACTGCAGTGATTCTGTCTCAGGTATTTTTAAGGCATCTCTATGACTATTTTGTCTGTTTCTCACTGTGTTTATGGCCCTTTATTTGCAAAATATCCCAAATCCATCGATCATTGATGAGAACAATGAAGAGTATAAAGTCTGTTAGTCCGCTGAAACAGATAGCCGCGATCCACAGTTTGATTTCATTCACGCTGACTGCGATCAGTGGTGACAGCGGACGCTTTTCCAAGGAGGAAATATTTGTAACATATCTTCGTTAACACCAAGTGTTTCGTTTCTACTTATTTGAAGCATGGATCATAGTTGTGTAGACGTCCACACAAACATTGAATACAACCAACAAGCGAGGTGTACAGGCTGTGTTAATTACATTGAATATCAATTGAACGAATGATACACGGATTCACTGCCCCCTATCGGCCAGAAGGGTCCAGAACGAGTGGGGTCGGTTTCCGGGGCCACTTGAGATTGTGAACTCAGATTGAATTAGGAGATACTTTTTGCGGGGCGAGCATGAAAACGAAAAAGCATTTCTGAATTTGCTTTTGCTTTTTAATTTAGTCACAGAATGAGCAGTCTTGAAGAAGAAAATGAAAATGCATTTTGGAATATTGCTTTTGATTTTTATTTTTGAGTCAAATAGTGCAGCCATGACTTTGAAATGAAAAAGCATTTCTGCTAATACTTTTGAATTTGAGATATGAGTCACAATCGCTTCCATATCAAACCTCGGCTGCTTTGGAAAAATGCTGAAATCAAGGTTGTATCCCAAATACTAAGGTACAAAGTCCTGTAATTTCAACCATCTTTGATCTCAAACCTTAAACAGATTCAGCTGAAGTTAATTAAACACTGGCCATGGAGAATGTGTGTGTCCCACCACAGATTTGAACCCACTGTCACGTCAATAACAGCAAAATAACAATCAGGGCAGGTGGTTTGGAGACAGACCTGACAGAGACTTTGTGATTCACCAGCTGTGACTGGCTGCTTTTGAACAAGACACCAAATTAAGTTAATTGGAGTGGCCAGACCACTCCCTAGCTCCCGCTCGATCCCCACATCAGTGCACAAACACACAAACAGGCACCACAGTCAGACTTGAGTAATCTCCCCATCCCTTTTTGGACTTATTCTTCTCTTTTCTCATCGTGCTTAGCTCAGTTGATCATGATTATTATCATTATGACCATTATGACATGTCTGTCGCTCTGTTCCAGGCTATACTTTTCATTTCACAATTGGTGTTTTTTTGGTCTGTTATTCAGCAACATCAGGCTTTACTCTCATGCATCCTTGAGCAATAGCTTTAACCTTTTTTTTTTTTTTTTTTTTTACAAATCACAGGGACCTGATCCTTTGAACACCAACTTTTCATCACATCAGTTCATCATCCAGGCGAGCCTTTGAGTCCCTACATGAAAACATGAAGGAACTCCATAAATAAAAGAAAAAAACAAACAAACAATACTTCAACAAACCATTTCAGACAAGATGCAATGGCAAGTATAGAGGCTGAAGGCAAAAGGTATAACTGACACTGTCTTTGTAATGCAGGACCGACAAGAAAACAACATTCATTACATGCTTTCATCAGAGTGAGAGAAAGCATGTACAGAACAGTCAGCCCTAGGTTTAATATGCTGTCACATGGATTTGTGATTTAAAGAGATAATGGTGATATCAACCTTGTGAGGGCCGGTGTTGATATGATGCTGATTATATCAATACACCAATACTCGACTTCGTTAATCGGCCAACCGATTTATCAATCAATCGATCAATCACTTTATTTATAGAGCACTTTTCATATATGGACTGTATCACAAAGTGCTGTACATTAAAGAATACAAGAAGGAGAGGATCAGGGGATACCGAATAAAATACAAGATAAAATACAAATTGCAAAACCCCACCCACTCACCCACCCACCCTCAAAGCCCGCATTTAACAGAGACCCCACCACACACACACACACACACGCGCGCACACACACACACACACACACACACACACACACACACACACACACACACACACTGGGACACCAAGTCAGGGCTCAGCAGGAAGCCCCAGGGGACCAAGGAAACACTATCTTAAACAAAAATGGGGAAACACTGGAGCTGAGCTAAACTGATAAAACCATGATAAGATATAGGAAACTCATAAAATGTTTTTTTTTTTAAATGAAATAAAAGAGTAATAATGATAAAATAATAAAATATTATATAATAAAACTGTTTTTAAGTCAATTAATAAAAGAAAATAAACAAATAGTGTTAAAACATAAAATAATAATTCTGGAATTAAAGTGTAGTAAAATACATAAGATAAAAAGAGTAGACTAAAAGAGAGGCTAGAAGAATAAAACAAAAATCAGCTAAAAAGCCAGATTAAAAAGGAAGGTCTTGAGTTTGCGTTTAAATTTATTATCCATCCATCCATTTACCTCTAAAAAGTATTGGTTTAAATTAGGGCTGAATGATTAAGACTGCGATTTTGACTGGTCACGTTACTTGTGAGCGAGCGGAGCGAAGCAGAGCAGGTAGAGAGAGAAGTCGCCACTGCACTCTACCGCACTATGGCCTAATTCAGCTACAGAAGCTGTCGCTGCATAAAGTTTGTTACCAAAGAGTAGCAGCACAGCAGTCGTGTGGATTTATTTTGAGTAAAAAAAGATGCTGCGGCAAAACATGCAGAACCTGTCTCGCTGCTGTTGCTACATCAGGAGGTAACACTACGAACCTTTATCAACACTTGAAAAAAACACAACAAAGCCATGTATGATATTTGAATGGCTAAAACACCAGCGACCAGCGCTTCAACTTTGAACTACGTCTGCATAACGACAGAAAACGCATCCAATACAGTGATGGCAGCACAGCTGAATGAACAGACTCGACTCCAGTGTTTTGGGCACCGATTACATCTAGCTATCGGTAAGTAGATTAGTATCATGACATATATGCTGGCATGTGCATGTGTGTGCGCGATAGTGAGTGAGCAGAGAGAGCCTGTGTGTGTGTGATGGTAACTACCAGAAAGAGCAATTTATGTATAATTAATCTGATATTGTTGACTACAATACAGGTTGATTTATTATTTGTTGAAAAATACATGACAAGAGGACCTTGAAAAAATAATCGGATATTAAATCGCAATATTGAGGAAAAAAATTGCAATTAGATTTTTCTTTTAAATCATTCAGCCCTAGTTTGAATACAATATGTGAGTTAAAATCTGCCTTTGAGTATCACAACCACCCCTAGTGTAAATAAAGCCTTCACTGAGGTACTTTGCTTCCTTTGTAAATTAGCTCATAATACTTCCAGCTATCATTTTTCCACTAATTCATCTCTCATCCACTTTAAACTCGGTCATTTATCTTCTCATTTATTGTGTATATGTAGGATGCATATTTGATGCTCTGTTGTAAGAATAATCTCTTCTCTTCTCTGTAGCAGCTGTATAAAAATAAACACAGGTTTTGATTTGCTCCATTTTAATAGATACTCACCCTAAACACTTAACTTCCTTTCATGGTTGACTGTGTTTCATTTATTTATTTATTGCAGATATGTAGTAATGTTGCATTACATCTCCGACATTAGAAAAGACAAGTGCCAGTCTTCAAACCTTTAATATTGCCTAAAAAGTGTGCAGTGCAGGGGCTAATTCAGACTAGTCATTACACGATTAAGACTGAAGCCTCTAAAAACCGGTTTAAAGACATTTTAAGACTCTTCTGAGCCTTTAATTTTGGTCAGGCTGTGAATGTTGAGAAACCATGTCTTCAGTTTTGTAATACTCTGCCTTGATATTTTCAGTATTTCAGAAAAGTAATGATCATGACCTTACTTGCTCAAACAAATTTACTTTCAGGCATTTTCATACAAAGGAGACATGGATCCTTTTAGTCCTTTGCTGTGGTGGATTGTTACAGTGACAAAACATTCATTTGATAAGAAATAAAACAAATGCTGACACCCAAATATGTCATTGCTTTGGAGAAAATCGACTATATATGTGCATTTTTAAATTTAGTGCCAGCATCAAGTTTCAAAACTGTTTCAGAACAGGGACAACTAAACTCTGAAAAAGCTGTGTAAAAATATTTGAAAAACAGAAAAACAGGAGAAATATCTTCAACTAATTCTGCGAAGAACCAAGAACCCAAAGACCTGTGTCTGAACACATTTAGCTTCTACATCCAGAAATGCAGATTAAATCTGCATCAACAAAAGCAGAAACAACAACTAAATATGATCCAGAAAAACTGAAACTTTTGCTTTGTTGTGTTTACTCATCTTTTACTGGTTGCTGTTCTGCATACATAACGCTCAGGATGAGAGAAGTCTCACTTCTCCACAATTTTTACCTGTAAAATGATGCAATGCCCATATACAGCATAAACTGAGCAAACTGAATATGAAGGAAGTTTATTTCAAAAGGGAATGAAAACAACTCATCAGGATAACTGAGTTTTAAGATTACAAGGTGCACAAGTTCACAAGTAGTTTTCAGTTTTGTAAGGTCTTAAATATTTATCTGTGGCCCAGCAGAACCTTCGCACTCGGGTGCTATAAACTATTCCGGTCTCTGAGTGCTTCCCTGTGACAACATGCTGTTTCTAAATACTCAACAGACCTGGACACTTATTCCTGAAAAACTTCTTTGAAAAAATTTGCTTGGCTTCTAATTGGGTTTAACAGTAAGTGCAAAGACAGTCAGTGGTGCCATTTCTCTGAAAAGCATGTGATGAACAGGGGGGAGAAGGTGACGATGTGCGGCGCTAGAATCAGCCGGACGAAGCTGCGCTGTGTGTCAGAGCATGTGAGTGTGTATTAGCAAGCTGTGCCTCTTATGCTTCTGCAGAGTTAGCTTAAAAGGTTAAATAATTGCACCACTAATGATATGCTGTTTCAGGGTGCAATGTGCAAGTACTAGGGTTGGGTATCGTTTGATTTTGAACGATTCCGATTTCGATTCCTCATTTCGATTCCGATTTCTATCGATTCTCTATTTCGAGTCTTTTAAAAGGCAGGATATCAAAAAAAAAAAAAAAAAAAGCATGGTTTGAATGGGTTAGCGCTAACCGGAGCTCTTCTTTTTGGATGAAATTTCTGAACTTCTCCATGAATTTTTAAATCATATTAACTTTTTAAGAACTTTACTATGAATTTCTCACAGGGCTATTTTCAACCAGTATATAAATACCAATTTTTGTAGTCAGGTTGTTTGTCTATGAAAAAGTACAAGGGCTAACGTTAGTTGGATATTTAAGTTAACTCACCGTACACAGTACAATTTGTTTACCGCTTCAATGTTAGCAGAGGACAGAAGTAATTTATTGTTTCACTTATCTGATCCTGACTGGTTAGCGGAAGACAGGTGTTGTGCTGTAGAATGCACCCCTCCCATAGAATGCCTCACCTCCACTCATTAGCTTCTTAAAGTGGAAGACAATGATCTCATATTTAAAAAAAAACACGAGTATTAGATCATGAAAACATGTCAAATGGAACAGTAAACTTTCGTTTTGTTTTTATGTGTCTCAAAAATGCACACATAGAGGTGTACTAGGGTATATAAACTGTACAGTAAGCTGTCAAGGTAGAGAACATTATATTTTCGGGACAGCAAATATTCCGAATCAGAGGGCTATTGTTTTCGGCATATCTGAATAGCCTGAATAAAATCATTAAAGGCACACGCTTTAGATTCCGTTCAACGGTAAGAAAAACTTGGATTGTTTCGCCTCGTTGTGTACTTTACACCGTGCTCCCGTAAGGGGTGCATTCTACAGCAGGGGTGCATTCTATGGCACAACACCGGCGAAGCGCGTCAAAGACGAGTACTCAGGTAGTTCTCCTCCATGAATCCTGAGGTGTTTAATCATGTTGGTTGTTTACCCTCCTTTGCATGATATAACTGTATTGCTAATGTTGCATTGAGATAAGAGTTCATTCTTCCTGCTAAAGTTAGCCAAACTTTTGACCAACGAAGAAGAAGCTGACAAACACCAACGAGGATGGAGCGTATGAGACGAAGCCACAGAGAGAGAGAAGAGACAGACAGAGAGAGAGAGTGCATTGTAACCCACAGCGGCTGCATTGCTGTGGATTGCAATGTACTTTCTCTCTCTGTCTCTCTTCACTTTCTGTGTGGCTTCGTCTCCTACGCTCCGTCCTCGTTGGTGTTAAGCGGCTTCTTCTTCGTTGATTTCTGGCTGCAATTTCTTCCGGTCGGCGGACTCCAGCATCGAAACTTGGAATCGAATTTTTAATATTTGAACGATACCGGAAGAATCGAAATGTTAGTCCCGGTCCCCATCGATACTCGATTCTCGATACCCAACCCTAGCAAGTACAAAGGCGTAATGATAGTAAAACTCCATTCCAGCGCTGTTACTGAGCTGCAGTGTGCTAGAACCAATGGAGAGACATAGTGACTGGAGCAAGAAGCACAGGAGTAAGACAGTTAACTTATAATGGAGATTGAGTTGAGATGCAGTAGAGAGGTGACCTAACAGCAAAAATGTCAAACAGCCAAGAAATATGGTGCCAATGACTGTAACATCTGAGGATGATGAGCGTGTAAAGACTGTCTAGAAAATATGCATTTGCCCACAAATACTAAGGCTGCAACAATGAATCGATTAAGTCGATTCGTCGTGACGAAAAAATCCGTTGCCAACTAATTCTGTGATCGATTCGTCGGGTCTTTATATATGTCCATGGACACCGGCATGTAAACATCAGCAGGACGCACAGAAAAGAAACAGCCATGGCCGAGGCTGAGAAAAACATGGACACAATCCAACCCAAATCCCGACCTAAAACATCAGTGGTGTGGGAAAACTTTACCAAGACTGAAAAGGAAGGCGTTCAGTGCAACATTTGCAAAGCCCTTTTTGCATGGCACGGGAGTACATCGATGATGCGTGAGCATCTGAAGAGAAAACCTGTGTTTCTTAGCCTGGGTGAAGGCAGTGGCACTTCAGCAGACACAGGGAAAGTCATGCCGATATATTTAAAAACTACCGAGAAATAAACAAGTCATCGTGGTAGTGGATGGGTGACTGGGCGCCGCCATTTGAGTTTAACCGTTTCGCGTCCGCTACGTTACCGGAGTGATCATGTATAAGACACTGGGAACCTCAACTCCATCTGAGCGGCTCTTTTCAGCCGCAGGCAACATTGCCTCAAAGAAAAGAGCAAGCCTCAGCCAGGAGTATGTTGATATGCTCACTTTCTTACATTGCAATTCCAGGTTCATGAGGTAGAAGACTACATGACATGTAGTAGAAGACTTTAAGTTTGTTTATTGAGTTTGTTGTCGAAAGTGAGCGCCCCTTCATTTATTTTTGTTGTCTTTTTGATGCCTCAGTCTAAGTCCTCAGTTGAATACGGTACCTCAGTTTACTCACATTTTTGCACACACAGACACACAACGGTTTTTTGTTTATTAGTTACTGCGACATCTTTACTTGATGGGGAACTTTCATCTGAAAATATGTTGAAAACAATGTTGCAAAGATTTGTTAACATTCATGTGGAAGAATATATATATGTATATATATATATTGGGAGATTTGCACACATGTTCATAATTCCATAATCTACAAGCTCAAGGCATAGATCTTTATTTTATCTTGTGCTGCTGATCTACTGTTTATTTTGCACTAGTTCCTCCCGTACCTGTTGGAATCAGTGCGCGGTTTGATTTATTTAATTTTTATTATTTTTTTTTTATTTTATATTGTTGTGTCGTGCTGCTGTCCTGGGGAAGCACCAGAAGTAAGCTCAGGTGTTTGGAAAATAAAAATATTTTTGGAATAAGCAAAAAAAAAAAAAGTTTCTGTGTTTATCCGATTAATCGATTAGTTATTAAAATAGTCGACAGATTAATCGATTATCAAAATAATCGTTAGTTGCGGCCCTAACAAATACTACGACCATTTCAAGAGACATCTTCCATCCAATCACTGCAGTTGACTTTTATCATTATAGTGTTTGAGTATCAATAGCTGGGTGCTTCATTTACAAATGTGATCATCTTTTCTTTAATTAATGTGACCAACATAAAAAAAAAAAGATTTCATTTAAAAAGTAGTCAACTAACTTTGTTTTATTTAAAGAGTTTCATGTTATTTTAGTTCAAATACTTTTCTCTTTAAAACAAGATTAGGTATTTAAAAGGCCCTTCCTACAAAAGAGGAGGGGTCATTATAAACCGGAGTAATCTTATATTCAGTTCAACAAAGTCTTACAGCAGAGCCACACCCCTGGAGCTGGATAGTACTACGAAACAACTAACAATGAAACAGCTCTTACTGTTCACGTGCCACTGTGTGTGAAATACCTTCAATAGATGGAGCCTGGTCCTGAGCAGCATACAGCATCTCTTTGAAAGCCTGCAGACACAAAAAGACACAAAGAATCAAATATTTGAAATTCAGGACATCCAAAAAAAAAAAAAAAAAAAAAGGGTTCTCTGCCAAAACAGTTAAAGGCCAAGTGTGTTTCATAGCTGTTATTGTTGGGCATACGATGTAAATCACACTGGCCAAAATATAATCCCAAATGTAATGATTCCCTAAACTCTATTCTCTCAGTAACAACATTTAAAATCCTCCAGGAAGGATGAAATCAAGCTTAGGGTGGGTGATGTGACGCAAAATTTATATCACTGGACTTTTGTTTGTATGTCGTTTTTAATGGTACGGAATTATATTAAGGTGTTAGAAATGAAGGTGTGATTGTATTTCTCTTTATTTTGTTGTCTAAGAACAGGAAATTATTTTAAAAGACACAAACGTTCGGTACTCAGTACTCTGTGGTTTGTCTTTGAATCAATGTGGTTTGAAGTTTTGTTTTTGCTACTGCCTCTGTTTGTAATTTAAGACCTTATTTTATGATAGGAGGAGTCCGGTCTACCTGCTAGTGCTGAAAACACTATCTTGATATGACTGTTTTATAATAATTTTACAAGCATAACAACCGGGGACTTTTATTAGCTTAAATTTGTCTGAATTAAAACACGTCATTCAACAAATGTACTGGGCTTTCATTAAGAATGGTGGTGATTTTCTGTAACACCGTGGGAAGTCACAGTGCAGTTGCTTCTTTGACCACAGCTACAGCGTCTTTGAATAATCTTAGACTGGAGAAGAGCACATCTTACAAAACGCACCCTCAAAGATGTAGATCCTTTAGGTCCTGCCAGAAAAAGGACACACGATAATAACATCCACTTGAAGTTATTTACTGACATCAAACTACAGAGGAGAACACGCCTGACTGCTGTGCTACAACTTACTTTCATTGTAAACATTAACACCTGCTTTGACAAGGGGAGGCGGCGCTGTACTTTGGCTACTGAGCCTGCTGTGGTGCTGCTTTCAAGTGTGGTCGTGGAACAGGCGGAGACCCGGGTTCAGACTATGTTGCTATCGGTCAACGACTTCTAATACTTTCTTTATTGACCTGCCGCAGTGGCTGCATTGCTGTTGGGGTATATCAATGTCTCTCCGATGTGCACAAAAAACAGAATGTGAAGTAAAACAGACAATATAGTTGCAACATCATGCTGTGGAAGGACTTGACACTGTCAGTGGTAAAGAAGCTAGTCGTCCACCATCCTCTATATATGATCATTATGAAAGGAATAGGAATAACAGCTGAGGGTGTTGGTCATGGACAACCAGACAGAGTGGAAGACTGTCAAGGCAGAGCTTGAACTTGTTAAACTAGTTGAACAAGTTCTGTGGGAAAATATATCACTCTGCCACTCAAAGACTCAAACTACTGCTAAAAATCCAAGTCTGAATCCCAGAAATATGGTTTTGCAACATGAAATGCCTGTTTGAGAATGAGTACACACCAAAGTGGCTGTATAGACCAGAAACAGACTTCTGAGACCAAAAACTCTTGTTCCTTGTGTACAGTTTATGCATTCTCATAAATATAACCACATGTTTTTATAAGTGTTAAATCTGCCTCCAACTTTACAGACGCTTCCATAAATCTCTTTATAACTTTAAATCAGAGTAGGTATGACAGACACACCTGTTTTGACCCAGCCTCTCTTTACTGAGTGTGAGAGCACAAATTTCAGGGTTTTATAACAACAGCAAAAATAAGTAAAGTTTGAAGAAAAAGCTGTTCTGCACAGAGAAGGGTCATCACCATTACAGGCTGTTGAGGACAGCTCATCAGTAAGCCCTTTGAATGCTTCTCATGGGAGGGAGTTCTGACCTTAGGGAGATGATTTTAGGAGCCTTAACATACTCTGCAGAGTGTTTATAAACACTTTATGTAGTGTATCACAGTACACAGTACATTTCTCTACTTTCTCAATACTTTTATTTTGATTCTCAACCATAAGCTATTAGAATTTCCACATTTTCTTTACATTAGGTCAGAGCTTGTAGTGGCTCCATATATCTATATTTTTTGTTTTTCTGTTGCACAGTGGTAAAGTCGGCTGTTTCTCAATAATAAGGTCAGGGGTTCAATCCCAGGTCCCGCTGTCCACATGTTTAAGTGTCCTTGGGTAGGACACCTGACCCCACCTGCCCCCACTGGCTGCATCCAGTGCTGTGTGAATGGAATTGGTCCACAACTGATGAACTCTGCCATCAGTGTGTGAATGTGACATGTGATGTAAAGGAACTTTGAGTGGTCAGAAGACCAGAGAGAGAGAAGCTCAGTTAATTTAACATTAAGTTTAAAAAAAAAAAAAAAAAAACACGTGACGTTGAGGAACAACAGTGTTAGCTTCAGTTAGCTAAGACAGGAGTCGGGGCCAGTACCAGATAAGCAAATGAAACTATGGTAACAACTGCTAGCTTACGTCAGCACAGATGAAACTTAAAACAAAGATGTTTAGCAAACTGTTCAAGCACACAAAGCACAAGTTGTCCTTCAGGTCGTTATCTTTGTAATGTTTGTGTCTTTTATCAAAAAGCACTCTGTTCTGACAGGATACACGTTCGAAAAAGAATATTGACGTCCGAAATATTTGCACGATAAAAACAGTTATTTTGTTTGTTTAAGGCCTCTGTTGAACATGCTGATCTTGAATGTGCTCTTGACCATTGTCTAAGGGGGTGTGGTGAATTAATGGCAGGTATTGCAAATTAATAAATGACTGCATGCCCCTGCTTTGTCAGTGTGTGTGTGCATGCCGGTCAAGCAAAACTGATGGCTACGCATGTTTATTCCTCCGTCATGTTTTAGTCGGCGTTCTATCCCTTTTTACTATGGCAGCTTCAACAGGTTATGGGCCCAGAAAGGAGCTTGGAAGCCAATGGAACCGTTTATGTTTCGACAAAGATGAGAAACACTACGAACTGTGGCAAACAAAGTTTCTGGCGTAGCTGCGTCTGCTTAATTTGAAGGGCACCATACTGAGTGAACTGCCTGGTGAGGCGAGTGAAGGTGCAGCAGACGATGCAGTGAAAAATGAAGACGCGTATGCAGAACTGATTCAGCTGTTAGATGATAAAAGCCTGTCCTTGGTGATGAGAGATGCAACGAATGATGGCAGAAAGGCGCTAAAAATTCTGAGGGAACATTACGCTGGTATGGGGAAACCACGAGTGATCAGCCTCTACACGGAGCTAATGAGAGCGTCACAGACTATGTCATTTGCGCAGAGACTGCTATTACAGCATTGGGTCGTAATACCTTAGAACTGCATCAAATGGATGTAAAAACTGCATATTTACATGCCCCTATTGACTGTGAAGTGTGAACTGTACATGGAACAGCCAGAGGGATTTAAGGTTAAGTCAGAAACGGGTGAAAAGCTTGTCTGTAAACTTAAAAAATCACTTTATGGTTTGAAACATTTAGGGCGGAATTGGAATAAAATGCTACATGATTTCTTAAGCCAAAATGATTTAATTCAAGATCCTGCTGACCATTGTGTTTACAGTAAACAAACTGGAAGTGAGAAGATCATACTGATAATCTGGGTCGATGATCTTATTGCAGCGAGTGATAGTCGGACACTCAGAGATGTGAAAAAAATGTTGGAAGAAAAATTTAAAATGAAAGATCTTGGCAAACTTAAACATTTCCTGGGCACTGACTTTGCACAAGGAGATGGTGAAATAAAAATTAACCAGACTCACTGCAAACCAAGGTCAACTCCATGTGAAAACAAACTGAAATTTGAAAATGAAGGTGAACCTGTTGATCCAAAGAGGTACCTAGAAGTGGTTGGTAGCTTGATCTATGTAATGACCTGTACTAGGTTTCATTGTCAGCAAGCTGTCACAACATTTCTGAACCAATAAAACAACACTTGGTAGCTGCTAAGCATGTATTGCGATATTCAAAGGAAACTGTAAACCAGGAATTGTGTTACAGGAGAAATGATGTAAATCTTAATTTTTTTGCATTTAGTGATGCTGATTGGGCAGCAGATCAAAATGACAGGAGAAGTACAACTGGTTACTGTTTTAGTTTGTCTGAAACTGGTCCTGTTATTTCTTGGAAGTCTAAGAAACAATCTACAGTTGCTCTTTCCACATGTGAGGCTGAGTACATGGCTTTGGCAGCTACTACACAGGAGAGCCTTATCTTGTCCAGTTACTAAACAAAATGGACAATGAATATGATTACACACCAGTGACAATTTATGAGGACAATCAAGGGGCAATTGCTTTGTCTAAAAACCCTGTATGCCGTCAAAGGTGTAAACATGTTGATATAAAGTATCACTTTGTTCGATCTGCACTTATTGATGGAAAGATAACTATTGAATATTGTCCTACAGCGAAGTGGTTGCAGATATTTTGACCAAACCTGTAACTAAAGCCATGCTTGATAGATTTGTGTGTTTTATTTGTGGTATGAAGGGTTAAACATGAAGAAAAATGTATTGACTGGGTTCTTTGCAAATGTACATGACAACTGTATGTTGTTATTCAGCCTAAGAGCAAGTGGGGGTGTTGACATGCTGATTTTGAATGTGCTCTTGACCATTGTCTAAGGGGGTGTGGTGAATTAATGGCAGGTATTGCAAATTAATAAATGACTGCATGCCCCTGCTTTGTCAGTGTGTGTGTGCATCAAACAAAACTGATGGCTACGCATGTTTATTCCTCCGTCATGTTTTAGTCGGCGTTCTATCCCTTTTTACTATGGCAGCTTCAACAGCCTCACACTGCTAAACCAAACCAGCTCCAGTGTGTAGAGTCATGTCTTCTTAATTTTTAAGTTTCTCATTTCAGCAGAAAAGAAAATTTGATTAAAAAAAAAATTGTAAATTCAGTGTTAATAAAAATATAAGTAATTTCAGTTTTTATTATCAGCTGATATATCGTCCGGCCTTACAAGTCAGAGTCTCACCCTTTGGGACTCTGCAGATCATTCTGTAGTGTGTCCAGAGAGGACAAGCTGAAGACAGTCATTCAGTAAGTAGTAGCAGGACAGTCACTCTCTTTATCCGCTCATGCTCAAGGATGAGATAGTCGAGCAGTCAGTGTTTCAAAATGCCAGACAAGCACAAGACCACAATGGCCTCACTGTATGCCAGCCTGCCTGGCAGCCTGGCAAAGAGCTACAGAGCAGTCTGCTGCGGCAAACAACAGAGCAAGTCAAGGTCATGTTACACACTGCAACACTATAGTGACAGATTTCCCAATGCAGTCAGTACAACAATAAAAACAACGCCACAACAAGCAGCAGTTAAACAGAGGGCACAACAAAGATGTGTAAAGAGATCAATGAGAGAGCAGTGAGATGATTCTCATTTTCACATGAGCCTTCAGAGATTTACAATCTGAGTCAACTCAAAGACTGAACTTTGAGCTGCAGAGATGGAAGCCAGGTAGGGAAACAGATTAATCATTTTTATCAATTTAGGCCTGAGATGGTGGTCATATGTTGTGTCAAGGCTGTAGTGCTGCTGCTCACCACTGTAGTGAACAGCAACAGGCAGATGCTAAAATGCTTTATACCTGAATGTAAACAAACACAGCAGACAGATGGTGGAAGAAAAGTTAGCCATGTCAGATAAGATGGGCTCAATTTTGACTGACTGTTTTCTTAACATCAAACCAGGCATGTTGTTGTTGTTAAAATTTCCATTAACAGTCTTGAAAATTAGTCACTAGAAACATCTCTGGCAGGTAGAGGAAATTGTGAAGAAAAAAAAACATAAATCAACAAATCAAGTCTCCCTCTGAAAGCTCGTCCTTTAGCAGTTCATATTCCCCTATCTCCCAGCTTCTTTGTTTTTACCATATTTTCCTGAGAAAATACTCATTTTATCTCAGCATGCAGTTAGATCATGATATTTTCTGTTTTGTTGTACACGGTGCATTGCAAGAGTAACAGTTTGTCTGATACAAACCAAGCCTCATGATAAAAGCCAAACATTTAACTGGGATGAAGTCCGATTGATTACTTCCAACTGCTGCACCACAACACTCTGCTCTGTAGCGCCCACTGATTTGAGGCTAACCCACTAGTGGAACAACCAGTATACAAAATCAAATATCTATCTAATGAAGCTTAATGACTTGTTTCTTTTTTTAGACTTGTGTAATTATCCAGACATTCAAAATAGCACCATTAAAATCACTGTGACGTCTTTCCAGCTGAACTGTAACACTGTCTGGTGAGAAACATAAGTTACTACTTTATCAAGGCTTTGGATAATGGCAGGTTGAAGTACAACATGCTGGCTGCAAAAACTATGGCTGCCTATCCAAAACTTGTACATTTGTACTGCTGGTGGATGCAGGATATTTTTCTGACCAAACATGCTTTTTATCTTTTATGTGGATCAGTTCTTTAGATAAAGCCACAGATAGAGCCTCTCAGTGGTCTGTAAGAGGCTGTGATCCAACCTTTCTGTAGATATGATGATAATTTAGAGCAGCAGAGTGCTTGGTCACCAACCTGTTGTCTCTTTTCAGCAGAAAACACACACACAAAACACACTGTAGAGATAACTGCAAAATTTCATGCATTCCCACAGCTCTGCTGGAAGCCCAAAGAGTGTGAGTGCATTTGTGTGTCTGTGTGTTTCCAGTCCACTGACTGACCACCCCTCCCCCTTTCACCTCCACCCCCCCCCCCCCCACACACACACACACACACACACACATAAATACACACTCTAGCCTGTATAATAACTCTGTTGACGGCATTCTCCTTTCACACACAGCATATGTGTGTGTCATGAGGTGTCCACTATCCTCTGTTTACTTGAATGCCTGACTGATTAAGGGGAAATGCTGATTAAGCATTTCCACTTATTTTTACTGCTATTCCTTATCCCACTTGTTCATTCATCTACTTTTCTCATCCATTACACTAGGAGTGTGCCATATCATACCATGTGCGATGATATCAATGTACATTTTTTTAGTGATGTAAATTTGTCGTATCGTGGTAGTTATACTGTAATTGGTAATCAGATCCCCCCCTTTATAATTTGTGTTGGCATCGGCCCCTAAAAATCCATATCGGTCGGGCCCCAAAATAACACCAATAATAATAATAATAATATTGCTGTTGTACAGAAGCAGCAATCACAAATAATAATTTCTGTAACATATTGTCATAACTATCGTTATCGCATATTGCCTTGAAATGCCCTGACATGTTTCTCTGGCTTCAAACTACTCACAAAAGTCAAAAACAAAGTTTGTGATAGAGACAAACTATAGACAAACCGGAAGCAATTTATTGATCATTCGTATAAGTCAAAGATACATTTAACATCATCAAGGCTTGTATGTGCACAAAATAACATGAGGAAATGATGCTAGCTTAATTCCTATTTGAAAATATTGAGCAGAATTTTTGATACCATCCAGGCTTGGTCAACATTCCTTTCATCGCTGAGATACAGAGTTCACTACTGGTTAACATGACGGCTCTGAGGCTGCATGCCAGAAACCATGCTGCCTATAAGACAGCACAGAGAGCTACAGTGAGACAATTGACATCCCTGTTACATCTCGTCTGCAATGTGTACCAAACAGAGGTGTAATGGTGAGGCAAAGTCGTTCTGCTTCTGATCCTCCCTCAACAGAGGCAGTATGAGGGCACGAAGGTGGTGACATGGAGCATGGAGCTAGCAGGGTGGAACAGCGTGTGTGTGTGTGTGTGCATATTTGAGTGAGTGTGTATGTGTACAAGCCGTGCCTCTCATGCCACCCTCAAGCTGTACTGTGATGTGGATCCCACTAGGGCTGAAATGATTCCTCGAGTACTTCAATTACAAAAAATAATGGAATTTTCTCTGCCTCAAGTACTCGTTTATAAGCTCAAATCGTCACTGTTCCACGCAGATTATAGTCAAGGTGACACAACGCTCCAATGTCACCAAGGTAGAAGGGGGAGTAAGCTTGGTTTTGGTTTTGCAGAGCGGAAAAAAATAAATGATGAGAGGGGCTTTTCCTCTGCAGAGCTCCAGTAGCTCATTAGCAATTGCCTCTGAGTCGTGGACAGAGACAGCACTGCTCTGCACACTCCTCTTCATGTTAGCTTGCAGCCTAACATTGCCAGTCTAGTAGCAGAAGCAGGAAACACAGGAGCTATTCAGCTCTCAGACACTAATGTCTTAAGGGACATGATGAAAGTTAATATCATAATTAGCTTTCTTACGAACACTGCAATCCACTAACATACACACTTGTTCCGTGGTCCGTCTTTCTAAAAAAGGAAAACACTTGATTGTTAATTATTAAGTTGAATGTCTTATTTTCTCTTGTATATTAATAATTGCACTTTAACTAAAAGAAAAAAAAAAGTTTTATCTGATTACTTGATTAATCGATGGAATATTTGGTGGAATACTCGTTAACTAAAATATTCGATATAGCTGCAGCCCTAGATCCCACTGTGGGACAGCCTGGCAGACTGGAGGACAGTATCTGATTTTTGGGGCAGCAGTGGATCGATGGTAGAACGTGTCAATTTCTTCATCTGTGGGTTGGGAGTTTAACCCTTCGTCCTGCGGTCCACATTTTTCAGTATTCTTGGGCGATATACCTAATCCTCATACCGCCCCTGCTGGCAGTACCCAGCAAGAGTGTGATATGAATGAGTGAAGATGACACATAACGTAAAACTACTGTGAGTGGTAAGAAGACACGAGAAAGCTAATTTTATAATCCATCCAACATTTAGCTATGTTAAACACTGGTAGTGCTCCCTTCACAAATGCTGAATTTCACTAAGGCATCCTTGTCACTGACTGGTTGATACACACACACATTAAGACAGGAGGTAGGTATTTCTAGTCATCAACAAGTCATCCAGATTAGCAACTTTACAGACATCACTGGGCATTTATATTCTCCTAGTTCCTCACTGGTCGTCGCACCAGGAATCTTTGAGCTGATATAAAGCTTCTTTTATAGGTTATTGTTAGGAAAAGCAGCCAGTCTATTAGTAAGAAAACTGGTCTGAGTGAGTTCCGTTTTCCAGACTGAATCATGATAGCTCACATGCTCTGTAGATTAAATACCAAGAAAATAGAAATAAAAACCTGCTGTGAAACAGCGGAGACCATCATGTTTACACACACGTCATAACTTGTTTATCTTGAAGTCCTGCGAACTGTCTGAGCCAAACACAGCTGCCATATGAAAACATGACATGCATGTTACAATCCTGCTCTGCTAACTTCACAGAGCTGGGGTCCCGTTCTCCATGGGACTAAAACTAACTGGGCTTCAGGTCAGAATCACAGCTGGGTGAAACAACAAGCTTCATCTGGTCCTGATCCAGACACTGAGAGATGAAAGAAACCAGTTCACATTCGACTGTAAATAGGCAGCAAGAGCACAGAAAAACTCGAGAGGACTGCAGGTTTTATCAGGAGCAGAAATGGCTGGTCTCCAGTTATCAGTCACTGGCAGACATGACAGAAGCTCAACCCACAGCCTTGAGGAGGAGCTAGTAGTCTCCTGTCTCAAATATGCTCATGTCTTGACAACACAATTTACACTTCTTTACCACCAGCTATGCTTGTCACTGACTTCTTTTGTCATAATAACTTTGTCTCCAATTCAACAAACACAGACAGTGGTGTATCAATAACCATTTAGAGTTTGGAGAGGCTAACGAGTTGCCGTTTTCCTTATACTCTTTTTTTTATATTCTTTTCTATTGTTGGTGGTAGGAGGATAAACAGGTTGTAATTAGGGCTGCACGATTTTGGCCAAAAATAAAATCCTGATTTTTTTCTCCGACAACTCGAAGATTTATATTCATAGGGGCAACTTTTCAAAAAGTGCCATTTAAAGTCACTCGAAACGCCCCAGTACGACAGAATCCTCCTGAATTTGTTTCTGTGTGAATGCCTTCAGACAGACTTTGCAGAGGGGAGTGGTTTGCTCTTCATCTGTAACTGCAAATTCGTAGCAACTTGCTCAAAATTATCGCCTTCTTTTGCAAACGCCATGTTTGTTCACACTGGTGTGTGTGTGTGGGAACTGGGGAGCGCTCTCGCAGGAAGGGGGAGCCTACGGTGGCCTGGAGGCGCGAGACTTGACTGAGAGGAAAATCGATTCGCTGATTTTTTAAAATTTTTTTAACATTGTCATAATCAAATAATCCAATTACAATTTAAAACCGATTAATCGTGCGGCCCTATTTGTAATGTCATTAGTCATTTTTAGTTTGTATTGCTTGGACAACAAACTAATTCCTCCAACAAACAACTTTGCCAGTCTTTCACCCAAACCTACATTTTCTTTTCCTTGGTGGTATTTTGGAACACCTCGTGGTGATGTTTACTTGTGCCTGATGATTGTTTTGCTAACATGACCAGACACATCACATCATAATGTCACCTCATGTCACCTCAATTACTTTGCTGACCAGCTTTTAGCTCAGATTTTTTAAGTGTTTTGAACCAATAGGACTTGCAGCAATGACTGGGTGCACTTACAACCACTACTTTGAATGGAGAAGGTTTGAAGTTTATTTCGATCTGGTCATATCCATTCAATATATACAATAGATTAAAAAGAAAAGAAAACCCGACCGAAAAGGCATAGGCTGAAGCAAGAGCTTATTATCGCCTATCCTTCTTACTAAATCAAAATATTCAAAACATCTCATTCCACACGTTAGATAGAAAACAAAACACAACAACAAAACCAAAAAAAAAAAAAAAAACTCAGAAAAAAATAAAACAATAATAATCAAATTAAATCCTGAATATTAGTTTATCCGTAACATCAATCATTATTTCTATAATTTTCGATCACCTTGCTTTTAAACAACGATTTGAATTTGTGGATCGTCTGACACATCTTCAATTCATCATCAAGAGCGTTCCATATATTCACACCTTTAACCGAAGTACACTGTTCTTTGATCTTGGTTCTAGTTTTTATTTTTTCCATCATATGTGTCCCTTGGAGCTCATACCTACGTTCCCTTTTTTTAAACATATTGACAATTTTACAAGGCAATGAATTATTATGTACTCTGTACATGGTCTGTGCTATTTTGTAGTCCACCAGGGGCCGTATGCACGTTGCTTGGCAAAACGCGTTTAGCCCGCTAAACGCGTTTAACTCCTAAACGCCAAAAATGTCGGTATGCACGTCACTTCGTATAGCCGTTCCTATACGGATTTTCGTGTTTAAAGTTATCGCACCTCTGGGGGTCCAATAGCTGGTCTAAACGCGTTTAAATACGGCGGCACTCTTGTTGTTCCAAGGAAGACAGCGGCGACAATTGCGTCGAAACAGGATTTTTCGTGACAGAAAACACCCCTTCGACACGTATGACGACCACGAAGTGTTCCGTAAGTTTAGATTTCGACGGCACCATATTCTCGACCTCACACAGGAGATTTCCGCTGAAATTGAACTTTCGAACCGAGGATTCACCCTCACTCCACTACAACAAGTCCTCGTAACCTTAAGGTACTACGCCACTTCTTCTTTCCAAGACGTGTGTGGGGAGTTGGTAGGAGTGGATCAGTCGACAGTCAGTCGAACCGTCACTCAAGCGTCACTCAACCCGTTTAAGACACAGTAAACGCGGTTAGCTATACGGTTCCGTTTACAGCATTGTGCATACCAAAATCGTATAGGAACTAAACGCGTTTAAGGCCCGTATAACTAAACGCGTTTAAGCCCTAATCGCGTTTACGCTAAACCCTTTCAACGTGCATACGGGCCCAGGTCCTTAAATTTTAATGCTCTTAATTTAATGAATAATTTCTTTGATGGTTCTCTGTAATTTGAATTGGTGATAATCCGTACTGCTCTTTTTTGCAAGATGAAAATAGGTTGCGTATGGGTAGGGTATGCATTCCCCCATATTTCCAGACCGTAGGTGATATATGGAACCACAATTGAGCAATACGAAATATACAAAGCATACTGGTTCAATAAATCCTTTACCTTGTAAATTATGCCGATTGATTTTGCTAATTTTGATTTAACATGATTTATATGAGTTTTCCAGTTCAGTCTTTGGTCCAAAATGACACCCAAGAATTTCGCTTCCGACACTCTTTCAATTTCTCCATCGTTAATGCTCAGTTTAACATCTGTACCTAAACCATTTTTTAACCAATTTCATCTCCTTTTCAACAGTAGATTTGATTTCAGATAAGTGCTCTCCAGAACAAAAAAAATTTGTGTCATCCGCAAAAAGGATGGAGTTCATATACTTAGACACATTACAGAGTTCATTCAGATACAGAATAAATAACTTTGGACTAAGGACTGACCCTTGTGGGACGCCGCACTTAACCTTCAACAGTCCAGAATCAGTTTTACCCGAAGAGACGTATTGCCATCTGTCACTTAAATAAGAACAAAGTCAAGCGTGAGCTACCCCTCTGACACCATATTTAAACATCTTTTGACGTAAAAGGTCATGATCAATTGTGTCGAACGCTTTTTTTAGATCTATAAAAATTAGGCCTGCATGATATATATCGTTTGAGCATCGTCATCGCGATGTACGTGTGCTCAATAGTCACATTGCAGAGCTTGCGATGTCGGAGGTGAATGAACTCAGTTAATTTTAAGGGTAACTGACTGAGATACACTCCATGTGCTGTGCAGCGATCCACCAATCACCTCTGTTCTTTACTCAGTTGCCAATCAGACTCAGTTCTCAGTTGCCAATCAGACTACCCTGCCAGCTGTCAATCAAAATCAGAGAGGAGGAAACCCACCCCTGCACATGTCCTGCACATGGAGTGAGTCGCTGCAGCTACTGGAGTTGTGCCGAGAAACGCGGGTCCACTGAGAATTACTTTCGGAACATTACTCATCACTGTTTAGCCCAACAAATAAGAACTGTATGGGTTTTAAATTGTACATTTTGGTGGACCACTCTACTACAAGCAGTGCGCGTTTTGTGAGGTGCATGCAACTCTCGGAGGACATGCGTTTCTCAGCACCCCGGTAACAACAACAACGATCGCAAACTGAGCAACAAACAGAGAAAACCACAGAAGATGAAGACTTGTTGCCAAAAAGAGAAGGGAAGTCAGTTATCTGGAATTATTTCAGTAACAAAATGGATGATGTCGACCAAAACACGTGTTCTGTGTTCATCTGTTGCCACAATAACGTCCCAGCACAATAAAAGCTAAAAATACCTCTGAGACAGACAGAAGCCATTCTACTAAAATTCAGAAAAAGAGGGAAGATCAGAGCAGGTTAACTTTCCTCTAGATTTCAGCAGTGCAGCATAACATTAAGTGCTATTCAGGTCATCTGGTGAAAATTCCTGTATTTTTTAATATCGCAATATATATCGCAGGGTTGAAAAAAATCGCAATGTTAGTTTTTTCCAATATCGTGCAGCCTTAAAAAAAATTCCCATTGTGTATAGTTTATTGTCTATTGCAGTGGTTATGTCATTTATAAGTTTGATGAGGGCTAATCCTGTTGACTGGTTTGTTCTAAAACCATACTGATTTTCACTTAAGATACTGTGCTTCTCTATGAAACTGTGCAATCTTTTGTCAAATAATTTCTCAAGAATTTTCGAGAATTGAGGCAGCAAAGAAACTGGTCTGTAATTTGAAACCAGATCTTTTCCACCAGACTTGTACAAGGGAATAACTTTGGCTGTTTTCATTTCATTTGGAAATATTCCGGTTGAGAGTGAAAGATTAAAAATATAGGTAAAAAAAAAACAAAAAACAGAAGGATAACAGATAGGGGTTTTTTTTCCAGAAAAGAAGTCAAAGGTTCTGCATTTCAAAGCATAATGCATATGTGCTAAGGTGTTGACATTGTGCCACTCTTAAAATAAGTGATTATGCTACATTAACCGCATTACTCTTCCTCCTTATTGTTGTCTTTGGTAGCCAAACTGTAGAGCTCTTTGCTCTTTCAACCAACAGAAATGACATTTAGGCTGTATAGGAAAACACACAGGGTCTTTTACAAACATGAGCAGAAAACAGCATTTACACTACACAAACCAAAGCTACGTGCACAACCTAAAAGTGTAATTTGCAGTTGACATCACTCCATAATCACATTTGAACTGTGTGGCTTTGCAGTTCAACAAGTCTGACAAAGCGGAGGAGAGTGTTCTCTAGAGAAGCAATCTTGCTAACTAAGCCCTGCCTCCTTTTTTATAATGTACTATTTATCAATAGAGTTGGTCCAATACTGCCTAAAATGCAGCATGGAGTATTGGTGACAGGAATCAATGAGAACAGGTTTCAACTATTTTGAGTTATCAACATCATTTGCCAGCATGAACAACCACTGAGGAGTTAAGGGAGACATCATGGCAGACAGAAGACAAGAGCAGGCCAGACTGCAATGGTATGACAAAATATTTTTCTACAAACAATATGAGCTCAAAAAATTAAAACAGTATAATGTATCATATTGTAGTAAATCCACTCCCTCAGTGAGACCGGCTTTGTGGCAATAATCTGAGTGCCTCTGCAGCATCAAAGCGTTTGTCTATCCCACAGAGAAGATCGGTGGATTTTCAGATACTGCCTGGATCCAGTCCATAAAAAAACTGATCATTTATGTTTCAGTTTTAGCAAAATGCTGTTAGCTGCTAGACTGAAGCTGCCATCTTTGTTTTGGTGTTTCTGTTTTCCCTCTGGTACCCTGTCTTTAATTGACCAGCATCAGAAGGATACTTGGCATTAGCATAAGCTTCAGACAAATTAATAAAACTCTTGTTAGGAGAAGGGGGAATAATAAAATTTCAATTGACACATTCACAATCAAGGTCCATCATGCACTGCTCCTCTGACACCTGTACTCCTCGGTCCATGTGAACTAATTTTACGACCATAAAGCTGGACTACAGGTAGCAGACATAATGACACCATTCAAACTATCAGTGTTTAAGTTTCCTGCTGTAGGAAGATTACTTTTATACATGATGTTAACGCCAGAGGGCTGTTTAACTGTTGATAGTTTGATTTGGACTCTTAAAGAGGAGATGATGGACACATTTTGGATGAAATTCTATCAGACCTTAACCTTAGGTTCAACTTTAAACATGCATTAGTTTGGTCAACACCTGCCTTGCAGGCCTAGTGCAGGACATTGACATGACAGGCTACCAAAAGACAATAAGAGGCCTGTGCTAACAGAGTGGCTGTTACACATTGCAAAAACTGCTTTGGACCTAATCACAAAGTGACTTAGATTACTGGTAACACAATTTGTCAAGCATACAGGCCAGCTGCACTGCAGCTAAGAATGGCATTTGCACACTTGATACAGATAAATAAAGCTTATATAAGAGGTGCTCTTCTCTCAGGGATGCACCGTGTTCCCTCTAAAAATGCACTTCACTACAATCTCACCTTCACAACTATGCTTGGAATAATAAAGCACCTCAGCAAAAAAACAAACAAACAATAGCTTCCCTGGAACTTTTCCTCAATAATCTGTTTAGATGGTCCACCCACACAGAGATAAGACTTTAATTTAGAGCTAAATAGCTTTAATGGATCAAAGGTTGGAGACTGAACTATCAGCACCTCTGTCACCGTGTGACCATGTCCACTCCAATGTGAAAACACCAGCTGCATGACTGGTGAGCTGAGTCAGCAATCGGGAACGGACAGAATGGTTAACAGGAACAAAGCTTAACTGGCTCAATAAATGATGACTCAGGCAAATGCCTTATGTCTCCTAAACACTCCCCTGTATGCAGTAGTTTAGTGCAATTGGGTGTCAGGATGTCTGATGACCTTCAGAGCGATAGGGCAAACTTAAATCACTGCTCTGGTTTGTAGTCAGTAAGCAGTCCTGAACAACAGTTTATACGGGGGGTTATTACAAGGGGCATTTGCTGCTACTTAACAGTACCGAGATGTTGTCCCCCCCGCAGAACGATACGTGTAGATATTTGCCAACCAGTTAACAGCAACAGTTAACAATACAAAGGCTGTGACAGACCGCAGAGTACGGAGACACACGACAGGCAGGGGGGGAAGTGCAACTAAAGCAGCTGACAAATAAAATCTGGAACATTTATGCTTGTTTGTGCAGAAGTGGTAGTGTTGACACATTTTAGAGTACATATGCAGTCAGGCTATTAGAAAAAAAATGTCTTATTTCTCTTTTTAACAGACTTTATGTCCGTGTGGAATCATAGATGTGATATTTTTGTTCACAAGCATTTACTTGCTGAAACAAGCAAGTCCTTCCCTGAAATTGCTGTTGTCCGCTCTGCAGTATAGAGGTGCTCTAAATCATATATCTGCACTCACGGGCCCTCATTTATCAATCTTGTGCAGATCTGAGTGCAGATCTTAGCGCAGGATTCATTGTACAATAGGACACATTTGAGATTTATGAAACGGTTCGTATCTGACCAATCCCAGCGTACGTATGTTCCGGTCTTGATAAATGCAGCGGCTGAAATCGATCGTCATTAACATGTTTACGCCCTTAAATATTCGTGGTTCAGAAGCCTCGCCCACTGAGGTCAAACATGAAAGAGGAGAAATATTACAGAGATGTGAAACTTCTCTGAGCTGAAAGTGGATATCCTCACATCTGTGGTGGAAACGAACAAGGATTTTCTCTTTGGACGCATCAAAACCGGTATAAAAGCAGTCAGAAAACTCCTGTCTGGAGCAGGATTATGGTGGCGGTGAACAGCGCTGCCGCGGAATAGTGGACAGTGGCTGAAGTTTGAAGAAATCATTAGTCAATAAATTGCTCATGATGATAAATGAATATCTCATACATGCCTCATATATTTCATTGCCATGACATAGGTTACGTTGCTCCTATTGTTGAAAGTATTTAGTTTTAATTTGTTGCGTCTTTGTAATGTAGAGCAGACTGGAGAGTCTGACAGAGGCTGAACAAAAATAATTATTAACGTCACCAAACATTGTGTTGCTGCCCCTGAGGCACATTTTTATGGATTTCTGTTGGATTCTTATCACTGATTAAATAGCAAGAGCACTTTCTAAACTTATATTTTACGTCAGAATCCATTGATAAGGTCCTGTCTCCTCTGTCCAGCATCTTTGTGGAGTCACTCCTCGTTATTGTTCTCTGGGCATTAGGTCCTCACGTTGGACCGGCACAGCCAACAGCACTCCATTCACCAGTGTAACATTGTGCAAAATTGTACTGGCCCAAATGATGTCCCACACCCTTTCAGGAATGTACAACAACGTCCCCGCTGCTGGGCCAAGACAGAGCTACCTGCCTTTTAGAAGTCAAACGCAGCGCTCCACAGTGGCGCGTGTGCATGTGTGCGTAATGTTAAAACGGCGCTCCTGCTCTGTGGCAGTGTTTCCGGGCAGTTATCAAATAGGCCTATTCACTAAGGACATAACAAATTTGTTTTATTTTATTTAAGTCTTAATCTTTAATGAAATCTGGCTGATTGTGATTAATGACAGGTTTGAGGTTTGTTTATCAATTATTTTCAGACAGACATTTGCTGCACCGCAGATCCACACTGACTCAAACTTGCGTACATGATGTTAGACCTGTCGTGAGATTTGGTCGTAACGTACGCTCATGTGCAGATTGATAAATGCCGATCCTCTTGTCAAAATTGTCGTACGCAAGGTAGTGCTGGACGATAATTCGATAACAATATATATCGATCGATAGACGTGTGGTGCGATAGAAAAAAAACGGGTCGATAAAAAGTTCGATAGAAAAACACAGTTTCCCTTTCTTTTTCATCATAGCCTATCATGTAGCTTTTACTACAGTCATTACTTCCTCCCAACCAATCACAAACGCAGACCCAGGTACGCTACGGCACCAAGCCCAGCCCCTATCAAACCACAACAGACAGCACGTGTATTAGAAAAAATGATACAGCAAGGAGAAGCGGAGGACATTGTCCCGAAAAAAGGTTTCAGTAGTTCACCAGCATGGCAATGTTTTGGTTTTTAGAAGTCTGACAAAAAGCGACCAGCGGTCGTTTGCAAAATTTGCAGAGAATTAGAAAAGAGTCTGGTAACACAACCAACTTGTTTTACCATATAAACCGATCGCACCCACAGGAGTACGAGCTGTGTCGGCAGCGCCGCGGCTCCACGTTATCGTCGGAGGAATCCTCTAGAACCGCTGCCAGCACCAGCACAAAGCATGTGAAGCAGACCAAACTGGACTTCGTTTCTTGCCAAAAATACGACAAAGCGTCCAAGCGGCATAAGGACATCACCCATGCAGTAACATGCTCCATAGCGAGGGACATACTGCCAATAACTACCGTTGAAAAGCCTGGCTTCGACCAGCTTCTAGCCACTCTCGACCCGCGATATGAAGTGCCCGGCCACAAGTATTTCTCAAACACAGCGCTTCAGGCATGAAAATGGGTCAGGGGTTGAAAAGGTGAGAAGGGTGCGGAGGAAATACGTTCCCGTCCACTCATTAGCTTCTTAAAGTGGAAGAAAATGAGCTCATATTTTACAAAGACGCGAGTATTTGGATCATGGCTACTAGCAGGGGGTGCATTCGGCAGGGGTGCATTCTACGACACAACACCGGCGTGGATAAGTCCTGCTTCTCGTGCTCAGTTTGTGTATTAAGTCAATCACATGATAATTAAAAAAAATAAATCTCCCGACCCCGGGAGAAATATTTCAGTGTTCAGACACCAGGCTGTGGGCAGTTTCCCACACAGTTAAAACTGGTAGTATGCTATTCCCACCTAAAGCTATTCTGTTTATTTATATATTTGTTTGTTTTGTTTATTTTCATCAAAAGACTATTTAAATATTTATTTATCAGATTTTCTGGTCACTTTAGTCTTTATGTTTGTCGGTATTTACTGACGTCACTCAGGCCACTTAAGTTGATTTCTTTTTTTTTTAGTTCTTTTTTAAAAAACTTTCAGTTGTGGTAAAATAAAAAAGGTGGTTAAATAAAGGTTTGAATTTGAATTCAGTGCTTGTGTGTTCTTTATTAAAAGTAGGTCATTAAGCAATAGCATAAAACATCCAGGGCTGCAATTAAAATATATGTTAAATAATTATAATAATTATATCGATAATTATCGATATCGATCAATATGATTTATTTTTTGCCGATCCTCTTGTCAAAATTGTCGTACGCAAGGTGTACGCAAGTTTTCTGCCGTACGCAAGCTTGATAAATGAGGGCCATGATGCTTATACGAATGTGCAGGTTTACTCATGCCATGTGCTCTGATACCCCCATATCATCACAGATGCTGAACTGTGTGCTAATTACAAGCCAGATGGTCCCTTTTTTGTACAAGGATGCAGTGTCCATGATTTTCCAACAAGATTTCAGGTTTTGACTCATCAGATCACAGGACAGATTTCCACTCTAACTCAGTCCATCTGAAATGAGCTAGGCCGGGAGATAAAGATTTCTCTCCAAATCTTTTCACATTGTGTAATTTCACATACATGTTTTTCTTGAACTGCTGCTCTGAAATACTTATCAGATGTCACAACATTTCAGTTTCTTTTGCTAACATAATAATTTTTCACCAGCTAGATCTAAAGTTGTCACCTCTGATATGTTGCATATGCTCTGTATTAATAAAATATGAGATGCCAATGTCTTGAAAGGCATGGTGCTCTGTTTATAGTGACATTTCAGACAGAATCCTGGCTTATTTGAACAGCGGGTTGTAAACATCTATTTCGAAAGACAGGCGCATGACAAATGTTCTTCACACACTGCAAGCCAACTCCTGCAGATCACCTAATGGTCAATAATATTAATGATATATTTAGTGGCAGCATTTAAATGCAGGTCTACTTTTGACACAGGAGTATAAAGTGTTTGATACTTTCATGTTTCAGACTCAGAAATACTCATCACTGTGGGAAATCCAGTTGTTCAGGGTGAATAATGCATCTCTGACTCTGAGATGTTATGGAGTCACACACGTTTGTTCCAGCATACAGTTTCCAGTGAATGTCTTTGTGGATATACTTGATGGAGACACTAATTGTCTCAAGAGAAATGGTAAGGAATTATGTTTGTGTATATGTGGGTGCACACACAAAAACTCTATGCCCCCCTTGACTGAGTCAGTGCCTCAGTTGGGCCACCCGGGTCAACAAAGTCTGGACACGCTCCTGGCTATAGCTTAATTTTCAGGCCTTGCAACTGAGATAGTCCTTTACTTCCCTATTGTTTAAACGACAAAGTAAAGTAAAAGAACCACACATTTGACCATGGCTAAATACATATAGATATAAGATACAGAATAACCAATAAAAAAATAACTCCACAGCCTCCGGGTCATCCGTCAGTAGCTGCTCAGTGACTGAGTCAGCTAGCTAAGGCTAACAGAGAGAGGTTTACGAAGCTAACTTACCTCATACTGGATATACTGTTTTCTCCACTCCGGTGTGATGTGAGCGGAGAGATGCTCTGTGAATTTCATTTTGTCAGTTTGGTTGGCTTGTCACCCCTGATTTGACAGTTTCCAGGGCCGGTGGGTCGGTTGAGCAGCTGGAGGTGTTGCCGAGCTGGTCCACAAACGGGAAACAGAAACTCTCATCCGAAGATTTCGGTCGCTCACATATAGAGATGCCCTTTTGTCTTCACGTTAACCTAGCCAGCAACCGGCGCCAATTTCCCTCATTTTAGGCACACACGACGAAATGCTTATGGAGTCACACATTTAGCTAAGGTAAATGGTTAAATGTGGAGGTATTTGTAGCGCAAATGTCCATAGGATAGCGGTTAGTTGGTGGTAAACAGACTCGTTGTGCTGGCGCTAGCTGGCCGTTGCTATCTTCCCCCACCCTCCTCTCCACCTCCTGTCTCCCGCTGCGTTCAGGTGAAGTTGGAAATATTACAACATACCAATCTTAGCGCACATGAACATGTTGTTGGTGGGTGTAACAGGGTGGGCCTTTCTCAAGACACATCATCCAACCAGCACGGCTGAACTGCTCCTATTTTCCGTTTTACTCCCTCAGTAAAGAGCTGCGAGCTGTCTGTCATATACCGAAAGGGGAGGGGTCGTAATAGTGGTACATTTAGAGGTTATATAGGGCTGGAGTGGCTGACGGGGGGGATGCACTTCAACATTAATTTTCTTGAAACTAAAATAAAATCAAAGTTTGCCTGACTCAGTCTGATTTTCTTGACGTTTTTACGCTTTGATAAGCTATAACAACGACGAGATGATGTTGCACTGTTGAGTCCAAAAGCCCTGCAACCTGCTTCCAAGTAAGAGCAGCTGGCACAACTTTATTTCTCCCATTAGCCTATATTCCTAAATGGTTCTCTTGTTTCCACAGCATCAGTAAATGTTGTGCTTCATTGTTGATATCATCAGATTTCTGATTCTAATAGTAAATGGTAAAAAGATTCCTCAACTGCAAAAACTGTAGCTATAACTGCCTGGTAATATCTCAGGAGAATACTGGACAGACTGATGGTTTTTTTTTTTGTTTTTGTTTTTTTCACCGGATGGCAGTTTATAGTTTTGAATTGAACTGGTCTTCATTGTCCTCCTTTACACTTTATTTAACTCTAATTTTTCTCCTCCAGATATTTTACATCTAAATGGGCATAATAATTTTGATCCCAAACCACAGGATGGCTGTTTGGTGTACCTATTGGCCTCAGCTAATAAATCATACTTTGATTGTCTGAATGCATGCCAACTGTAGGTAAAATGGTATTTGTTCTTACATCAGGCTGTCTTTTACAGTGTTTGAAAAATGTAGCGACAGCAGAGAATTTTGAACCCATCTCAGGCAAGACTTCATGTGTGCAATCCTGGGATATTTTCCGTCTGACTTGGAGATGCTATTCAGGGGGAAATGTGTCATTCAACTGTTTTTTAGTGAACTGGAATATTTTTGAGGAAGATGAAATCGTTGTGTTGTGTGTTTGAAAATGTATATTACAGTAAGGACTTGTCCTTGAACATTCTTGAACACAAATAAAATAATTGATATTAAGCATCTGAAGTGTGTATGTGTCAATATCCATGTGGCATTTTTAACATTTAAGCACCTTTAATATTTTTCACGTTTTCATAAATAGGATGAAGTATCATTGAGTTGACTATTGGCTGCAGTGAGTAGAATGCACACTCATTTCAGTTGATTTATTGATAATTCATGACAAAAGAAAGAGTTAGTTATTTAGACTCTTTAAAGCTTTTTATTTCCTTTTTTTTCTCAGGATGGCTGTAAATTAACAATGCACGTAGAAGAGCCTGACTGAGATTGAGGTTAGTTTTTGAACAGTTATCAAATGAATTTGATGAATTGTTACATTCATTTTGAGACCAAGAGAACTGCCTTCAAGCAAAGATGCAAATAAATCTGTAAGTTAAAATGATGAAAGAATATTGATTTTTAAGCAAGGCCACCTTCAAACAATCTGAAAATGCAAGTCTTTTTGTTGGCCTGCAGGTCCACCCTGAGGCTAATAAGTGCCAGCGATGGATGAAATTTTGCAGTGCAACTGCAGGAGTAATTTTATTACTATTATTGTGAATATTAAGGAAAGCATAGCCCAAGTATACTGGATTACATCGGCCTCAAGTGGCAGTCAGGTTTCTGATGGTTGCCATGGCTGCCTCTAGAAAACTGATAGTGTGAAACCATCGGAACCGCCCCCTGGTGGCTGACTGCTGATAGCCCACCCTCTTCATGTCAAGGGCGATACGACAAAAGTAAACAGGAAGAGGGGGTGGTGAAGAAGGTGTAAATCCATGGCTATTAACAGAGGTGGGGGCTTGACGACCCGACTCGAGACTCAACTTGGACTTGACTCCCGTTTTTGATGGCTTAAGATTTTCTTGATGAAATCAAGAAATGACTTGGACTTGGGACTTGGGACTTGATTGCTAAAGACTTGAGACTTGACTTGACTTGGGCCCAGTGACTTGAAAAGTCAAGTCTTTTCAAGTCACTTAATACCTTACAGCAAGCCCAAACTGTTTAAAAAGTGTCGCATCAACTAATAGTCAGGAATTACGGCTGTTGGTAACACCGTGTTGTGTTGCCAAGTCTGCGTATTTCGTGCAAAAAAATTCTCTTGTTTTTGGCTTGTTTCTGGAGGTCTGTTTCCTTATTTCTCTCACAAAACTTGGCAACACTGTCTCAAACTCTAGCCTCCCTCATAACGACAACACTGGGGGGACTGAACATAAATCGCTCGCTAGTATTGCCCGCCTGTTTCCACGTGGAAACAGGCAACACGTAAAAAAGAAACACACCCGGCTTCACTCTGTCACTACTGCTGGACTGGTGAACTGAACTGGAAGCCAGGAGACATGACTACTCCAGCAGTTATAGCTTTTGGTTTTAAAAATTACGAGGTGGATGACATCAAAGAGAAAAGAAAAGCCCAATGCAAGACATGCAGTGCCAAAATCAGTGATGGAATGAAAACTACTTCCAACTTCATTCGACATAGCTGCACTATGTATCTTAACACAAACAAGAACTCTTGTTTAATAATAAATGCAAATTGAGAAAAATGCTCATGATTTATGTAAATCTTTACATATAACAAATGGTTTCTGGCTTTGATATGACTTGTTTTTGACTTGAAAGAAACGGTAAGGACTTGGTTGGGACTCGAAGCAAAAAGTTCAGGACTTGGACTTGACTTGGGACTTGTCTGTGTTGACTTGGACTTGACTCGAGACTTGAGAGCAAAGACTTGAGACTCGACTTGGACTTGCAACATAGGGACTTTCCCCCCACCTCTGGCTATTTATTCTGATTTGAGTTCTGATTGTGACACATATGTGAAGCAAGGGATCCCCCATCCAAAAGATGTTAGAACTAAATCTTTTTTTTTTTTTTTTGTCTTGGTGCAACCATTAATGTAAGTGAAAGTATAATCAGTTTTTAAATACTCACTTAGAAAACATACTGTACATACTGACTTTCTGTGTGGATATATGTTTTGCTTCCATCTAGTGAGCATTTGGCAGTACTACAGACTACCTTGACATTGTAACACAACAATATTAACCACCAGTTTTGGAGACAGATAATGTTTTGCTTAATGGTATTCTGTGCACTATGGAAACAATTGTGACTCATATCTCAAATTCAAAAGCATTAGCAGAAATGCTTTTTCATTTCAAAGTCATGGCTGCACTATTTGACTCAAAAATGACTCACAATAAGCGTACAAATTAAATAATAAAAACAAAATCAGCCCGTGGCCCGTAATTCAACTTTAGTTAATCTGATCTATGTTAACTGACGGAATATTGGAAAACAAACTAATTTTCATTTATTTGTTTTCATTTCAAAAAGGGAAAACAAACCGTTTTTCAACTTTTTCTTTTTTGAATCTTGATTGAATATCAATTGAACGAATGATACGCGGATTCACTGCCCCCTATCGGCCAGAAGGGGCCAGAACAAGTGGGGTCCGTGACGTTCCGGAGACGCTTTTGCGGGGCGAGCACAAAAAAGGAAAAAGCATTTCTGAGTTTGGTTTTTCTTTTTAATTTAGTCACAGAATGGGCAGTCTTGAAGAAGAAAATGAAAATGCATTTTGGAATATTGCTTTTTATTTTTATTTTTGAGTCAAATAGTGCAGCCATGACTTTGAAATGAAAAAGCATTTCTGCTAATGATTTTGAATTTGAGATATGAGTCACAATCGCTTCCATAGTGCACAATGGTCGGATAGGATAATAATAATGATACTGCATTACTAACACATAGCCTCCCAAAGTAAAACTGAGTCCTGCAATATTGATTTTCTCATGAGGAAAAAAAAACTCTACTTGACACAATGCATTATGGGTTATTTTCCAAAGAAATACAATTAGCTCAGTGCTATTTCTATTAGCCTGGTGTCTTAGGTTCACAGTACTGGAGTGAAGCAGTATGTAACAGAAGCAGTATGGGATGATTACTTTTCTAAGAAGAAACAGTTCATATTGTATTGGGATAAAAAATAATATAAAACCCAGAGAACAAAAACCATTCATTTGTCATTTTTGAGTGCTGTCCTTTCCTTAACCTGGTTTGTTAATTTGACAACTTAAACAAAAACAAATAATGCTTTGACTTGTCTTGGTACAGCCAAATAAAACAATTTTAAAGAGATGTCAGTAAAAGCAGTCATCATATTGGAAAAACTAACTGGAGTGAGGGCAGACTTCAAGCCTTCAGACAAACAGCTAAACACGCCCACCTGTCAGTTAAATCAACTGTGTCCCTTATTGTGCATATCACATGTCTCTATAACTCCAAGCCTCAATAATAACTGAACTTTAACATCAAACATCGACCCCTTGAAAATGTTCACGAGTGTTTATGTTTGTGTGCATGTCTGTTTCTGTGTATTTGTTGTATTGGAGTTTTTGTAGACTTGTGTTACCTGTTTCAGATGAAGGGATCCTACATCAGACAATTGTGATGCCTTCTCACAGATTCTGTCTGTATTATCCTCTGCATTTTGTTACATAACACACAATTGAAAAGGTTTTCTGCCTGATCCTGAGGGATTATTAATATGTAACTAGATTGACAGCAAGAAAACAAAGTCATATGACATCATCTTTGTGTTTGAAACTGTATATGGATGGATGTGAGTGAGTGTGGAAAAAATATATCAAATACATGCTTCAAAGTTGCAGAAGTCAACCAAGAATTGGTGAGAGAAGCTAACTGCTCATGTAGCTCATAGTATGGCTGACATAACTTACTGTATGTTGAGACTCCCAGAGCTTGGCAGAGGGACTAAATGTAGAGCAATCTTCACTGAGGATTAACAGGCAATCAGGTAAGATTAGACTGGCTGGCTCTTCCTAATGAGGCATTTATAAATGAGCAAGCTGCTGTGTGCTGTTTAAACTACACAGAGACATTACCTTCAAACTTTTTCCTGTCGCCCAACTATATTTCAAACACAAATATTGTACTTTTTCGCTCCTCCACGTCTTAGAACGTCCTCCTAACTCTCTGCTCTCTCTCAGTGGTATTGCTGTATCTGTTGCACATTGTTGAACGTAGAGCAAGTGTCACTCAGATCAGGCAGATAGTGTTGATAATGATGGCTGAAGCAGAAAAGGTTGACCACTCATAACCAGGAGCTCATGTTTGAGGATTTTCAAATGAAGAAGGATTCAAACTTCATCAATCCAACCTGAGAGCTCGTACTGAGGTATGCAGCCAAACTTATGTTTGTGTTTTTCAGGTGAACATTCGAACTAAGCTGTTTGTGTAACTAATAAGTTATTTTAGTCTTCAGTTAGTCACCATAACTCAGCAGAATGTGCACTCCAGTGTCATTATCCACTGTGGAAATATCATAATGTATTGATATCATTTTAAGTGGGTTGAACACTGTTTTTTAAGACAGTGATTCATCATAATTTTTTATCTGATGAAGCAACTCTACTTGTATTAGAGTAATTCTTGACCAGAAGTATCTATAATTAACCCAAAGCTCCTGCAAGGAACTTTTGGTTTGTGTTGTGTCCTTATCATGTGTGAGTTGTGTCTGCTGACAAACATCTCATCCTGCTGACTCTTGACATTTTGTTTATTGTGAATATTTAATGTGAAAAGAGTAAGACCGAGGCTTTTTCTCTAGCTGCTTTGCTGACACCTACCCCTATGCACCAATTTTGATATTAAAAATGACTATGTAAATTGTCACTCTTGTTTCTGATGATTTTGTTTGCTTTTATATGTCGTAAAAAGGCATCAATTGCAATTACAGCCTATTTTTTAAACATTTCAAAACCCCTCACAGAGGCTTTAAGTGGTGAACTCATGTCCTTTGTTTAAAACTGTCTATAATAAATAACTTATCTTCAGGTTTTCTGTGTCTTTCCTCATGTTTACCATCTTGCTCCTTGACTTTGAGAAAATTAGCTCTGGTTCTTTTAAGAGGACATCCCTATATCCCCAACCATATCAAAGGTTACTTTGTGTTACAGAGACCATGGACACTTTAAAATGGATTCACAAAAAAATAAAAAAAATGAATCAATAAATACTGAAATATTTATGTTCCATAAGTCAGACTTTATTCAACACTGTTCAGCAAAAAATACCATCTCAAAAACGGTTAAAGATGATAGATAGTCCAAAACAACTTCTCTTTCTTTTTAGAGTTTTTGTCCAATATAAATCTGAGAGGTTAAAAGCCACATACAGCAATCACAAAGTAATTTTTATTTTGATTATTAATTATAATGTATGAGTCTTAAAATAATCCGATCTTTTCTGGGCAGACGATGATGATGATGATGATGATGATACAGCCGGCATATGTGGAGCAGTTTAATTACATTCCTTGACAGGTTAAGGAGCAGCAAGGCTCCTCACTTGGCATTCACCGCGTGCCTTAATTGACTGATTTTAAATCAAGGTCCACTGTGAACACTGAGAGAGGCAGCCCAAAACCCAAGACAGATAGGGAAGGACAGGAATTAAAGTGAGGCAGAAAACAACCTTGATTGAAGCTTTGCATCACTCTGCTCTCTGGTGAACTGTTTACCAATGTAGGTGCAACAAGCTGACTACATTTCTTCACATTTAGCTGTAAGGCTATTCAAGAGAAACACTGTTTAAAATGTAACAAGAAACCACGACAAACTGAAAAAGTAGTTCCTAGTTTTAACCCATTCAAAAAGAGCTCCCTATTCATCATTCAAAGGTCACATGTTTACCTGCAGCTCCTCTTCCTTTTGGCAGCCCTTAACCGCTCAGGGGTACCTCCCCTAATGGACATGATAGAGAAGAAAAATCAGCATTGAACACAGACAACTTTCCTCTTCCACCTTTTTTTGCCTCGACATGTCAAGGACACATCAAGCAGGCAGCCATTGCAGAGAGAAACAACCAGGCGGCAGGATCTAAATGAGGCTAAGACCAGATTGGATCGAGCTGGACCAGGATGTAAACAAAAGGAGGGGAGACTATATGATTCACTTTAACATGAAGAAGAGCAGGTCTTTCATTATTAGTGGAGTACCTCCTCCTTTACAAATAGTGACAGTGAAAAATACGTGAAAAAGTAGGCTACGTCTGGTGAGGAAGGCTGTTATCAGTGCAGAATGACACTGTGACGGGGATGCGGTCTATCTGAAGGAATGACATTACTCGGTGCTTAGAAATAAGACATAGGAACAGAGGCGTCATTCAGGCACCGGAGCAGTGTAAACACACTCATGAGTGCTGCAGAGTACACACACGGTCCCTGCAAGAAAATACATCTAATATACTGCTCTATTTGTCACTACACCACGACACACTCAATACTGACAGAGAGGCAAACTGTCCCTTTACAAGTGTTATATAAGAGTGGTGTTTCATATCAGCCCTCCCGACATTGAGTGGAGCGGATAATCTCAGTTTTTAGGCCAGGCCATGCAGCATTAGCCTGTATGCTCTGCATTAACAGAGCGACCAGATCCTGCTACACAATACCACAGAAACAGAGGCAGCGGCTTTTCGAGAGAAAGAAGCTAAAGAGTAAGATCAACCCTTTTAAGATTCAAAAAAGCCCATTTGCGCAGCTTACATTATCATGGGCCTCTTTCCAGATAGACAAATATCATCCAAGAAAAAAAAATGGAGGAATGGTCGAAATGTAAAGAGCATCGATGTCTGCAGTGAAACACGGTCTTTTCCTTCTTGTCGCATCATCTCCATCCCAAAGCCCTCTCATCCTACCTCCTCTCCTTTCTTCTCCCCTCTCCTCCTCGTCTCTCTGTCTCTCTGTCCTTCCAGTGCCCGGCTTTAAAAGGCTTTTCAAGAGAAAACATGTAAAGACAGTAGATTTCAGATCGCCGTCTCTGCTCATTGTCCTCCTCTCTCTCACTCAGAGGAAGGTGAAAATGATATTGCTTGATTGGTGTGATATTCAGGACGGATTTGTAAATGGAATCACAGTGTTTGGATTCATCCTCCCGGACAGTGCGGACGGGCGGGCGGGTCGGTAATGTGCAGGAGAAGCCTTCCAGCGGCTTTGACGGGATGATGTCACTACACAGACAGATGCTCCCCCTCCCCCTCTTTGCCCTTGAGACCGGGTAAAGGAGGCTGTCCAGAAGGCCTATCCCAGCCCCTTCATAGACCTGATAGAGATGGAGTTGATGACTTATTTCAAGAGACTTGACGAGAACATATGTTTGCTGCCAGGGAGGCCATTTTACTGAGTCTTATCTGGTTTCTGTCAGGGTCAGGAGGGGACTTATTTTCAACCTATCATGGCTTAGACTAGTCCACAAGTTCACACCATTTATTAGATATTATCTTAGCATTAGACCTATATTTAAGACTCAAATGGAGCACTATTCTTTCCAACTGTGTTATTCATAATGTACAAACCCCAACTCCAATGTAGTTGGGTTGTTGTGTAAAACAGGAATAAAACATGATTTATATGAACCCTTTCCCACATATGTTTAATTGAATACACATCATAGACAAGGTATTTAAAGTTCAAACTGATAAACTTGATTGTTTTTGTTCACTTGCCATGAATTTGATGCTGCAGGACATTTATATAAAGTTGACAAAAAATGTGGAGGTGTGTAGAAAGATCTAAACAGGGAGAGAATCAACATGCACTTTGAACACAACATGAGGTGTGAGTACACATGTCCATCTTTCTTAAGCTTTTGAAATCATAGTTCATCTGCCCTCTGTCCTTGGACAAACAAATGGCCCTCTTTTCTGCCAGTGTAAAGGAGCTTCCCTAAGTCTTTGGAGGAGATTAGTGAGAAATCCTTCACAACTGTAAAGGATTTACAATTGTAACTCCTTTACAACTCTTCTGTAAATTGTAAATGACTTTTCAACACGACAACTGAGACTCCAGACAATTGAACTTCCCTTTGGTGAGAGCAGCCTTCATGGAAGCCTAAACAGACAGACCTGACCCCAGTCAAGTATCATTCACTGATAGGAAGCTGTAGTAACACAACCAGAGTTTAATAACAGGGAGGAGACCCTAACCCTAACCCAGACTCAGTTTCTAACCAGTCGCTATGTGATGAAACAGAGTTTAAACAGTGTTTGACAAGGGTCTTGAGTCTTGAGCAAATTAAATAAAAATCAACTCACAGCCACACTTTTCAGTCTTTTGTCATTTTTTTCCTCCCAATTTAATATCTAAAAAATCTTGTCAAATAGTCTGATATCATTATGATAACAATAGGTTTTCCCTCCATGATTAGCTGTTTCTTTTTGTTAAATCAACAGTAGAGTTAAAGTCTGTTTGCAAAAAACGTTATTTGTTTTAAGTTTCATAAGGCTGTGGGTACATCAATGAACATCAAATGTGAAAACTGTTCGCTAATTCTTGCTTTTTTGTTTTAATAATTTTAACATCTTTCTTTCTTTCTTTCTTTCTTTCTTTCTTTCTTTCTTTCTTTCTTTCTTTCTTTCTTTCTTTCTCTCACCACATCAGTCACTTGCAGCACTCTTGGGGACCCAGGAACAAGAAAATAAAAGCACAATAAGATCTATGCCATGTAAATGACGCTACAGCTCCTCTCCAGAATACAATAAGATAAGATAAGATGTTTCTTTATTAGTCCCACAGGGGGAAATTCCAAAATCACAGCAGCGTAGCATAGATACAAAAAGAGAAAAACTAAAAGATAAAGAAACTTTGAGTTAAAAACAAGATATGTGCATGAGTCATATTTACATCTGTACAGAATCATTAGATCATCACAGACAGTCACATGATGGAGGCAGATTTAGGGGTCCCAGCTCAGATTTCTGCATGGTAATCAAGACTTTGAGACATCTTAAGTATTGACTGCAGATTCTTTTTTCATCCAGAAATATTGAATTAGCACAAACATATACATGAGTGGTGCTGTATGGAAACGATTGTGACTCATATCTCAAATTCAAAAGCATTAGCAGAAATGCTTTTTCATTTCAAAGTCATGGCTGCACTATTTGACTCAAAAATATAAATAAAAACCAATATTCCAAAATGCATTTTCATTTTCTTCTTCAAGACTGCTCATTCTGTGACTAAATTAAAAAGCAAAAGCAAACTCAGAAATGCTTTTTCGTTTTCGTGCTCATCCCGCAAAAAGTGTCTCAAAATTCAATCTGAGTTCTTAAGAACCTCATCCAATGTTCACCCCTGTATTAGAGTACAGGTTGTCACAAGTAAGTTAGACAAAATGTGGAGAGTCCACGTCTCCATGCTGTAAGTGAGTGAGTAAAAGGACCAGCACACCTGACACACCGCTGACATCTGCATACAGTCACAGGTTAACACGGACAGAGACTGCAGTGATTCTGTCTCCGTGCCATGTATTTTTAAGGCATCTCTATGACCATTTTGTCTGTTTCTCGTACTCGTACACTCGTACTGCGATCAGTACGAGTGGTGACAGCGGACGCTTTTCCACATTAAAGGAGGAAATGTTTGTAACATATCTTCGTTAACACCAAGTATTTCATTTCTACTTATTTGAAGCGTGGATCATAGTTGTGGAGACGTCCACACAAACATTGAATACAACCAACAAGCGAGGTGTACAGGCTGTGTTAATTACATTGAATAACAATTGAACGAATGATAAACGGGTACACTGCCCCCTATCGGCCAGAAGGGTCCAGAACGAGTGGGGTCCGTTTCCGGTGCCACTTGAGATTGCGAACTCAGATTGAATTATGATACACTTTTTGCAGGGCAACCACGAAAACGAAAAAGCATTTCTGAGTTTGCTTTTGCTTTTTAATTTAGTCACAGAATGAGCAGTCTTGAAGAAGAAAATGAAAATGCATTTTGGAATATTGGTTTTCATTTTTATTTTTGAGTCAAATATTGCAGCCATGACTTTGAAATGAAAAAGCATTTCTGCTAATGCTTTTGAATCATAGACTGTATATACTATGGACAACTTGGTTCCGCCTACCGCCTATATATGATTTGAAGCCAAAAAGCTCTCGATATTTCCGGGATTTTTCTTCATTTCCTGAAACCAGTGCTGCGCAGTAGCGATACGTGCATTCGGCCGCGCAGTTGCTGAGAGTCACTATGATGACGCTCGGCTCTAACAGCGTATCCCTCGGGTGAGCCACGCAATCCCTGAACGCCTATAGGCTGTACCAGGTGTCAATCATAGAAAACTTGAACCCCCTAATAACTTTTAAAAACAGAGCTGCACAGAAAAAAGAGGACTTGAGCACAAACCAGTCTTACACTAACTAATGTCAACATCACAAGCAGAGGGGAGAAAAGTTTATTTTTTCATTTTCATTTTCATGTTTATTTATTTCATTTCATTCATGATACATAATACGATACATTGCACTCATCCTTTTTTTTTTCATGTGTAATCATGTGAAATGAAAAGGAGCAGACAGAAGACAATTCTTATATACGACTGCCCCTTCACTACAACACCTTTATCTATGGCAATCAGCCAGCAATTTATCAAAATATTATATAATTAAGGTCCAAAAAATACCACAAACAAACAAACAAACAAAAGAACAAAAACCAAACAAACAAAAAAACAATAACAAAAAACAAACTGACACATCATCAGTCATCCACTTCATCCAGTTCATAATTTTTGATTTTCCCTCCTTTAAACTTTTTCTTAAACTGAAACATTGTTTTACAACTCTTCAACTCATTACTTTGCGAATTCCATAACTTAATACCTGCAACAGAAACACACATCTGCTTTAGCGTCGTCCGAGCAAACTGGTGTTTAAAATCATATGGTCTCCTGTGGTTTTCACTCTCTGAACTAATTTCAAATAACCCTTGCAGCTGTTTTGGTCAAACTTTGTCTTTCGCTCTGAACACCACCAGAAGTGTTCTTAGCTCCATTAAGTGTGTTATTTTCAGTAAACCTGACAACATGAAAAGTCTATCGGTATGTGCTCTGTAATCTTCTTTATAAATAATTCTCAATGCTCTGTACGTATTGCCCCACACTTCCAAACAATAAGTAAAATACGGTAAGACCAGTGTACAATACAACATTCTCAAAGTGCTTGTATCCACATCATATTTTACTTTGTTCAAAATAAAAAGGCTCTTGGCCACTTTGGCTTTTACATGTGATATATGGTTTTTCCATGTCAATTTGTCATCTAATATGTTACCCAAAAACCTAAATTCATAAACTCTCTCAATGTTTATATCATCTATAGTAAGTTGAATTTCATTCTTTTTTCGATTAGAGAAAATCATAGACTTCGTTTTTTCTACATTTAACAATATCTTGTTTCTATTAAACCACTTTTTAATTTTAACCATCTCATTTTTTATATTTTTTGCTATCTCATTTAAATTATCCTTTGAACAAAAAAAGTTAGTATCATCTGTGAATAAAACAAAATGCATTAAATTAGACACTTGACAAATATCATCAATATATAAAATAAAAAGTTTGGGTCCCAAAACTGAGCCCTGTGGTACTCCACATTCCAGCTTCATACATTCTGATTTATAACCCTCTAACATAACATATTGCTGCCTGTTGTGAAGATAACTGATCAACCAGTCTAGTACTACACCTCTCACATCAAAATTATTCAATTTGCTTATTAATATTGTGTGATAGATTGTATCAAAGGCTTTCTTTAAATCGATAAAAACCCCAATTGTGTGTTTATGCTCATCAATTGCTTGTGTTATTTCTTCAGTTATTCTCATGAGTGCTAATGCTGTGGACTGTTTGGTTCGAAAACCATACTGACTCTCACTTAGCAGAATATTCTTTTCAATAAATGAATCCGATCTTTGTACATACAACTTTTCCAACAATTTTGAAAACTGTGGGAGTAACGACACTGGTCTATAATTTGTAAAATCATGTTTGTCTCCAGTTTTGAAAAGAGGAATAACCTTGGCAGTTTTCATGCGATCGGGGAAAACACCTGTACTAAACGAAAGAGTACAAATATACCTTAAGGGCTTGATAATATAGTCAATAGAAAAATTTATGTTCTGTGTAATAAATTTCTAAGTTTGTCCACAGTCCCATAAGCTTTGCTCGCGGAGGCGGGATTTATGACCTATACTGCAGCCCATCAACAGAGGGGGCTGTTCTTGGAGTTGCTTCACCCAGCGAGGAGGCAGACTCTGTCCATTCTTTATACAGTCTATGTTTTGAATTTTCGAATTTGAAATTTCAAATTGAATTTTGTTACATTTTTGCTGGTGAATGTTTTGAAAATTAAATGTTAAATGTGATTTGCTTTTGCATTTGAATTTAGTCACAAAATGAAAAAGCATTTCTGCTAATGCTTTTGAAATTGGGATATGAGTCACAATCGCTTCCATAGTTCTGCACTGTTGTATTTGCAAACATCATAGCAGCTTCACTATGTAATAACATGAATAAACTCGAGAGGGCAGCCTTTGGCTGAAGGCATGATGGAGGTGTGCTTCTTAGTTTGCAATGTGATTTATGTTCTTGTATTTCCTCTAAACAAGAGTGAGCACTGAAGGTTTTACTGTTTATTTCTGCTTGAACAAAGTGTATTAATGATACCACAAAGTTAAGATAATAAATGTTATATAATAAATTATTCTCATAATATTGTCTTCATATTAATTCATCATCCACCACAGAAAAGTTCAAGTTGAAGAGGTGATGATGAAGAAACATCTTCTTTGTCGTGTATTTTAGGTCATGTTCAGATTCAGGTGTACTCAGCTTTGTCCTCATACACTTCGTTCCCCGTGTTAATCTGCTCTTTAATTGGCTAACCAGAACAGATGAAGCAGAGGCCAGGAATAGGACTATGTCACAGACACAGATCTGTGTGGGGACATCCAAGTTCCAGGTAAGACAGTGTATAAGGTCAGGACAGCAGATGATGACGAGGAAGGATCACATTTAGTTCGCTCTAAATGAGCAGGAGAGCTTGAGTCTGGGACATGTCATATTAAACCATCAGTGCTAGTGCCAATAGTTCCAGTGAACCGATGCCTTTTTGGATGAATGAAGGAGTAAAGCTGTGTGAATATTATTCTTATTCATAGACATAGCAAATCTGTGTGGTCAAGGGTGGTGGCTCAGAGAGGACAACAGTAAAGACAGAAGGGAATAAACTATGGGAAGAAAACAGCCACTTTGGGCCTTGACCAGCATCTCTAGCTCTGCAGGACTTTGTTTCATTGATAAGAATGTTTGACTACATATTTGATCAGATGTTTGTGAGTTGGTTAATAATCAATAATGCCATTGATCTAAGACGTGTTGCTGCATCAGTGCATCCCCAAGTGTACATCCCATTAAGTGGACCCTAATGCACAGTTGTGGCCTTCTTCCGTATCACCAATATTTAAGCATGATAACAAATACGCAAAATAGAAAAACTCACCTTTCATTAACTCTTTTTTTTTTTTTCAAATAATGGTGCCATATAGGTTTGTTTTTTTATGCATAACACAATGATTAAATGATTAAATCAAATCTCCTCTGTGCTGGAACCCTGACCATCTGGTGATCTACTTTCTCATGTCTTACAAGAATCCGTATCGTGAATGAAGATTTATAGATATTTTTCAAAATAGATGAAATAGTGACCAGAGTTTTTCTCATATATGCCCTCATATTCTAAACTATGGACTTAGTACAGCTGGAGTATTACCAGGACTGTGACGTATCATTGCTATCATTTCAGCATAAAAGCTCTGAGCTGACATCAGAAATGTATTAAAAATATAGCGTAAGTCATATGGTGAGAAAATCTGACATTCAGATTGTACCAGAGTGGTCCTATTACAGAGATCAGTTATATTTTTACAATATGGTCAGATAACGTCCAGTATGCACTTCATCATGTATGGGTCTGACTTGAAGATGTCCAAGTCAGACCCATACATGTAGCCCCACAATACCATATCATCACGATACTTGGGCACGATACAATATAATTGCGATTTTTAACATTTTGCAATATAGTTAGTATTGTGATACATAATATTGTGGTTTATACAATTTTTTCAACTGTTTAGCTAACTTAGCATTTGTCTTTCCTTTATGTTTATCTTATTTACACAGTATTTTGTTTTCATGTAGCACATTTTGCAAACCTTACATATATTTGTTGCACTATTGTTCCCCTGCTCTATGATGTCACCTCTACCAAGCTCAATGGATAAACAGATAAATTTATTTTTCCATTACATAGACTTCATATTAGCAATTAATTTGACAAATCGATACTTGGTAAATGAGACGATACGGTACATAACCAGACAAAATATCATGATACTATGCTGTATTGATTTTTTTCTCCCACCCCTACTTCTGGGGGAGTTTGCTCAATGGGTCTTTGCTCATCTGTACAGTGCTCTGTTATAGGGTGTCTAAGTGGCTGTTAACCTCGAACTGCAGGAAGAATCAGCACGTGTGTGAATTATTCCAGAGATTAACTTCACCACATCCTTAAACAGAAATGATATACAATGATTCTACATGGAAGTAGCTTTAGTTTAAATTTTGACCAAAAACTTCCACAACCTTGACAACCTAGGGCAGATTTAACGTCCTCCAGGGGAAATCACAGCTCAGCCATTCAATCGGGGAGCTCAGACAACTGGCACCCAGGCAGGCTGACTGTGACAGACGCAGACTAATTTCCTCAGACCAGAAGGATCCAGACTTCAACAGCTGTGACTACTAAGGTAGTTTACCACCACCAAAGTGTGACTGTGTGAGCGAATGAATGATGTATCCAATGTAAAGCGCTTTGAGGGTCTCTGATAAAGCGCTATATGAAGTCTGATGCATTATTATTATTATTATTATTATTATTATTATTATTATTATTATTATTATTAGATTTTTTAGATTTTTTAGATTAGATTTTTCTTTTTCCGTCATTGCAATGAGTAAAGTCAGGAGATCAGAAATATAACTATGAACGTGAAAGTAACCCAAACCCTCTTCATTTCAAAGTTTATCATGCTCTTGTGCGTAACGTCAAAGCAGCGCTCCCAGGTCTTAATTCCGTCCACCCATCAATAGACCCGCCTCCGCTGGGCTTTAGTGGCTGATCCGCCAGTGTGTGTGTTTGAGTGTCCGAGCAGAAAGGATTAACTGGCTCCTTCGCCCTGGCCGGTCTAGTGCGCGTCCTCTGTGCGTCTGTGACAGCATTCCCAGAAACCTTTGAATCTTCATATTCTGAAACTGAAGCGTTTTCATGAAAATGAGGATTTGTGTGGTTTGAGAGGTGAAGAGGGGAAGCGATGTCCGGGTTTCTCTGTAACTGTGGAAGAATTTTACGCGCGTGTCTATAGTGTCTATGGGTGAACACGCCACTGTGGCTGACCAGCATGTGTGTATATGACTGAGGGAGTTTTTTTTTTAAAAAGATGTACACTTCGAAGTCCGAGTAAAACACGCATCGATGTTAAAAGGTGAACTTGAAATTGTCATTTTACGCTACAGTCATGATTTTTCAGGGTAGGCAAACAATGACCTTGGTTTCTTTTTCTACAGACTGGAACTTTATATTACAGGACTACTGAAACCTGAGTGACCAGGCTACCCGTACAAGGTGTATAGGCACAATAATCAGGAATGGCAGAGGTATGTGAACCCTGGGCTGCGTCGGAGCTAATAAAAGGTAAGCTGGCAAAGTAATCAAATGGTTTAAGGATGTTATTTATTTGTTTCAGTGATCTACAAAGACTTAGCGGGGAGATGAAGCTTTGAACATTAAAACACAAGTTGTAAAAAAGTTCTTTGCATGGGTAGCTTGAGTTGAGATATGATAGCGTACTATAGCTGCCTGTTTGATAAATTGAATATTAACCTGATATATGGTCTTCGGCACTTTACTGCGTAACTTAACTTTAAACCCCAAAACCACGAGGTCTGATTTGAGCACTGACACTGCTCTTCTGTGCTCTCAGGTAGAAAGAAGCCCACTTCTTCGACATTGGTCTTCTGAGAGTTTGAAGTTTGAAGTTTATTTCGATCTGGTCATATCCATTCAATATATACAGTAAATTACAAGAAAAGAAAACCGGACCGAAAAGGCATAGGCTGAAGCAAGAGCTTATTATCGCCTATCCTTCTTACTAAATCAAAATATTCAAAACATCTTATTCCACACGTTAGATAGAAAACAAAACAAAACACAACAACAAAACAAAGAACAAAAAAATGACTCAGAAGAAAGAAAAAAATAAATAAAAATAACAATAATAATCAAATTAAATCCAGAATATAAATTAATCCGTAACCTCAATCATTTTTTCTATAATTTTCGATCACCTTGCTTTTAAACAACGATTTGAATTTGTGGATAGTCTGACACATTTTTAATTCATCGTCAAGGGCATTCCATAAATTCACACCTTTAACCGAAGTACACTGTTTTTTGATCTTGGTTCTAATTTTTATTTTTTCCATCATATGTGTCCCTCGGAGCTCATACTTACATTCCCTTTTTTTAAGCATATTGACAATTTTACATGGCAATGAATTATTATGTACTTTGTACATGGTCTGTGCTATTTTGTAGTCCACCAGGTCCTTAAATTTTAATGCTCTTAATTTAATGAATAATTTATTTGATGGTTCTCTGTAAGTTGAATTGGTGATAATCCGTACTGCTCTTTTTTGCAAGATGAAAATAGGTTGCGTATGGGTAGGGTATGCATTTCCCCATATTTCCAGGCCGTAGGTGATATACGGGACTACAATTGAGCAATACAAAATATACAAAGCATACTGGTTCAATAAATCCTTTACCTTGTAAATTATGCCAATTGATTTAGCTAATTTTGATTTAACATGATTTATATGAGTTTTCCAGTTCAGTCTTTGGTCCAAAATGACACCCCAGAATTTTGCTTCCTACACTCTTTCAATTTCTCTATTGTTAATGCTCAGTTTAACATCTGTATCTATTTTAGGGTTCCCAAATATCATAAATTTTGTTTTACTTGTATTTAACGACAATTTATTTGCATCAAACCATTTTTTAACCAATTTCATCTCCTTTTCAACAGTAGATATGATTTCAGACAAGTGCTCTCCAGAACAAAAAAAATTAGTGTCATCTGCGAAAAGGATGGAGTTCATATACTTAGACACATTACAGAGTTCATTCAGATACAGAATAAATAACTTTGGACCAAGGACTGACCCTTGTGGGACGCCGCACTTAACCTTCAACAGTCCAGAATCAGTTTTACCCAAAGAGACCTATTGCCATCTGTCACTTAAATAAGAACAAAGCCAGGCGTGAGCTACCCCTCTGACACCATATTTAAACATCTTTTGAAGTAAAAGGTCATGATCAATTGTGTCAAACGCTTTTTTTTTAGATCTATAAAAATTCCTATTGTGTATAGTTTATTGTCTATTGCAGTGGTTATGTCATCTATAAGTTTCATGAGGGCTAATCCTGTAGACTGGTTTGTTCTAAAACCATATTGATTTTCACTTAAGATACTGTGCTTCTCTATGAAACTGTCCAATCTTTTGTCAAATAATTTCTCAAGAATTTTCGAGAATTGAGGCAGCAAAGAAACTGGTCTGTAATTTGAAACCAGATCTTTTCCACCAGACTTGTACAAGGGAATAACTTTAGCTGTTTTCATTTCATTTGGAAATATTCCTGTTGAGAGTGAAAGATTAAAAATATAGGTCAGAGGTCTAACTACAGCTTCGATAGAGTCCTTAATTAATGTCATGTCGATCCCGTTGTTATCTGTCGACCGTTTGCTTTTGAATGCTGTAACAATCCCCATCACTTCAGTTTCATGAGTGGGAGTAAGAAACATAGAATTTACATTTGCTTCAATCAAATTATTCACATCATCCGCATCAACTGGTTGTACAATATCGCTTGCCAAGTTAGGTCCAACATTTATGAAGAAATCATTAAACTCATTTGCCATTTGTTCCTTATTGGATATATAAATATCACCCTTTAATATGGATTGAGGGAAATCCGCTTTCCCCATGTTTTTTTTAATCAAGCTGTTGATTACTTTCCATGTCTCTTTTATGTTGTTTCTACTCTCTTCCATCCGCTTACTGTAATAATTCTTTTACGTATCCTTAATATATTTGTCACTTTATTTTTATATAACGTATATTTTCTTTCAGCTTTTTCTGTTCTACATCGTATAAATTCTCTATGTAGTCTATTTTTCTTTTGTATTGCATTCTGTAGGGATTTTGCTATCCAAGGCTTATTTTCTTGTTTGTTTCTGTCCTTATGTGTTCTCAATGGGCAGTTCTTATCATAACACTCTTTAAAAACACGTAAAAATGAATTATAAGCCTCATTAACATCAGCAACATAAATAGAATCCCATGTTTGTCTCATTAGATCCCTTTTTAGTGACTCCACCCTTTCTGGATTTCTCAGTCTAAATGTTGTCTGAGGTTTTTCCGCAGGGGGTTCCATTATATTACATTGAAATGTTGTAAAAATTGGTAAATGATCACTGATGTCTTGGATGAACAACCCCCCTACTGTAGTATCCATGATGTTAGAGGAAATATTATCAATGAGAGTTGCACTGGATCCGGTAATTCTGCTAGGCTTAGTGATCCGAGGTAATAAACCAATACTAAACATGGTGTCAATGAAATCAGATATTCCTATTTGTCCCTGTGGATTTAATAAATCAATGTTAAAGTCACCACATACAAATACAGTCTTCTTATTACTTACTTTTTCATACAGTTCAACCATCTGTTCCTTTAGAACGTCTATTTCACATACTGGAGCTTTGTAGACACAGCTTATGATGATGTTCTTAACTTTTTTCATTTTAATTTCAACTGTAATGATTTCCAACTTGTCATCTATCCCTTTTGACATATTCTGCAGTTGCTTACATTGCAGGGTCTCATCGATATATAATACCACTCCCCCACCCTTTTTCCTTCTCCTATTAACATAAAACATATTATACCCCAGCAATTCATAATCTTTTACTATTTCATTAGTCATCCAGGATTCTGAGACTGCTATTGCACTGAATTTAGTTTTAAACAGCTTAAAAAAATCATGGACTTTTGAGAAATTTTTAACTGGGCTTCTGCTATTAATGTGTATAATTGATAATACACCTACTATTTCAACCTTTATGTTAAATTGTTGTTCAGTGTAATACCTACAATCATTGTGCATAGTATGGAAAAAATTAGTTTCTGGGTCAATGTCAATGTCCATATCATGTCTTCTTTTTCCAGAATAGTTAAATGTTTCATAATCTTAATCTAGATATGAGTTTAGTGGAGTAGCTTCATTGACCCCAGACATTACATCTGTATCATCACTATCAGAATCTGTCATTGCTCACAATAGGTAAAATAATAACAGTAATAATAAGTAAGATATCAAGGATATTGAAAGTGAAATCACAAACGCCTGTTTAAATGCCCCACTCTCCTGCAACATGCCCATTCCCAGGCACACACACAAATAAGGCAGCAAGTCTTTTACCCTCAAGTAAAGCGACCTGTAAATCCAGTTGTCCAGTTGGAGAGTACAGTGCATTGATCCCCGCAAAAGAAAAATAAATAAATAATAAATCCAAGCCAGCAGGGAATTAGAAAAACAAAAGTCAGCAAGAGTCATGCAGCAAGACAGTGCAATAAGCCATGCAAGAAGAGCGGGGAGCCATGCAGTATCTGTCAGCCAGCAGCAGCCAAAAAGACAGAGGAAACAATTCCCCCTGTCCATGCATGGAAAAAGCCAAAAAGCTCCATGCAAGATTGTAGTTAAGCAGCAATACATGTTGCAAGAAGAGAAAAAAAAAAGAAAAAAGAGATGGTAAAAAATAAGTCCTCCATCCAACAGGAAGTATGCCCATAGTTAGCAGGCGCATAATAGAGGCATTCCCAGAAAAAAAAGAAAAAAAAAAAAAAACAGAGGGAAATGAGTAGAAAATAATGTTCCATTGGGTCTAGGAATGAACTTCACCAGGGATATACATATCCAGTACTAATCCGGCCCATCTGCCACAGCACTTTATGAACGTTTGTATGGTTCAAGTTCTTTAACATCTCTTACCGTGAGAACTTTGGATGTTTCTGGCGTGTCCCCGTTCAGTCTGATCATCACCTTGCAGTTCCTGGTCCAGGTCGATTTTATCTTGTTTTGTATCCTCAGGATCTGTGCCTCTCTGGCTATTTCAGCGTTTCTCCTTGTCAGATGCTCATTTATGTACACATCACATCCGTTGAGTTTCTTCCCCTGCATCATTAAGTCCGCTTTGTGTTTTCTGTTCCAGAAATGGATGAAAATGTTGGGTTTGGCAGGTTGATCCTTTCTTGGGAGAGTGTGACAGGCCGCGATGTTGTTTGGATTGATCTTGATGTTCTGTGAGTTGAAGAAGTTTATCACTGAAGTTTCCAGGGAGAGTTGTTCCTCAGGTGGCGCATCCTCGCCCACGTTGCGGCCATTAGCCGCTAATCTGGCGTAGGATCTCGCCTTGACCTGGAGCCCACTTATGATCACATCCTCCATCCTGGTATATTGTTCCATATCGTCAAGCCTTTGTTCCAACTCTTCGATCTTCTTGTCTTTCTCTTTGACCGTTTTCTTTAGTATCCGGACTTCATTCTAGTGGGGGGCCTTAGGGAGATTTTAGGGTGTGTTCGTTCACTTTTGAGCGCCAAGTTTGGCACAGGTGTAGCTTAGGGCATACTTAAATGATTTGGCTAGGGCGCCTGCGCCGGTGACCTTTGGGGTCGCCACAGCGGCTGATCCAATATAGCCACCACCTGAACACGCTTTTGCCTCTACATTTGAACCAGATGTGCTACAAATCCAAACTTGGTGTCTATTCCATGTTTTTTGACAATTAGAAATATGATGGAAAAATCATCTTTATGATTGGGTGTGTCTGGACACCTAATTAGCATATTTCCAAGATGGCGGCTATGTAAAAATTAGGTGTACCTTAACTTTTGATACTTTTGGCAAACTATTTTAGGTTTTAAAATTTTGAAATTCTTGGGAGATTAGTTACTCAAGCGTCCGATGTGCACGCAGCAGATGTGTTCTATCATACCAAATGTTATCTGAACTTGAGATATGCAGCACAAGTTGCACAACATAAAACATCTTCCTGCATATCAGAAGAAGCGTCTACCAGTGAATCCAGGGAAACCTTTGACCCTCTGACTATAGCCAAATTTTTGCCCTAGTTGAGGATTCAGATTGCTCCTTCACAATTTCAAATTTAAGGCAACTCTATAGAACCCTCATGAATGAACGTAGGCATGTCTGTTGTTATAATGAACCTCATACAACAAGATTCAAGACACATCTCCTCTCTTTTCTGCCTGACTGGAGTGAACACCAGAAAGGGAGGGAGACGTACATTGCAAGCAAGCAAAAAGTGGCAGACAGTGTGGCTAGAGGCCATGATTCCAACCAGATTGATCAAGATGAGGCACTTTTGTTGACAAGGGCTGCCTTGGTTTTACACAAGTATTGTTTACAACCAGCACACAAATCTGATGGCACCTTACTTTCCAACTGTCTCACGGTATCTGTTCCTGAACCTTTAAGAGTATTCAATGACATTGTCCTTCAAGGACCAGGACTCCTCAAAGCCTATGAGGATAATACAGAAGATGACAACCTGAAGCCGAGATCAAAAATAGCATGTCTCATCGTCCAGTGTCAACAGTACAATGCATATGGCGGCACCCATCATGCCTGCAAGACGGACACAATACGTCACAGCAAAGATCGAGAACCACCCTTTCCGCTCTATCAGGGCCTCAAACTCTATGGCAATGGACACCGTAAAAATGAAATTAATGAAGCTCATTTACAAGGGTTCTCAGTGTCGTATAAACGAGTCATGGAGGTGAAGCTGTCACTGGCACGTGCAGTGTGTAAACAGCACAATGAAGACGGCATTGTTCTTCCTACTAAACTTCGGCAGCATGTTTTCACCACCTATGACGTTTAAGCGAAACCAATATCTTCAAAATGTCACAACCACAGCCGACCCCCCCACCCCCCCACCCCTGACATTTCATATAAACATCAGAAAGGAATCATGCATGTCAGAATTAGTTGAATTAGACCTTTTGCACCAGGTTTTACTCAAAACAATAGCCAAGTTACGTCCAATGTCTTCAGAATAGCAAAACGCCACTTGGAAATATGCAAATTAGGGGTCTAGACACACCCAAAAATAAAAAAGAGCATTCCAACACATTTTTAATTGTCAAAACACATGAAATAGACACCAAGTTTACATTTGTAGCTCATCTGTTTCAAATGTTAGAGACAAAAGCTATTACAAGTGGCGGCCATATTGGATCGGCCGCTATGGCGACCCCAAAGGTCACCGGCGCGGGCGCCCTAGCTAAATCATTTAAGTATGCCCTGAGCTACACCTGTGCCAAATTTGGCACTTTTAGATAAAAGTGAACGAAAATATCCCTAAGGCCCCCCACTATTCATCAGTTCGAGGAGGGTAGCTTGTTGTTTGACTACCTTACTCAGCCGTTCTCATGTCGTTCTCCATTGTCTTTCCCCGAGTTGTTGTTGGCATTCTTTTTTTGATTCTCGTTGTTTAGTTAGTTTTGTTAAAGTTAAAGTTTGCAGTCAGTCAGACAGCGCGTCGCAGGGCGCCGCCATCTTGATGACTTTTGACATTTAAAATGATACAAATTTGTACATGGGTCAATGACGTGACGCCTAAATATTCTGTCCGGCTGTATTTTCTTAATGTTACAAAGAGTTTTAAATGTAAAACAATATACTATCTATGTGTAGTATCTCTCTAATATATGGAGCCACTTCAACTTTTCAAAAATCAGGAGTTTTTTGTAATTTTTCTGAACTTCGAAGTGTCAAAATATCATGTGGTGCGACCGTCCAGCCATGACTTCTGTTTTGAAAACTTCTTTGAAATTACTCTAAATCTATTACAATTTAGTTTCTGCAATATTCGGCATAATTTCCAAAGTGTTTTTATTCCTGTACAAAATTGCAAAGCTTTTGCAGTCATATTTTTTTCATAATATACAAACAAATTTTGTCCGATCGTGTCCATTTCATTAAATATCATGTGGTGCGACCATCAAAAAATGACAATTTTTGACACTTTTATGCTGAAATTTACTCAAGGTCAGGAAGTTGCATCATTCACCATTTTGTTATAGAGCTATGGAAGCAGAAAGAGGGTTGGTGGCTCTCTCATTTCTTAAAAAAAAAAAGACCTTTTCAACTGCTGTAATGGCGTTGCCACTTTTGGATATCGTGGTATGACCTAAAAAAAACAACAATTAATTTAAGTCATTTCCACAAATATGTATTTTAATTATAAATTTCATAGTGAACTTTTGTGGGGGGCTAGTGAGCTTTGTTTATGTGACTAATCCTGTATCAGCAAAATTTGACTGAACTTGAAAATGTCATGCGGTGTGACCAATTATCATGTGGTGTGACCACTGCAGATTGTTTTCCATCTTTAATATATGCCCTAGATTGGCAGTATTTACGCTTTTTATATTCAATTGATGATTGATAAACACTAAATACTTAATTTTTATTATTATTTTGACTTTTTTTTGTTATTTGATGAGTCATTTTGCTAACATTTCTGAAATAATGGTTAGTTCATCTCTGTGCAAAATAAGAAAAAAATATTTAAAACTTTCATGTATCAATTTAAGTCATTTTAATTTATTTTACCAGATGCCACTGCCAAGCAAAGTTAAAAGTGCTCGCCATAGGCAGCGTGTCAACTCTGACCCTGCAGCATGTTGTTCATGCCAGGGCTGGTCAAAGATTGGGCCAAGATTGTTGACATCGCTGCACGGATGGTGAGAGGAGCGCTTCGCCAAGAGCGTTATATTCATGATCATTCAAATCCGTTTGATTTACCTGATGATGTTCTCTATGAACGTTACAGGTTTTCCTCGGACGGCTTCAATAGTCAAGTAACATGAAGTCGAAGCAGTACACTAATATTTGCCAAGCTCCAAGTTCAAGTTTCATGCAGCATATCAGTCATCATTCAGAATTTATTAAAGCAGATTAGAAAACTCCTCTTAACCCCAAATGTGTCTGCAGATGACATGTGACCATCAGATGATGGAGAAAAAAGAAGAAAAGGCAGTGTGAGGAAATCACTGTTTACACGTTGAAATGTGTACAAATAAAATCTTCCAATAAACTTACAAACAACTTTAAAGGATGTTGTTAGATTTATTTTTATTTGCTCCCACGTACTCTTTTCCCCACTGCTGTTGTATCTGAAATAATGAGGTCAATGATGGAGGTTATCACACACGCTGCATAGCAACATATTAGGGGGCCATAAATTTATGAACGCACAAATGTAATTTACACAATCGATGATTTTTTTTGCCAGCAGTCCCTCCGGCTTTTAGCGGCTGCGGCTGTCCTGCTCCTCACTGATATAATGTTGCGGTACTCCTCGTATTACCGTAAAATAATGCTCTGTTCCTCGGCTGTGAAATATGACATGCAGCCTTCTCCATTGTGGAGATTGGTCCGGTGGCACTGACCCCACCCCCTTTACGTGTGCACGCACAGATCTAGACTGACCACAACTGAATTTAGTTAGCGAGTTGATATCCTGCCTCGTTGTACATCTGATCGGGATTACGGAGGTCTGGTGAAGTTGAGCGAGTTATCCTGGGTGTGTTAATCCAGCTTCATAGTGCAGGCCTCTGGACCACATACACAAACACACACAGAGTTAAATTTTTGTAAAAAAAAAAAAAAAAGGGAAAAATAAAATGTTTGTGTTCATGTTTGAAATGTTAATAAAATTTGGTTTGAATATAAAATTTGCATGAAATTAATTGTTCATAGGTCTCTTTAAATTGATTTTTAATGATAGAAGGTCTTCAGGTCATTTGGTGCGACCACCAAACATTAATTGTATCAAATACAAACTAAAATATCTAATTTCTGTAACTGAGACATTAATACCTGATACAATATGCTTACATGAAAGGTAGTTTTAAAACATTTTTATCAGTATGATGCAATTTAAAGAAAAAAATAGTCAGTGAACTTCATTTGATACAGCGACTGTGACATTATAGAGCTAATATATGACATCATTATTTACAAAAACTCAAATAAAATGCAAACGTTTTGTTCCTATGTACCTGATATTACAGACAATTTTTAAAAAACTATGGAGTATGTTGAAAAAATGTTATCATTTTGAGATAAATGATGGTCGCACCACATGACATTTTTTAAGGCCACAGGCAATTCATCTATATGAAAAAAACACTAAAATTGCCTAATTTCAAAATTAAACTTAAATTTTTGTATACATAACATACTTAGTGTTTGAACTGTTGCAAAAGATATTCTTATTTTTGGTATTTTAAAATTGGCATGTTGAAAAACCTTATACGTCATTGACCCACATACAGTATTTTATCATGTCTGGACCAAATTGAGATTTCTTATGACTAGAACTTTGGTTGAAGTTGAAGCAACATTTAACTCACTGCTGGTGATGAGAGATGTGATGTTAACTCTGGCTGTAGGGGCCGGTTTGACCCTGCTACTTTTGCCTTTTTAGCACCCATACAGGAAATACAAACATGATTATTCTCTTTGCAGAGTTGTGCAGGTTCTCAGCTACCTTAGAAAATATGCTCATAACTCATAACTGTTTGATTGGGATGAGAAAAACTTGGACTTAACTAAATATTTAAATCTAGTTTGAGTTAAAAAAGTGTTGTTTGCAGTTTCAGGAACAACCCTTACTCCCCCTGTCTCTCTTCCTCTCTGTCTTTGCACCTACATTATAGACCGGCTGTACTTCGCCACTCTACATGTCAAACCAAAGAACACGGCCAACACACATTACCTCAGCACTGATGAGGAATTCACATATGAGAGGTAAGCATCAGTGAGTGCATCTACATAGACTTGAGTGCCCCAGGTATGAGTCTTATCCCAGTTTTGATCAGATAAGGGATGTGGTATTTACTTGTTAACTTGGTTAGCCATATCCCTCTATACATGATAAATACCATGGGCTCTATTTTCGTGTCCGCCGGTGAGGCGGCTGAGGGTGAGGCGAACCGAGACCCGCCAAGCTGGGCGTGGTGGCGTGGCAGGGGGAGGTGTCGACAGAATCAGCTGGTGCAGTGACATTTTTGTGCTCGTCAGTGGCGTGTAAAGTGCGCTGAAAGATCGCTGATTCAAACTTGGTCAGCTTTCAGCGCAGGCGGAGCGCAGCTGGTCTAATGGTATTTTGGTAGACCGGCGGCGTATCGGCATTCGTCACCGATACCTCACAGGCAGGTTTCCACAGTGTCAGGCACATTTCAGTGCAATAAATAATCATCAACAACTAATAATCTGAGTCAGCACATACAGTTAGATCTATATAGATATATTCTGATCTATATCTGATCTGATGAGCACGTTTGGCACGCGTTTGGACACACAACCTGACCGAATCAACACAGCTGAAACCGCATTAAATTAAATCAAATATCTAGTAAATAAGCACACATGATGAAGTTAACTAGATATGTAATTTGTCTCCCTCCTTTTCTTTCTTCCTCTTCCTCTTATTTCTCGCGCAGCTCGACCTGGACATGTCTCCATGTCCTCTCCCCGTCCTGCTGCAGCTGCTGCTGCAGCAGCTGAACAGATGATTTGTTTCAGTGCTCAGATGAGTTATTTACTTTAAGCCTACATACGAATATTATAATATTCAGTTTTGTGAGCCAAATTTATTTTATATGCCAACATCTATGAAAGAAAGAGCCAGGCCTTGGAGCACGATGCGTCATTTACGCACAGATGGTTCCGATTTTAATGCCATTATTGGAGTTTATGTTGTGATCTGTGTGCTCAACCCACCTTTGTCACGCGAGGTTTAAATGTATATGCAACTTTATGTGAGTGTCTTTATTTGTGGAAAAGGGTGTTTGTCTTACCAGTGGGTCCAACATTACACACACCAAATCCATCTGTGCTCATATGAGAGAGTGTGGAGGACGCCCAATGCAGCGTTTACAGTGACACTTGTTGAGGAGCTGCGTTCTGTCGCCATCGTGTGGCATTACTGTCCTCAGACATCTCTTGATCTCTTTGACTACTTCACTAAAATTGTAAAACGCCTCGCCGGTGGCGGATTTAAAGGCAAGGAGAGGAGCTTATGTGATTGGTGAAAACAGGTCTCAGCTGTGTTAAAACCACTCCACGCCCTCTCTCCTCCCTCGCTATGACTTACGGGAGGAGCTGAGTTAGGGATGGGGGATACTTACGCCGGGCTGCGACACTCACCAAAATACCAAATTATGCTTAGGAACGCCTTGTCGACGCGGTGGACCTGACTTACGCCGCGCCTGCGGCGCGTCTATGGTGAGGCACGAAAATAGAGCCCTCTGTGTGTGTCAGAGTAACTTTCTGTTATGCAGCGAGACATTAGTTTGACAAACTGCCAGCGATATCCCTTGTGAGATTTGTGTACTAGCTAAAGATAGCATCTTGCTTCAAGTGCCTCGTGGTTGTGGAACATAGTATGTGGAGTAGAAGTACAATGTTAAAAAGAATAACACAAGAGTTATTCAAGGCAGTGGTGGAAAAAATGGTTTATGGATGTCAACTATGAACAGCTGCTTTATCCCTGTGACTTTTAATTATTATTTTTTAATTAAACAGATACTTCTTTATTAATAACCAATCTTTTGGAGACACAAAAATAATTAGTTGAACTCTGTTAACTGAAAAAACCATATCACTATCAAAAGTGATTTATTCTGAATTTTCTTAAGTGCCGAGGCCCAGAAGCTGGGCTAAGATCTGCTTGGATCATAGGGTCAAGGTAAGGGGACAGGTCAAACGGGGCGATGGATTAGGCTGGAATGACAAGAAGCTCAGTTTTGGACGGGTAGAGCTGTAGGTAGCTCAGAGTTCATCCATTCAGAAAAATCTCTGAGGTATGATGAAATTCAGGCGGATACAATTGTGTCATATGCAGGGAATGACAGGAGGAGCTGAGTATCATCTGCATAGCAGTGATATGAGAATCCATGAGATAGGATTATTGCACAGATTGAGATTATGTACATCAAGTAAAGGAGAGGACCAAGCACTGACCCTGAATACTAGGCTCCCCCGCCCTCTCCTTTCTCTCTCGCCTTCCCTTATCTTTTTCTCTCTCTCCCTCCCCCTGTCCTCTCCCCTCTACCCTCTTCTCTCTACATTCCTCCCCAACCCAGCAGCGGCATGGTGGCTGTCTGGCATGAGTCGGGTCCTGCCCAAGGTTTCTGCCTGTTAAAAGGAAGTTTTTCCTTGCCACTGCTACTCATGTTAGTTGAGATGGGCCAAAACCCATCTTAGGTTGGTTCTTGATCATCAAACAATGAGCGTGGTCTAGACCTGCTCTTGTTCCTTGAAAAGCGTCTTGAGATGACGACTGTTGTGAATTGGCGCTATATAAATAAAATTTGATTGATTGAATTTGATAGGCTGGAGACAACCTGAGGAGCAGATCATGGGGATGCATTTTCAGTTTAGATGGAGTTTATGAGAATTTCAGATGAGGAGAAAAACTGTGTAATCGGCTGAACTGATCAGTTTTTCTTTATTTTAGGTTAAATCTGCAAATTGAGGGAGAGTCTATTTTTAACTATTTTTGGTTAATACCGTCATGTTGTCATCACATACATTTGGGTTTGTGATGTCCTGATTTTATTTAATATTTACTTAAAAAAATGTAAACTACAGTAATAGTTTATTATAATAACTGTAATTTAAATAAAAATGGAAAAAACTCAGATCCCAACATATCACTGACTGGTTGGATAATACTGTCAGAACTGGTTCTGGCTAACCCACTTGTCTATCTATGGCAGAAGTCAGAGGAGAGAGTCACTTTCCTTTATGGTCATAAGACATACACACAGTTTAATACTTATAAATTTTATTGACAACTCAAAATAAGACCAAATGCTAAAATAAGATGCTCTGTGATTAAAAGAGTTTTACTGAAATTAGATTACTCATTAGTTCATTGGGGGTCATGTGATGTTTGTTTCCCTTGTATTCTATCCCATGTATTTTAGTAATGAGAGTCCTGCATCCCAGTGTTGTCATTATTACAGTGTCACTGTAATTGGAGTCTAGTGCTGAAGCACTGGCAAATCACAGGTTTGTCCGAACAAACATAGTGAATATTTATATAGCAGAAGTCCCTTGTGTTCCCATTTTTCTAAGAAACTTCGAAACTGTGATGTTGACAGTGCCATGTTGGAGTTGTTTTCATCCACCTGTTTGTTTATGACTAACAATAAAACAAGAACATGTTGTAGACCAGCACCTCTTGTATAGTGTCTCTGTTGTGAATTAGTGCTCAATAAATAATGATCGATTGAGGTAAAGAGGCAGAACTCCTGTAAACATTTTTCAAGTAGAAGATGGGCCCAATTAATGACTCTTGGTCTTGTGGTCAAGTGTTTTTTTTTTTTGTTTTTTTTTACCTAGCTGAGGGTTACCTTCCATCTGTTGTTAAGCTATAATTAAAATCGGATGAATCTGAACAGAGACTCGGCTGCTTTTTCTGTCACTTAATATTCAGAACATTTATTGTCTGAAAAACTCTAAAAGGTATAATCAAGGTGATCAAGTCGTGTTCCGATGCTTTTATTCTCTCACCTGTTATGCTACTCACCTGTTTCACCCTGTCATAGTTTCTATGCAGACTTTGGACCCCTAAACCTGGGCATGCTGTACAGATACTGCTGCAAACTCAACAAGAAACTGAAGGTAACTCAAACTATGCTCTACTCTGACAATTCAGACCAAAACTCCAACTTACCTTTGAACACATGCAGAGATTTGAGCTTAGAGGGGTTTACCCATGACATATACAGTACTCACACTTTGTGGTTTATGTCTGGGTTAGGACAATGACTTCATTCATGCTGCTGGGTCATTTAATTATTATTACTCCTGGACTTCTTTTCTTCCTTGTTATTAATATACAACAGTGAACCCAACACAGAACCTTCAGGAACCCCACACTCAGCCATGAGCAGTTCAGATTTAGCCTGGTTTATTTGTACATATTGATACCTACATTGTTTTTTTTATCATTAAATTGTGATCAGTGTAGAAATTGTGATGTAGAAATGCTTTTGCTCTTTAGCAGTGGTAATATCCTCCACCAAGTGCACATGAAGTTAACCTATTTTTCTAAGTTCACATTGTTGCTCCTGTTGTGTCTTGAATAAAATAGATGTGTCCAAGATTTCTAAGGGTCATTTTACTAATTATGTATGTTAATGTGAACTCTTCAGTCTTTCACCACGTCTAGAAAGAAACTGGTCCACTACACGAGTAACGATCAAAAGAAGAGAGCCAATGCTGCAGTTCTCATTGGTGGATATGCTGTAAATATGTCTTCGTCATCTATTCACCCTTCTATTTATCATTTTCCTTATCTGTACACCTTTCCCTTTATAATGTCTGACTGAATATGCTCTTTCCTAAAGGTAATCTATTTGAAAAGAAGTCCAGAAGAAGTCTACAGAACCCTGATCTCAGGAAACAATGCAGGCTTTCTGCCATTCAGGTAGACCTACACACACACACCCTATAAACTACACAGACGTTTTTGTGTTTAATAAGGTTTTCCCAGATAATCTGACAGGAATGACTCTGACATCAGCCATCATACTGGTAGGTTGTCAGTGAAATCCATAAGAGAGCTGATGTCATAAAAGTCTTCAATTAGAAGAATAAATGAAAGACCTTTAGAAAAATCATAGTTTAACAGCCCTTTAACCCAGCCGACATTATATAAGTTAGCTGTAGGCTGGTGGGACAGAGTCCCCTACCTGGGACAGTGTCAGCAGTGGCGATTGCTCTAAGACTGCAAGGGAAGCTCAGCTTCCCTTAAAATGTCACCCCCCCAAAAAAAGAAAAAGTGGTGAAATAGGTACTGCTGTGTGTACATTTCATTAACTAAATACGCGCTAGAAAGCCTTCATCTTTTGTTCAGAATCAGCTTCTTATCACACTGTGATAAGAAGCTGATACTGCACAACTTTGTTCTCATTCATCCTCGCAGCGCCTCAGCCCTTTAAACAGCCGGACGCCCAGCTTCTGCTGACTTCAATGTGGAAGCTCAAAGTGGGTTGTTCCAGCAGCGAAACTAGACGCTCATTAGATAAATGCTGGGCTTTGTCCCGCCCATCGGACGCTGAGCTTCTCTGGAGTTCTATGATGAGAGGGCGGTCCCGACTTTCTCCCGGACTCCGAGCTTCTGCATCCATGATTGGATGAGCTGTCTGAGGCGAAATCCTTTTTTGATTGACAGCTAAACAAGCGAATCAGCGATCTTGAAGAATAAAACATCTACCAAAGCATTTTCCAAGTTATTCATTCCGTTGTTCTTAACTGCTCCAGAGACTTTACCGATCCTCAGCGACTTTTGTCTTTGTTAAAAACGACTGCCATTGTGTTTGGCGACTCTGTTCTGTTACATACAAATAAACAAACACAATTATGATGTAGGCCAGAAAAATGAGCTTCCCCTCCTTGAAAGACCAGCAGCCGCCACTGAGTGTCAGAGACACAGAACCCGAAGACCAAAACAGGGGCTTTGAGTGTCTGACGGCTCAAAAGGTTGTTGATAGAAAAACACAGAGATTAAAACATTTATGTTTAAAAACTGTAATGTAGAGAATAATGCTTAAACTATATAAAATTTCCAAAATGCTGGAAGAGATTAAGGTTGATGGACAAAGACACCAACACATGAGCAGCATTTCATCTTTCACCTTCACTACGAAGGTGAAACCAAGAGATGAGCACAGAGGTGTTTTAGTGAATGTGATGGCATCACTGTGAACTGGCAGAGCATGCAGGGTGGACCTGCAGTGTGTGTGTATGTGTGTGTGTGAGAGAGTGTGTGTATATATATGCAAAGGTCTTCTTCTTTGCTCAAGTTTGATGCCAGCAACACATTTCAAAAAAGTTGTGAAATAAGTTTTAACTCTTGTTACAACTTTTGGGAACTGAGGAGACCAGTTTCTGGAAATCTGAAAGTGAAATGTTGTACCACTGTTTCCCAAATTCAGATTTCAGCTTTTTAACAGTTCAGAGTGATGTGTAATGCATGTCATGATGCTCTGGGTGTTTCCAGTGGGTGACAGGTCAGGACTGCAGAGCCATATTGTTTTATTGTCACTCAGCATCAGTGAAGCCAGATGTGTAAACCACCCACGTTGTAGATCTTTACACATCTCTAAGTGGCTTCAATGATAACCTGAAGTGGTTCTGTTTGAAGCCCTCTAAGGACCCCTGATCTACTCATATGACTGCCTACCTTATCATAAACTTCACGTGTAGTGCACTCCTGGAAACTTCCTGACACTGTCCAGATTGGAAAACATGTGTCACCCAATATCAGAGGCTGCTAAATCAGCCTATAGAGTGCATTTTTTCTGTAAAGCCGAAGTGTGAATGTAGCAGATAACACTCATGAACACTGGAGTGTGTTGATATTATGAACAGGGTTTTCTTGTTTTCCTGTCTTTCCTGCACACTTTTAAACATTGTTTTTCTCTCTTTCTTTAATGTTAAAACCTGAAGAGGTCAGAAAATCCTGTGACTTTTTGAACTGTCACTCTGAGAAAAGTATGAATGTCATGAAGATGGTGAATGAATGAATGAATGTCTAAAGATGGGTGAATGTTTTTAAAGTTTGATTGACGTTTCTAGGTAGAAGTATAGAGGAGTTGAAGGTTTTTGAAGTTGTGTGAAGAAAATGTGAGAAAAGGGCCTTTTTGAACATTCCGTAATGCATTTCTAATGGGAGAAATCTATTGGAAAACAGGGAATATCTTGGAAAGTATGAATGTTAGGAACATTTTGAATACAAGCTGGAATGTCCTCAATGAGATGAATATTTTAAAGTTTGAATGGTTTGAATATGTTAAAGTTTGTGGAAGTAATTAAGGGCCAAAAAATGGTAGAGGTCGCTATAATAATAATAATAAAGATATAAATAACATATAGTGGGAATGCTTCGCAATCCCACTCAATAAACAAAATTATTAAGTGGATGCTGATTAAGCATTTCCACTTAATAATAAACAAAATGGCCGACACGAATTACAATAAGTGGAAATGCTTAATCAGCATTTCCACTTAATAATGTAACAGTGATGTTTAGACCAGATATGACCAAGAATTTTCAAGTGCAAACGACATTTGTTTGTAGCGACCAACTTGTAGCAGCTGCTCAGCATGCCGCTCCTCACCTTCTGAGTGAGAGACGGAGCGAACTGCTTGTAACTGGTGCTACGAGCGATGCGATTGGACAGCGGCGGCAACCCAGGTACGTGCGTGACGACGCAACGCTACGTGACTGGAAGTTACACTCGTACGAGAACCTGACGGAATTATTTATTTTAATAATAATAATTATTATTATGACAATAATAATAATAATAATAATAATAATTATATATATATATATGTATATATATATATATATATATATATATTATTATTCTTAATACCATTTTATTTAATTATATTAATGATGAACAACAGACTTAAATAATAGATTTGCTCCCAAACTGGGGACAGTTTGACAATTTCAGAAACTCAATAAGAAGGAGAAAAGAAATCCTCTACCCTGCAATTAGACATCTGGGCCTTTTTTTCTGCTTAAGGTGGCACTGTCTTTTTATTTGACCTTCCTTCCTAAACCCAAACACCATCTGCTCTTCACCAAAGCTTCTCTGAAATGGCAAAAGGCGTCATAAATGTACCAATGTCCAATTACAGCTGTCTACTTTTTTAACTCGTGTGTGTGTGTGTGTGTGTGTGTGTGTGTGTGTGTGTGTGTGTGTGTGTGTGTGTGTGTGTGTGTGTGACAGGGACGCAGCAGTGGGGGAGTGCAAATTTAACCTCACAGTTCTGGACTGCTTACAAGGAATACATAAGGTAAACAATAAGTGCTAAGGTTATACCACAGTGGCTAACTTTGGTGAAAAAAGGATTTACACAAACTCACTATGAGAGATTATAGGGACTATAGTCTGTCCAGTCATTATCTGTGGTTCTCCTGACTCCTAATTCACAGTTGTTACATCATACTGAACTGAAAAAAGCCAAGGTTTTCAACAGTGAAATACATGGAAAAATAACAGCAGCTTAATGTCCCTGCCAGAGGTCAGTCAGTTCGGCCTGTCTCATTCTTGTCTGTCTGTCTGTCTGGGTGGGTGTGTCTCTCTCTCTCTCCAGGCACTGCAGCTTGGCTTCTTTGACTTTGACAGTTTCAATGTTGAAGAGTATGAACACTATGAGGTGAGGTTTGCAGACAGACACTGATTTTGATCATCAATCCACAATAGTTTCACTTCACTTACAGTTCAAAAACACCTTTAGGTGAAGGATTAAGGATAAAGCGGATGAAAAAACTTTATGTCCTGATATTGGAAGTATGCCCAGAGGGGTGTCTAGAGTTAGCTCTCCTGAAACTGATAGGCCATCCAAAGTCTCAGTGTCAAAACAATATTTAACTTTTCACTTTAACTCAAACAGCTAGACAGTGTGCAGGAGCTATTCTACTCTCTCTATTCCAATTTCTTGAACAATGAAGTAGGACAGACTAAAAGGTTTTAATGCTGGTTTTCTGTTGGGTAACTTCTAGGAGTTAAAGATAAAAACAGGAGTATGACATCTGAATGGTACTTGAGTGTCCGTAGGTCAATGATGGCTCTGGATTGAAAGGGTAAATGTAAACAGAGAGCTTGTCCAACTTACTGCCAAACAGCCTTAACCCTTTTTTCTGCTAGCTTACATTAATCGTTGAGGCCTTGCTGGTGCTGCATTCATGAAATTACAGTTTTGTGTTGAGTGACTATTTTTTTTAGAAATGTGCTGTGGTAGAAATGCAGTTTTATACTGAATGAATGAATCAACACTACATTTATTGACATTTGTTTACTAAAAGAGTAAGAAAACCATCCCTCTACACTTTTGATAAACACACAGTTATTTAAGATGGAGTAACTATGGGACTTCTTTTTCATAAACACGGGAGGCAGGTTAGAGGAAACAGTATGTCTTTATTTATTTATTTATTTAGAGGAAGACTAACATGTTAGACATCCTTAAAGTTAAAAGCTTCTTAATTCTTTCTTTCTGTTTTTAGCGAGTAGAAAACGGGGACATGAACTGGATCATCCCAGGGAAAGTTCTGGCCTTCTGCAGCCCTAACTCTCGCAGTAAGATAGAGAATGGTGAGTCATATTTTTTTTCAGTTTCCCCTGTCCTGTGTGATGAGGTTATAGATTCATGATTTATAGGAAAACTTCAGTGTTTGTCAACCCGGGCCCTGTTTTTCCATGTGTTTGAGGATGCTTGACTGCTGTGGAGAACACTGTCTTAGAATGGTCCAGTGTTGAGGGAGAGCAGGGCAGCCGCCAAACCAAATCAAATGAAGTTTCTGTCATGGTGCAGGGTAAAACAAGGGAACAAGGACCCAAAAATGCAGATCTTAAGGATTCATTAAAGAAAAATCAAAAAAAGAAAACTTTAGCAAAAACTAACTCTGAAAATGTCAAAGAAGAAAAAAAGAGAAAAATCCAACAAAAGGCACTTAGGAAAAACCACAAGGATCATGGGGAACAGGCAAACATACAATGAACCAACAAAGAAACAGGGGAAGACAGGGACTATATGCACAGGGAAACAAGCAACGAGAGGCAGGTGAGACACTGAGGCTGTGTCCAAAATGGCATACTGCCTACTGTCTACTTACCTACTCAATCAGTACATACTGCATACTGAGTAGTCAAAGATGATTTGAGTATGCTGCGGCTGCCGGAGCGTTTACATACAGATGCATACTAAATACCCCAGAATGCATTTCGTGCTGGCCGGACGCAGTGCCGGGAAAATTTAAATAGTCCTACCACAAGCTACACAGAACGACTGCATTCCGGACAAATTATATAAATTCATTCAGTAATAATATTTTTTCTAGCGAGAAAGTAAGTGTTAACATCACAATTATGAGCCCAGTTGTTTGAAATAGCGGCTGTTTGTAAATTTGTCTCGGCGTTTTCGGAGACCAAAGTGTCCGCTTGGTGGGTGTTTGCGTCTATATACCGTAAACACTGGGCAGCAGCAGCTCCCCCTTCAAGTTTCCAAATTATTGCAAAGTGTTTTCATCATCAACAACTACACAACACAAACCAGGCGGCAGTGAATGAAAAAAATAACACAAACACCTGTGTATCCATGGTGATAATGCTATACACCACCTGCTGGGCGTGTGATGAGCAGCAGAGGGCTGCAAAATGACCAACACACAGCATAATTATTATGACCTTGTTCGGTTATTCCTTGGCAAATACACAATTTCCCGACTACATTCTTTTCATGTACAATGATAATTTCAGAAACCATTAGGTAGTTCTGCCTGGTGTAGGCTGAAAACCATAAAGCGCCGCCATGCATGAAGACAAAGGTGTCTTTTCTTCAGGGCAGCTATGTACTTCCTAATGGATTTTCAACCACAAGTAAGAATTAGTAAAGCTCACATATACATTGTCAACTGGAAACTCCCCCGTTTGTATATTCTGAACCATGTGCTCTCTACCAATAATAATTTTTATTAATCAGAAGACTGTGCTTAATATGAGTGACCACTTTGATGATGCATTCAGAGATGAGAAAATGCTCAAACTTGTTGTAATAAATACATCTTTAATAGACACTTAAATAAATAAAGTCAATTCATACGAGTAGTTAAAAACATTACCTACAATCCCAATTTAAAATACAAACAAATCTGGTAAAAAGATAAAAATATGATAAAATGATAAAAAATTGTTTAATGTATACTGACTAAATACTGTTTATCTAATCATTATTATTTCAATCCCATGCCATCTATTTCTTTTGAGCCTCGGGAAAGAGGGCCATATTGCCAGCTGAAGTGCGCAATGCATTGTGGGGCAGAAGCAGTACGTGAAGCAAGCTCTGCTCCATACTTAGAAATCAAAGCCGATTGAGTAGACATCCGGGCATTTCTCGCATACACAAAATTCGCATACTGTACAGTGTGAACGCACTGCCTACTCAATTCGGGGGCGGGGTTAGTATGAGTAGTAGGAGTAGTTTGCAATTTCGGACACAGCCTGAGACACAGGTGCAGACAATTACTGAGGAGGAAAAACAAAGGAAGTAAAATAAGACTATACACACAAGGATGGACAACTACAAAATAAAACAGGAAACACTGAAAACTGATCTAAAGAATAAAACACTGAGAAAAAGAGGGAAACAGAGTCAAACACTAACTGAAAAATCACAACACAGGAAAAATGAGAATTTCCTTGGAAGAGGATCTGACTGTCACTGTAGTGCCTGACAGAGCACATATGATTTCAGTTTTTGCTTTAATTATTAGATATTATCTAACTGGGTCAACAGCAACCCTAACACAACAAGTGCCACAATTTTAAAGAGAGCATTATATAATTTAGTCAATTTATTGTTATTAATTTTTAGTATGCAATTTCGGACACAGCCTGAGACACAGGTGCAGACAATTACTGAGGAGGAAAAACAAAGGAAGTAAAATAAGACTATACACACAAGGATGGACAACTACAAAATAAAACAGGAAACACTGAAAACTGATCTAAAGAATAAAACACTGAGAAAAAGAGGGAAACAGAGTCAAACACTAACTGAAAAATCACAACACAGGAAAAATGAGAATTTCCTTGGAAGAGGATCTGACTGTCACTGTAGTGCCTGACAGAGCACATATGATTTCAGTTTTTGCTTTAATTATTAGATATTATCTAACTGGGTCAACAGCAACCCTAACACGACAAGTGCCACAATTTTAAAGAGAGCATTATATAATTTAGTCAATTTATTGTTATTAATTTTTATTTTGTTGAAATAGAGGTTCCTGACAAAGTCAAAAAGTCTTGATGCGAAAAAGCTATTTTTTTTAGCATTTAAAATAAAAGCAGGTCAGTTTTGACCATAAGACAGGAGGAGGGTAAAAGCAGGTTTAAGAAGCCAGTAATGTGGCTTGATCTGTTTGTCTGTGTCCACTTGTATTGCACAGTATACAGGTTGTTGGCACTGAATCCAACTATTCCCTCTTCTGACTGAGGCATTCATTTGAAATTTTTTTTTTACATGTTTGTCAGATTCAGGGTGTTTAATTTGAAATGTCTGTATCCAGGTTATCCTCTCCACGCACCAGAGGCCTATTTTACATACTTCTGCCGAAATAACGTCACAGCTGTCGTCCGTTTGAACCGGAAGATGTATGACGGCAAGCGTTTTGAGGATGCAGCTTTTGAGCACCATGATCTCTTTTTCGCTGATGGGACCACACCCTCTGACCTCATCGTCAGGCGCTTCCTGCATGTGTGTGAAAGCACAGAAGGAGCTGTGGCTGTGCACTGTAAAGGTGGGAGTGGCTTTGTCTGTATGTACGTTTGTGTATGGTCTACACGATTTTGGCAAAAAACAAAACCCCAATTTTTTCTCTGAAAACTCAATTTTTAATTTTGTTTTTTTTATTCAGTGACAACTTTACAAAAAATCACTTTAATAATATTAAGTTTTTCTTTCATCTCTCAAAACAAAACTACTGAAAACAATGTAGTGCATATGCAAAGCCAGTAAGTGGCACTGTAGCGCTGCCCAGGAAATGCATAAAATACAGAGCATGCATGAAGGTTATTTTGGCCAGACCATAGACTGTATATAGAATGGACAACGTCTGCCTCCTTGCTGGGTGAAGCCACTCCGAGAACAGCACCGTCTGTTGATGAGCTGCTGTATAGGTCATAAACCCCGCCTCCGCCAGCAAAGCTTATGGGGCTGTGGACAAACTTTAGAAATTTATTCTCCTCCTTATTTTTTCTCCACCCTGCTTGTGATGTTGACATGTAGTTACAGTAAGACTGGTTTGTGCTCAATTCCTTTTTTTTTCTGTGAAGCTCCATTTTTAAAAGTTATTAGGGGGTTCATGTTTTCTTTGATTGACACCTGATACAGCCTGTGGGTGTTCAGGGATTGCGTAGCTCACCTGGGGGACACACTGTTTAAGCTGAGCATCACCACAGCGACTCTCTGCGACTCTCCCGCTGAATGCTCATGGCACTACTGTGCCTCAAAAGTGTATACAGGCGGGAGGCAGAACCAAGTTGTCCATTGTATATACAGTCTGTGGGCCGGACACGCGCAGGTGCCATAAAAGAGTTACGCTGTGTGTCACATGATCGTTTCAAGAGATTAATGCTGCGTCCGAATTGCCCGCTCGGATACTACATGCTACTGCTACATACTACTGCTAGATCCTACTCCTACATACTAAACACGTTGGCCCAATTCGGACACACTAGACGAGCGGTGGGGAAAGACGACCCCCGCAGGCAGAGAGTAGGTACAGCGCCCGTGCAGAGAGTGGTAACTGAAGCCCCTCATCTGTGGGCCTGGCTGTAGTACTGCAGCTGTGCAGTTTAATGATGGAATAAGTGAGCTTTACCTCCATGATGTCGCCACATATTTGCTCATAAAATGATTACTTGGGCAAATATGACACCATGACATGACAAAGAGATACAACCGCACATTTTTTAGGACAGTGTGTGAAGTTACATGAAACTGTACTGCTGCGGTCCCTCCTGCTGCTGCTGCTGCTCCGACATGGTGCGCGCTGCTGTGGCCAGCCGGCATTCGCGACACATTTAAATAGGCAGAGCAGCTGGTGGCGCTAGCATCACATGCGCTTCTACAACTTTTTAGAGGACGAAGAAGCCCGTGGTGCATTTTGGGTCAGTAGCATGCCCGTAGGATGCACCGAGACCAACCTACAATGTGGGCGTGTCTAGTATCTGAAGTAGTATCTGAAGTAGCATGCTACTCGCTCCGGTGGCCAATTCGGACATGCTAGATACTACTTCGACTACTACTTGGCAATTCGGACGCAGCTTAAGATAGGCATCCACACGGAGATGAATTGGTAGTCGTTTAAGGATTTATGCACTCCCTGACCCGTTTTAAAAAAGTACTGTTTACAGTCACCCGAAACGCTGTTTCCGTGTGGATGAAACGTAGATATGACAAAAAACGTTTGCGTTTACTCCTAAATTTGTTTCCATGTGGACAGGTTGATACCGCCTTCAGACAGACTTTGCAGCAGAGAGTGATTTGCCCTTTGTCTGAAACTGTGAAGTTGTACTAATTCCACATGACTGACTTGCTCTTCCCCTATTTAGCCACAAAATTATCGCCTTTTGCTAACGCCATGTTTGTTTACACTGGTGTGTGTGGGAACTGGGGTGCGCTCTTGCAGGAAGGGGAAGCCTACGGTGGCCTGGAGGCACAAAAGATGATAGCGAGGAAAATCAATTATACAGTTTTATTTTTTTTTACATTTTCATAATTAAATAATCCAATTACAATGTAAAATCAATTAATGGTGCAGCCCTAATGTTAATTTTTTCATCATATTAAAGGTGAACTGAATTCATCTTACAGTGGCTGGTTCCTCATGCATGCAGTGTGATGCAATTCATGCCTTTTTTCAACCTTGAAAAAACATCAGATTAGAAAACTAAACCTTGCTTTTGTGAACATGTTGTCCAATAACAGCTGGCCTTGGGCGTACAGGCACTCTGATAGGCTGCTACTTGATGAAGCATTTCCGGTTTACTGCAGCAGAGGCCATTGCTTGGATACGAATTTGCCGCCCTGGATCCATCATTGGCTCCCAGCAGAACTTCTTAGAGGAGTGAGTTTGTCTCATTTGAAGTCTCACACCCATCAGCTTTGACATGGCTTCAGAGGACTCAAGACCTCCAGCTCACAGAGAAAACTAAAAGAGTGAAATGCAATGACATAGCTCAGAGTTTGAAATATCTCAATTTTGACATTTAAGACTTAACAGTTCAGTAAGGTAACTGCTATGAGCTGCTCAAACATACTATATGAACCTAGTATAAGAAGGTTTCTAGTAATATCAGTGCAGCAGTGATCTAACAAAAATACTTATCTACTCCTCAAGATATTTTCTGATATTTTCAGCTGACTTTCCTGCAACCTTTTTAAAATTCTAAAGTTCTGTCTCTGGGTGCACAATATTGTCTGTTTTTTATGTGTGTAGGAAAGAGCATAGTTTGTGGATCCAAGGAGATGTCTATCGCTCCAAACAGAGACTGGCTCAGCGAAGAGTGAGCCGGCGACAGCAGCTGCAGCAACAGTGTCAGCGTCAGCAGCAGCAGCAGCAGCTGCAGCTGTACAGGCCTGGCTCTGAGGAGGTCAGACAGGAGACCATGTCCCGCCTGATCTCCAGCATGGAGGACCTGTCTGTTAATACTTCCCTCTATAAATCATACAGCCTGGATGATGTGAGTCTGGGTCTGTCTGGGATCAATCAGTTTCTTACTCTCTCTCTCTCTCTCTCTCTCTCTCTCTCTCTGTCTCTCTCTCTCTCTCTGTCTCTCTCTCTCTATATATATATATATATATATATATATATATATGCATATTAATCTTTATTATCTATGTGCATGTGTCCCTTTTGCATTGTGTGTGAAGAATAACTGGAAGGACAGCAGTCTTACTCAAGGAGATAAACTGAGGACACTGAAAGGAAAACGTCCACCTCGCTCTTCCTCCTCTTCCTCAAGGTCGGTTTTACCTGTTTTTTTAATTTATTTACTTATTATTTTTTGCATAGAAAAACAAAAGCAGTCATGGAAAAAGGTTCAGCATTTGGTGGAGATAGAGGTTTGGCATCTTGCAAAGTCCAGTTTTTTAGCTGTGAAAATAAAAACACCATCTTTTAATAAGGGAAACAAATGCTAGCTTATCTAAGAACCAAGTTAAGGAGTATAGAAGAGCAATTAATAAAGTGTTAATTCCTGTGCTCTTTCCCCTGAGCCACACGTTTACCCTACAGCTATAATTAAGTCAAGTCCAGGTTTATTTATAAAGCCCCTTTAAAAAGACAGCAGTCAAACAAAGTGCTGTACATGGGATAAATAAAATAAGTAAATAAATAGAAAGATAACAATAAAACAATAAAATTAAAAACTGGAATAAAATGAAGACAGTAAAAGAAAAAAGCTACAGTGCCTATGATTCATGTGTGCTCATTTATTAAATGCAAGGGAGAAAAGGTGGGTCTTTAAAGATGATTTAAAGGACTCTAAAGTCTGTGAGGCTTTACATGGCCAGGTTAACGGTTCCACAGTCTAGGGGCAAATGCTGAAAAAGCCCTGTCACCTCTCGACTTGAGCCTGATTTTGGGGACGCTCAACAGTAACTGGTCGGAGGACCTTAAGAGGAAATATAAAGGCAACATCAAAAGTAGTCAAAAACGGCCAGTTATACCCCCAGATTGCAGAGGGTTAAGGCTCTGGCTGGGGAGTGGTGATACAGTAGCTCTGACAGGTAAGGAGGGGCAAGACCATTGAGGGCTTTAAAAAGGATTAAAAGAATTTTAAAATCAATACAAAAGCAGACTGGGAGCCCAAGGAGTTGCAGTGATCTATTCGTGAAGTTATAAAGGCATGAATAGTTTTCTCAAGATCAGCCTTTAAAAAATCATTTTAATAATAATAAAGAAGTAATTCTGAGTACTCTAGTGTTTGTTTTAGATATAATTCAACAGCATCAAACTCTTAAAGGTAGTGTGCAGATTGAGTATCATCATGACAGCCCTGCAGGCTTTAACAGGCTTAAATGAAGGGCTTTGACTGGTATGCATACTTTGTTCTTAATTTGATATAATATTGGGATTGTGTATTTTATGTCCCTCTGATTTCAGCTTTTTGATAGGATCATGAATGAAAGATAAAATAGCAGAAGTTAAAATCTCATAAACTCAGCAAATCATTGCAGATCATTGATCTGTGCACTGTACTGATAGTATCTTTAGGCTGCTGGGTCAGGACTGAGAGGTGGTGTGAAGTAAACCACGCTCTCTATCTTTCTCTGGTGCATAAAATGTGACACATTCAGAAACAAACTAACCATCAAAGAGACACCCTGAACATCAGCACAGTTAGATTTTCAAACTGGAGCTGTTTGGACATCAGCAAAGAATTACTGGATTGCCTGATAGGAATGAAAATCTTCAAAAGCAAAAAGAGCGTCTGTATTGCTTTGATGGTATTTACTACTTTCGAAACGAGCAAACGCACAGCTTTACACTACATGTGGTTGTATTTTGTGTGTTCTTAGATTTAACTTGTCCAAGGCCTCTCCCTCTTCCATATTGCCGCCTCCCAAGTTCTCTAAAGTCCCTCTCTCCTTTGCTACATCGCCCTCCTCATCTAAGAAGCTCGTGCGAAGCAGCTCCTCTTCAATCATGCAGGTGAAGAGGTGAGTGAAGCGTTACCACTGTTGTTTCTTTACAAATGTCAGTAAAGTCAGAAGTCAACATTGGCAGACGGATAAGTCAGATTTTGACTTAATTCTTCAATTAATGATTATTCAACCAGGGGGTCCTGTTGAGATGAAAATTCTCTTTTATCTTTTAAGAGAAACCTGGTCAAAGAAGCAGCCAAAGAGATTACATACACCTAAAAGATGACACTTACAGACCCTATGATTAGTAAATCACAGTAGTCCACAATTAAAATAGGCTACAACATAACATCCATAATGGACAGTCTGTAGCATAACATCTGTAACATTAGGTATATAATGTAAGATCTGTAATGTAACGACTGTAACATACATGTAACAACTGAACATGATCAGAATATTTCATTTATCCATGGGGAAAATTCAGTAACATAACATAATGTATTAAACACAATGTCTCTTCTGTAGCTTCTGTGATATTACGCCTGTAACATAATAACCTAAGTCACCTAAGTCTACAGTCGTGGCCAAAAGTTTTGAGAATGACACAAATATTGAATTTTCACAGGTTCTGCTACTTCACAGTTTTCAGGGATTTTTGTCAGATAATTCTATGGTATACTGAAACACAATTTCAAGCATTTCATAACTTGGATCAAAAGCTTTTATTGAAAATTTCACTGAGTTAATGCAACAAGTCAATATTTGCAGTGTTGACCCTTCTTTTTCAAGACATCTGCAATTCTCCCTGGCATGCTGTAAATCAACTTCTGGACCAAATCCTTACTGATGGCGGTCCATTCTTGCGTAATCAATGCTTGGAGCTTGTCAGAATTTGTGGGTTTTTGTTTGTCCACCCACCTCTTGAGGATTGACCACAAATTATCAATCGGATTAAGATCTGGGGAGTTTCCGGGCCATGGACCCAAAATCTTTATGTTTTGTTCCCCCAGCCATTTAGTTATTACTTTCGCTTTATGGCAAGGGGCTCCATCATGCTGGAAAAAGCATTGTTCATCACCAAACTGGTCTTGGATGGTTGGGAGAAGCTGCTCTTGGAGGACGTTCTGGTACCGTTCTTTATTCATGGCTGTGTTTTTTGGCAAGATTGTGAGAGAGCCCACTCCCTTCACTGAGAAGCAACCCCACACATGGATGGTCTCAGGAAATTTGACTGTTGGCATCAGACAGGACTGATGGCAGCGCTCACCTCGTCTTCTCCGGACAAGCTTTTTTCCAGATGTCCCAAACAATCGGAAAGGAGATTCATCTGAGAAAATCACTTTACCCCAGTCCTCAGCAGTCCAATCCCTGTACTTTTTGCAGAAAATCAGTCTGTCCTTGATATTTTTTCTGGAGAGAAGTGGCTTCTTTGCTGCCCTTCTTGAAACCAGGCCTTCCTCCAAAAGTCTTCGCCTCACTGTGCGTGCAGATGCACTCACACCTGCCTGCTGCCATTCCTGAGCAAGCTCTGCACTGGTGGCGGCCCGATCCGGCAGCTGAAACAACTTCAGGAGATGGTCCTGGCACTTAGTGGACTTTTTTGGGCGTCCTGTAGCCTTTTTGGCAACAATTGAACCTCTCTCCTTGAAGCTCTTGATGATCCGATAGATGGTTGACTGAGGTGCAATCTTAGTAGCTGCTATAAACTTTCCTGTTAGGCCCTTTTTTGTGCAGTGCAATGATGACTGCACGTGTTTCCTTGCAGGTAACTATGGTTAACAGAAGGGGAACAATGATGTTAAGCGCCATCCTCCTTTTGAAGTGTTGAGTCTGTCACTTTAACGCAATCATGACAGATTGATCTCCAGCCTTGTCCTCATCAACACCCACACCTGTGTTAACATTGTTCATGTCATTGAAATGATGTTAGCTGGTCTTTTTGTGGCATGGCTAAAATGCAGTGTAAATTTGTCTTGGGGATAAAGTTCATTTTCAAGCCAAAGAGGGACTTTGCGATCACTTGCAATTGAGCTGGTCACTCTTCCTAACATTCTGGAGTATGTGCAAATTGGCATTAGAACAATTGAAGCAGCAAATTTTGTCAAAATCAATATTTGTGTTATTCTCAAAACTTTTGGCCACGACTGTATAAAGTTTTGCCTGTAACATAATGTCTGTATCGTAACATCTGTAATGCAACGTCTGTAATTTATCATCTATAATGTAGCCTATGCATTGGATAACACCTATAATATAATATCTTTAATGTAACATCTGAAAGTAACACCTGTTACATAATGGGCTCTATTTTCGTTCCTTGCCGGCGGCATGACATAGGCGCGGCGTAAGTCAGGTCCGCCACACTGACAAGGCCTGCCCAAGCACATTTTGGTATTTTGGTGAGCGGCGCAGCCCGGCGTAAGTATCCCCCCTCCCTAACTCAGCTCCTCCCAGCGGCGTAAGTCGTAGCGAGGGAGGAGAGAGGGCGTGGAGTGGTTGAAACACAGCCGTGACCTGTTTTTGCCAATCAGATCAGCTCCTCTCTTCTCCTTTAAATCCGCCATCGGTAAGGCGTATTACAATTTTCGTGAAGTAGTTAAAGAGATCAAGAGATGTCTGAAGACAGCAATGCCACACGATGGCGACAGAAGGCATCCCCTCAACAAGTGTCGCTGTAAATGCTGCAGAGGGCATCCTCCACACGGTCTCATATAAGCACAGATGGATTTGGTGTGTGTAAGGTTGGACCCACTGGTAAGACAAACACCCTTTTCCACAAATAAAGCCAATCAAATAAAGTTGCATATATTTAAACCTCACGTGACAAAGGTGGGATGTGTGCACAGATCACAACATAAATTCCAATAATGGCATTAAAATCGGAACCATCTGTGCGTGAAGGACGCATCGCGTCTCCATGGCCTGGCTCTTTCTTTCACTGATGTTGGCATATAAAATAAATTTGACCCATGCAACTGAATATTATAATATCCGTATGTAGGCTAAAAGTAAAAAACTCATCTGATCACTGAAAGAAATCATCTGTTCAGCCGCCGCAGCAGCTGCAGCAGGACGGAGAGAGGACACAGAGACATGTCCAGTGTCCAGGTCGAGCTGCGTGAGAAATAAGAGGAAGAGGAAGATAGAAATAGGGGGGAGACGAATTAAATATCTTGTTAACTTCATCATGTGTGTTTATTTACTAGGTATTTAATTTAATTTAATGGGGTTTCAGCTTTGTTAATTCAGTCAGGTTGAGTGTCCAAAACGCTAATCAGATCAGATACAGATCAGAATATATCTGTATAGATCTAAATCTATGTGCTGACTCAGAATATTAGCTGTTGTTGATTATTCGTTGCACTGAAATGTGCCTGACACTGTGGAAACCTGCCAGTGAGGCATCGGTGATGTATGCCGATACGCCATTGGTCTACTAAAATACCACTAGACCAGCTGCGCTCCGGCTGCGCTGAAAGCTGACCAGGTTTGAATCGGCGAGCTTTCAGCGCACTTTTCACGCCGGCGGTGAGCACGAAAATGTCACTGTGCCAGCTGATTCTGTCGACATCTCCCCCTGCCGCGCCACCGCACCCACCTTGGTGCACCTTAGTCCACGAAAAAACCAAACTGACTGTGCACTGGGCTCCGCAAGATGAAAACACCACTGCGCGGGGTCCGCCACCCTCTGCCGTGTCGCCGGCAGGCACGAAAATAGAGCCCAACGTCTGTACTGTAACAGCTTTAAAGTAACAGCTGGGAGGGTTAATTCAAGCAATCCTATTGGATTTAGGATTTTTTTTTAATGGGACAATATGCATTAATGAACATTTACATGTAAATGCATGGGATTATAGCTGATTATTGTGGCTAATTTCCATCCTCAATCCCATTAGCAGGTTGTTGTCAATACATAAAACCAGAACAAACATCAATAATAGGAGTACATGGCACACGGTTTAGTATTTAGAAGCATTTCACAGAAAAGAACTGGTAGAAATGGGAAGTCATATACTTGTGTGTGTGTAGATCCGTGTATAATTACCTGACTATAACAATTTTTTGTTTTTGTCAATTTAGAGTGAACCTTTACATCCAAATCCACAGTCGACCTTCAGAGGCTCCCTGATGTTTCAGCTAAAACTAAAAACAGACAAACTAGTCACACACACGTGTTTTTTGTTTAGCGAGTGGCTGTGCTTCATGCAAAAAGGAGAAGAAAAAGAGAGTGCTCTACTGATGCTTTCACTTGTAAAAAAGAAAAAAAAACCTTCCCAAATAGAGGATCAGACTTAACATGCATCACAGGGGCTTCCTGTCCTCTAAGGGGTGAGCAGGGAAGCACTTCAGTCCAGCATCAAACAACCAGCTGTCCTGGAGTGTTAACCCCCACCAAACGACTCTCATGTGTTCAAGCATGTTTCCAAGATCTTCTGAAACAAAGCACTTTTATGAACACTGGCAAAAGCCCAACACAAATACAACAATGGCAACACACTGCAAATGAAAAATACAGGGATACAAAAGCAAAAACAACGTATCATTGCATTAACAGCAAACACGCTGCAAACACCAGCAATTCAAATCTCAAATATCACAAACACAGATAATGTAGATAGAAAGTTCCAGAGCAGAGTGGTTCTGAGGGCTGGGCTTCATTACTGAGCTCTGTGCACCAACAGAACGAACCCAACCATAGCCCTTCTTTTTGTGCCTGTATTTATTTATTTTATTTTATCTTATTTATTTTTGTAAGTTTATATTTAGTACGTCTCTCCAGCTGAAGATCCAGGTGTGTTTTCTAAAGACAGAGGTCAGCCTTAAAAGCTGGAAGGTCCAAAAGTTAAAGAGGCCTTGCATTGTGCAGAACTGAAGTCTCATCTCTGTTTTTCACCTCAAAGTCTATTCAGTCATCTCAATTCTAGGAATTCGTGAGCAGGACTGTCTGATCTGTACTTGTAAATAAAGACACCTTGACCAGAAAAAGCTCATTTTGTTCTAACTCTGTTCCTGTGCCCTCTCTTGAACTCATACTCACGCAGCAATGTAAGAGTCATGAACCTTTTTCTGACTCCGTCTTCTTCCTTCTCTCTGTCTCTGACTCTAGCCCCTTCAGCCTCCATCTGTTCAGCACCAGGACTGCTGTGGTCCCATGACTTTACTGGTTGGTCATTACCATTCTGCTCCCTCATCAAATCAGGACTTTCAGCAAGCCCATGTGGTCTGGACCTCAAACATTTGTTGGCCCTGACAATAACTATGAGACATCTTGTGATGAAGGACTTGTTCTTTCTCATGTTGACTCACATTAAAGAAACATCTTCACCTGATAACGCTCCTCAGTATGAATATGTTGCAAGGCTGTGTAATTTTTATGAGACAGGGCTTTAAAAAGTACTGAAGTTTGATCTGCAGCACTTAAAGTTTTAGGGATGCAAAGAGTAAATGAGTACAGGTACATCTGTCAGTGTTTTGTCAGTTAATCCACCAGTCATGAACTGTTGGCTTTACTTTTTAAAATTAATTTTGAAGACTTTGAAGGTGGACATGAAATGAAATTTTGTGACCTCACTTTCTCCAGCCAGCAGTGAATGTCTTCTTATGGAGTGGCCAGAAACTGTAATTTTCAACAAAACTAAGTGAAGTCTTCACAAATAGATTAACCAAGTCAAATTACTGATAAACTATGCCTTTCTCTGCATATTCAAAATATACCATAACAGGTTATCTCTCCAATCAAAGCCTTCATCACCACACTTTCATACATAGACTGAAAAATGGATGCACTTGAGATCCACTGGTCTCAGAAAAAGACAAACTGCGGCAGTGTCCCTCCTTCTCCATGCTTTTGAAAATCTGCTGTAACCACATCAGAGCGAGAAATGATCAGACACAGGAGTGGGCCACAAATAGTTCAAACTCACTGAATCATGCTTCGACAGGTGCCATGATTCCTGGACTCTTACCTGCTTTCATAGCTTTAGTCACTGTATTTAACACTTAACACCCCACTAGATGGCACTGTTTATCTGAATTTGGAGTCCTGACATTCAGATTATTTTTCTGATTCATAGATTCAAAGAATTAGAAACAGATTCAATGTGTGTGTGTGTGTGTGTGTGTGTGTGTGTGTGTGTGTGTGTGTGTGTGTGTGTGTGTGTGTGTGTGTGTGTGTGTGTGTGTAATTGTGTTGGCACCTGTGTATGTTAAGATTTTTTAACAGTGTATGTACACACATTTTTCAACTGCAACTGCACTTTATAGATACAACCTTTATATGCAAGATGTTTTTTGAACTAAAGTTACTTCATAATAGAGTTTTTTTCACATTGTATATTAAAATTTATGAAACAAAAAGACATGGAAACTTTGTGTGAGAGAGGCTGATATGACTGTAGAAACTATAATCAAATACTTGACAGATATGATCACTTTTCCTCTTTTGATAACCTCAAGTATTTGTCCACCCTTAAATCTGTGTCTGAACTGGGATGAAATATACAGTAAATTGATTGTTTGTATTGACGTGTGTTAAAGCCAGCTGACCCCAAAGGACTGTTTGTGAGAATAATTTAGTGTAACAGCACAAACGGTCGCATAATGAAAAAGGATTTGATAAACAGGTTCCTACATGAATCAGGTATATTTAAATCAAACTGCTGTTCTGTACTCATGGATTTACTGGAAACCTGTTAAAGATAAATGTACCTGTGTTTTGAGCTTCTGTCCTGATTTGTTGACTGTACAATGATTACACCATTTAACAAACTATATCACGACAAGTGGATTTTAAACATCATATTAAATGTTTTATTTTTTTTGTGTTAAATGCTTTACTCTGACAGTTGCACTCACACACATCATGTATCCGATCAGCACAGAGGCATTTTTAAAATACTACTCTTTAATTTGGAGAGCACAAAACTCCAGAGTTTTGGTCAACTGCTGACCACTCAGCAGCAAAGAAAAGAGGACAAGGTCTTCAAGGATGATTTTAAACATTGAACAGTGCACAGATCTGCAGACAGCAGTCAGCTGTTCCACAACAGACTACTCTGAGCGTTCAAGGTCAACAACATTAACTTTAATTAGGTGTTATTTAACATGAATAAGAATATAATAAGGCTCATGTAAATGCCTTATAAGGAGTAATTGATTATTTACTTTCCTTTTAAATCTCACTGTTCGACTTAAGATCCAGGAGCTGCAAAGTTAACTGTTAATTATTAATGAGTAAGGATTTATCAATTCACTCCAGGGAGAGCTTACAGGGGGAGCTTATGAGCAATAATGAATTAAAGTCAAAATTATAAAAAAGGCTCAGTCAGCCATATTAAAGTTGATTATCTCTTATCATATCTTATCTTATCTTATCTTCGACTGGACTTAATTGATCCTTTTGGGAAAGTTCCGTTGGGGAAATTAATAAGAATTAGAGAGTATGAAATTTGTTAAAACTGTTAATAGTTCTAAATTCTCAACCAGTGCATTAGAAGTATCACAACCATTAAATAAATATAGGGATGAAGAGCTGCAGTTTAACCCAAGGCGGTAATGGCAGAGTCATCAAAAACCAAACTGTGTGTATGTGTAGATATATGTGCATATGTGTGGTATGTACTGTATGTGTATATTTAAGGGGGTATATGTATATGTGTGTATACATATGCATATAAGGGGTCATGAAGGGGTAGGATTAAATAAGTTTACACTTATTCCTACTCCTTTTTGAACATGTAGATCGGCTACACATGCAAGTTGTTGCCAGCAATCTTTGTTTTCTTTTACCTATGGTTTGCTTGTGTTTGTGTATGGTAACTACCTATATTCTATAAATAAAGCATTCATTCATTCATTCATACATACAAGCTAATAACAGATATGTATATTAATCTTTAATCCCAATCAAGTCTGGTAAATGATAATAAACATCCTATTGGTGTTAATGATGATAATAGTATCATATGTCAACAAGTTTCTAATTATAGCTTACAGTTAGGGTTGCGTCACAGTTTGTTTTGCTGCTTGGTTCAGAGGATCAAGGCTGAGTCTGAGAAGAGACTTCAGAGAACATGTGCATCTTATCATCAAGATGACGTCAATCTCTGCTGGTTAGATAAGGTTCATATAAATGACCACAACCATCCAGTGTCTGCCTGTTGTTCTGAGGCTGCTTTTATTCACATCATTTCTAAACTGAAAGGACACAAGAAAGCTCAGGATGACTGAAAAAGAGTTCAACCAAAGACATGAGGAGACGGAGGAGGGAGTCCAAAACAGGTCAGTGACAGACAAGGTGTTACTGTTTTCATGTCCACATTAAGTTATTTTGAAAAGCTGAGAAGAATCCAGCAGTTAAAGACAAAATATGTCAGTTTTATTTATGTGAATGTGTGATCTGCCTTTCTTTGTTGAGACCACAATCTAAAGGCCCGAGTGTTGGCATGAGACAAAAACCACAGAGAGACCTTTATCTGGGATTTCTAACAAAGCAACACCTGATAGTGATATCTGTGGCTGTTGGACTTGTTGTCCTGCTGATTATCGCTGCAGTTACTGCTGTGCTGTTCACCAGAAAGTCAGGTATGCTCCTAAAGATATGTTTGTCAGAAAGGATCAACTTTGATCATTTATAAATTGATTATCCCGGCTTTAAATACAGCACTGTTGTGAAAGCTCTAACCCTCAACAATGCCATAGTCCAAAGTCCAGTTTGATGAGTGCATTGGAGTTCTTATGATTACACTAGCAGTTTATTACGCATCATAATGTACCTGAAGCTGGTCTGTACGTAACAGCTCCTGTGGGCTTTGTGGTCCAAAAAGATTTTAGACAGATAACTACAACATAAAAATTTCATGATTAGCTGATAACTCCACTGTCTCCAAGCTCAACAACATGGAGACAAATACAGACAGCAGAGAGACGGGGGAAGAGAAAACAGGAGATTAATATCTACTCTGGCCTTGCATGAGTACAGGATAACTGGTCTGAAGCAATCCAGTCAGAAAAAGGGGATTAACACATGTTGATTCGATTAATTCATTGTTTAGCTGATTTACTCTTCCTCATGTCCTCCACTCACAGTAAGTCATGTTGGTGTTTGTCTTTCTAATCAGATCCTCTCCTCTCGTTTTCCACCGGGGGAGACATGCTGGACTTTCTGGTTCAGTCGGGGGAAATCATCAAACATGACGGCCTCTTAGCAACCTGGTTTCACAGAGCAAACAGCAAGGAGGCAATGAACAAAGCTCTCGCAAGTAAACTTCATTCAGAAGTGATCAAAAATCTTTATATTTTCTGTCTGTAGACCTCTTCTGACTAATGTAATAAAAGTGAACAACACTCACTGTGAAGTTGACATGTTGGGCTCTATTTTCGTGTACGCCGGTGAGGTGACGGAGGGTGGCGGACCCCGCGCAGTTGTATTTTCGTCTGGCAGAGCCCGGCGTACAGCCAGTTTGGTATTTTCATGGACTGAGGCGCACGGAGGCGAACCGAGATCCACCAAGCTGGGCGTGGTGGCGTGGCTGGGGGAGGTGTCGTCAGAATCAGCGGGCGCAGTGACATTTTCGTGCTCGCCAGTGGCATGTAAAGTGCGCTGAAAGATCCCCGATTCAAACCTGGTCAGCTTTCAGCGCAGGCGGAGCGCAGCTGGTCTAGTGGTATTTTGGTAGACCGGCGGCGTACCGGCATACGTCACCGATGCCTCACAGGCAGGTTTCCACAGTGTCAGGCACATTTCAGTGCAATAAATAATCATCAACAACGATTAATCTGAGTCAGCACATACATTTAGATCTATATACATATATTCTGATCTAAATCTGATCTGATGAGCGCGTTTGGCACGCGTTTGGACACACAACCTGACTGAATCAAAACAGCTGAAACCACATTAAATTAAATTAAATATCTAGTAAATAAACACACATGAAGTTAACAAGATATTTAATTTGTCTCCCGCCTTTTCTTTCTTCCTCTTATTTCTCGCGCAGCTCGACCTGGACATGTCTCTGTGTCCTTTCTCCGTCCTGCTGCACTCTGCGGCACGTCTCCGGCGAGGCACGAAAATAGAGCCCTATGTGATTGGTGGAAACAGGTCTCGGCTGTGTTAAACCCACTCCACGCCCTCTCTCCTCCCTCGCTACGATTTACGCCGCTGGGAGGAACTGAGTTAGGGAGGGGGGATACTTACGCCGGGCTGCGCCGCTCAACAAAATACCAAATTGTGCTTGGGAACGCCATGTCGGCGCGGTGGACCTGACTTACGCCACGCCTGCGGCACGTCTCCGGCGAGGCACGAAAATAGAGCCCTTTGTGTTGCACACTAACAAATATCTGATCAGCTAATTAACTCACAAAACTTTTCAAAACTGGACCTTTAGGTGATTCCATGATTCTGGAGGCAGACGTCACTCTGGAGGGTTATGGAACACCCAATGAGAAGCCTATCCCTATCATGGCCCATCCTCCTGAGATCACCAGTGACAACACTCTGGACCAGTGGTTGGATGCTGTTCTGGCCTCCAGAAAAGGTGTGTTTCAGTGGAAGAGGATCCAGGTGTTTAATTGTGTCCGTCTCAGTCTCTGATGATTCAAAGATGGATTTTAATCATCTGTGATTCCTTTGTAGGCATAAAACTAGATTTCAAGTCCTTGGCATCTGTGGGCCATTCACTGGACCTGCTGAGGGAAAAGAACAGCAGCGGTGGAATAAACCGGCCTGTTTGGCTTAATGCTGACATCCTCCGGGGTCCAAATGTGCCCGGATTTATGCCTCAGGTCAATGGAAGCAGGTGAAGACGAAACTTTGAAAAAATCTTATTTTTATTATATTTTATTTTTTATGTCTCTATCCGTTCTTTGGCGTTCATAGGCATGAAAAGAAGTAAATGCAAAGAGTTGCATCTCAAAAATTTAGAATATAGTTTAGTTGATGATCCTTTCTTTAAAAATAGGTTATATTCTCATATTGATTAAATATTCCAAGCCTTTTTAAAATTTGGTGATTTTGGCTCAATGCCCATGAAAATCATCAAGCATCTAAAAGTATGGTATGATTTTTATTGGACCAAGAATGAAACCTTGGGGGACACCACAGGTAACAGCTGCAGATTAAGAGGTTTACTTGCCCATGGAGATACTGAAGGATCTGATGTGGAGAAAAGATGGAAATTAGGGGTCTCTGGACCTGCTTTACGGGTCCAGGGACCCCTGCCCATTGTTGTGGATAAGAATACCGTAATCTAGATCCAGGAGTAACAAAATGGATTAGTGTCCTGAGTCAGCAGGTGAGAGAAGGTCATTGGTTATTCTTAATGATGCAGATTATTTCAGATATACAATTTGGGTCAGACAGGACAGAGATTAAAATACTACTTTTTCTAGAATTGGGATAGAAATGGCAGTTTTGAGATGGGTCTGTAATTGATGAGGACTAAAGGTTTAGAATCCTGCTATTTTTATGTGGTTGGATCACAGCATTTTTAAGTTTGCAGGAAACCATATAAAATCGGGAAGATACATGGGCCTACTGTGGCTCTAACCGATTTAAAGAGTTTAACTTGAGTTTACAAGGAGAGAACAAGTTGAAGGCTTCGCTGAAGAGTATATGAATAAAATATCAATAATTTGTCACTGAAAAAATTAGGAAATGCTCACACTTTACATCAAATGAGTATTTCTGAAATAAATGACAGAAAATGTTAAATTCCTGTACAATATTCTTACTTTTTGAGATGTAACAGAGAGGAGAGCTGGTAAAACTTATCTAAGGAGACGTAGTGCACAGCAAGCTGTGCAAAACAAAACTTAAGCTAGCTCACCTCCCTACATAACATAGTACAATAAGTGCATTTAAAAATGTGCTTTCTTCTTCTTTTTACAGATTTCTAGAGTTAATACAGGAGAAATTTCCAGATGTGACATTGTCCCCTGGATGGATGGTAATTCATGTTTTAACATGATTATGTCACTGTTTATAAGGGAAATTTAGGCATGGCTGAGCATGTCAGTCAGCTGATCATCTGATCAGATCCATAGCTTTACACTGTGAGTCTGTACCAGTGAGTAAGAAAGGATTCAAAGCTGATGTTGCCTCTGTTTGTCAGGTGGCCTATGCTCCCCCTCTGTTCACTGAAACCTACTCTAGAACCATGGTGGAGGACATGTATAACATGGTCAAGAATGTCCCACAGCAGGTGAGCTTTCAGAGGACAGGAATAACATGATATCAGTGCTCGATCATTTATAGGTAGGTGTGTACTCTCCTGTTTGGTCAAAGGCACTTTGACAACCACTAAAGTTTTGCCACTTTTGTTTGTGGTGCAAAAAATGTCAACAAAGGACTGTTAGGAAGAGGCGCCCTGCAAACTGACACCAGTTTGATTGAGAAGAGAATGGTAAACTTTATTGAAATGCTGGAATCGAATCTACAATGAACAAATATCCTACATCAAACTCTGTTTTTTTTTTTTTTTTTTTTATGTTTGAAAGGTTGTCTTTGCCCTATTCAACAGAAATTAAGGCTTTCAATTATCTTCAAACCACAAATGTCTTTGAACTTTTCACTCAGTGTCTAAGTTTTTAGGGGTCAGACTTTTGACAAGTATCTCACCCAACCCTGATTTAAAAAATCCAAAATCCAAAATGTAGAGCAATTTTTTTTCCCTCCCAGGTGACATTTCCTGTCCATGCCCTGTTGGTCCAGAGAGGGTGGCAGCACATCAGCTGGCTCCTCAGTCAGTCACCAAGGTAACTAATATTTCTCTAATTTAGGCTTTATGAGACGAAAACCTGAAGATCAATCATCTATCGACAGTAAAGAGCCCTACATCAGTCCTTTTAACTGAGCATTTAAGTCACTACCAAAAGCATTTCCTCACACACAAAGATTCATTTATTAAGTATCAAATCAAGTATTACCTTTAATGTAAAAATGAAAACATAACTAGCACACAGAAGGTTCTGTGTTGTAGCCATCTTTCCGCCTTAAGCTTCACCCTGAACAGGATCACTTGCACTGCACACCAAAAACGCTTTGCACTGGGTGTCAAACAGAGCCCAGCATTTAAGACCCGTAAATTAGGGTCCTAAAACTGTTTTATGGATGTTGTTTGGTTCCTAGGTTCAGTCTGACACTGTGGCAGGGGTCAACCCACCCAAATGTCAGTGACCTGCTGTTCATCCGTGACAACAGCCATCCTGCCAGAGTCTACTATGACATCTACGAACCAACACTGTCTGAATTCAAACAGGCTGCAAGTAAGGAGACTGATTGTAGTGACCCATTTATACATAACCAGTGATTTTCAAAAGCTGTTTGTCTGAGGCTTTGGAGTTGGAAAAAAAAAAAAAGTAACTTCATTAACTCCGTGACAGTTCTGACCCAGAGTTACGTCTTAAGCTGTCTGAGTGAGATCAGCTGTTGCTCATGTCAAGAATAGAAAGGACATTTCTGAAACTCTCATCAGATGACAAAGCTTGACATGGCTGGTTGTTGTGGTTTAATCATCGATGTATACATTCTTTCCACAGGGCAGCAGGGTCGTGTCTGGAGGTTCTACCCTGGAGGAAACCTCATGAACTTTCTGAACCCCGCCAACAGCTCAGACCTGGACTTACCATCCACAGTCATACAGCCCAGCAGCCTGGATGTCAGCTGGTTTACAGTCACTGATCGCACCTCCTTGCTGGCCCAGCTCTTAGGTTGGCACACTAGACACTCACTGTTGGTATTTTCTGTCTTTACTGGAGAAATGAGGAAAAATCTATGAGCAGTGCTGGTTATGACACAGTGTGATACTGCATCAAATCTGCAGCTCTTGACTCTGAGGTGCTCACTTGAGGCTTAGAGGCTTGGATTTAAAAAAAAATGCAGAGCAGCTGAACAGAGACTAAATAAGACACCCTCCTGATAAAAAAATTACTAAAACGGTCTGGTAAGTCAAACACAAAGAGCTGGGTTATAAAACTAGGCCCAGAAACTACCATTAGAAAATTTACATTCACACAACCTCTCACTGGCCCTCATTTATCGAGCTTGCGTACGGCAGAAAACTTGCATACACCTTGCGTACGACAATTTTGACGTAAGGATCGGCATTTATCAAAAATGAGTGTACGCTATGACCAAATCTAATGACAGGTCTGACATCGTGTACGCAAGTTTGAGTTAGTGTGGATCTACGGTGCAGCAAATGTCTGTCTCAAAATCATTGATATACAAACCTCAAACCTGTCACTTAGCACAATCAGCCAGATTTCATTAAAGATTAAGACGTAAATAAAATATAATAAAATAAATTTATAGTGTCCTTAGTGAATAGGCCTATTTGATAACTCTGTCCAGAAACACTGCCACAGAGCAGGAGCGCCGTTTCAACATTACGCAGACACGCCACTATGGAGCGCTGTGTCTGACTCCTAAAAGGCAGTTAGCTCTGTTTTGGGACAGCAGCGGGGATGTTGTTGTACATTCCTGAAAGGGTGTGGGACATCATTTGAGCCAGCGCAGTTTTGCACAATGTTGCACTGGCGAATGGAGTACCGTTGACTGTGCCGGTGCAACGTGAGGATCCGATGCCTGGAGAACAATAACGAGGAGAGACTCCACAAAGGTGCTGCACAGAGGAGACAGGACCTTATTGATGGATTCTGACATGTAAAGTGTAAGTTTAGAAAGTGCTCTTTCTATTTAATCAGTTATTAAAATCCAATAGAAATCCATAAAAATGTGCCTCAGGGGCAGCAACACACAGTTTGGTGAGGTTAATAATTATTTTTGTTCAGCCTCTGTCAGACTCTCCAGTCTGCTCTACATTACAAAGACGCAACAAATTAAAACTAAATACTTTTAATAATAGGAGCAACGTACCCTATGTCATGGAAATACAAAAAAAGAGGCATGTATGAGATATTAATTTATCATCATGAGCAATTTATTGACTAATGATTTATTCAAACTTCAGCCACTGTCCACTATTCCACGGTAGTGCTGTTCATTGCCACCATAATCCTGCTCCAGACAGGAGTTTTCTGGACTGCTTTTATACCAGTTTTGACGCTTCCAAAGAGCAAATCCTTGTTCATTTCCACCACAGATGTGAGGATATCCACTTTCAGCTCAGAAAAGTTTTGCATCTTTCTAATATTTCTCCTCTTTCATGTTTGACGATCGATTTCAGCCGCCGCATTTATCAAGACCCGATCATACATACGCTGGAATTGGTCTGATACGAACCCTTTCATAAATCTCACGTGTCCCATCGTACGATGAATCCTGTGCTCAGATCTGCACAAATTTGATAAATGAGGGCCACTATCTCTGATGGTGAGACAATGAGTCAGTACTGGGAGCTGGAGCTCAAGAGTACTGTATATATAAGTTTCCACCACCTGCTCCAAATCAGGGCAATCAGGCACACGCACACACACACACACACACACACACACACACACACACACACACACACACACACACACACACACACACACAATGCTTGGATTAGCGCAGGATCAGGATCCGGTCCTGCTCCTCTGGACAGTACCCCTTCCAGTAAGTACAACAAAGTACTGTCAACCTTGTCCCACCCTGCAGTTTAAGATGGAATAAAATGGGGAAACTAGTCAACCATCTTGAGAGGAGGTACTAGTGCTCTGCTGGTACGAGTGAGCTGGAGTGGACTAGTTTGAGGCAGGAAAACATAAAAAGTGGGGTGGATATTTATAGACGACGGAGCAGGAGGTGAACCGTCACTTGGCCCACAAAACATGGTGCCAGCTTATGGAACACGACCCACAGTTTTGGAGAGCCAAACCCTCTGGCTAACCCAGTACAGTGGTGCAAGGTGACGCTGTTGGACAGCGTAATGCTTCTGTCATGAAGTTGCCCTCTGAAATGAGGCTCAGACCTGTCTCTGGGTAGCTCTGCATTGGACAAACTGAGCAGCTTAAAGCACTCCTATGTCCTTCTAGAAAAAGGGGTGGTTGATATCCATACTGATACTTAAACGGTGAGAGGCTGGGGATGTGTGCTTCAGGGTGTTGCAAGAATATTCTGCCATGGGTAGCTGCTCACTCCAAGTGGTTGGGTTTGCAGAGACAAGTCAACATAGAGTCCTCTCCAGGGTTTGATTTGTGCTCTCTGTCTGGCATAAAGCCTTGGATAAAGCCTCAAGGACAAACTGGCAGAGGCACCAACAAGGGTGTGAAATGCCCTCCAGAACTGGGAAGAAAATTGTGGACCAACCCCTACCATGATAACTGTGCACTCCTTTGACAGAGGTCACTCAGTAATAAAATCCAGGGCCATGTGTGGCCATGGTCAATGAGGACTGGGCAGAGGCTGAAGAAGACCACAGGGGGGGACACAGATGTGGTACAAGCTTCCAGCAACTCCTGCACACCTTTCCCCATCTAAGGCCACAAGTATCTTCTTCCAAGGAAATCCAGGGTGCAGCATACCCCTGGATTATCAGTACGGTGGTACGAGTGTCCCCACTGGAGAACCTTTGAGCGCACACCTGTTGGAACAAATTACTGACCGCTGAGCCTCTTGAACCACTGTATCTATTCCCCTAAGTGGTGCAAGGATGCGACTGGATGGAACAATGGGCCCAGGAGACTCGTCCTGGCCTGAACTGTGAAACTGACATGCATGTCTGGCATTGCCACATCTGAAATGATCTATTCTGCAGAGAAGGAGGGAGGATGGTGGTCTGGATGTTTTTCTGAACTTTGAACTTTATTCTTGGGTGTTTGTGCTAAGGCCCCTGATCTCCTGATTTGACTCCCACTCCTCTGTCTTTCGGCACATGTTGGAGAACAATTGTTTCCGTAGTCATTTCAAGATGTTCTCTTTATCAACATATTTTAAAAACATTGTCAACTAGGCCCTGGTCCCATTAATTCTCATCATGTGCTGGTATGGAAATTAACTAAAAACCACTGTTGTCTTTCCTTCAAGGGGCACACTTTTTCTCCAATATTCAATAATAGGGTACTTCTGATTGGAGGAGGACCTATCTCTTCTTCCCCACCTTGTCTTACTCCCTGTAGAGAAGATCTGGAGGAGAAACTGTCCAGACCTAGCCCAGGATTTCAATGGGCATGTGGTGTGGCCCAGAATTCACAATGCAGATCATGAGCAAATTCACTTTAATTTCCTACACTGAACATACTGTATTTCACCCTTGTCAAGCTCTATGACTTGAAAATCAGTAATGATCCATGTTGTAATCTATGCTCATTAAAAGCTTAGAGTTCATTATTCTACTCTTTAAGTATTCCACTGCACATGTGTCAGCGTGCTGTTTGAAATCCTCCCGGCTGCTCTACCACTTGGATACATTTTAGCAGATTTTAACCGGTTTTAAGTATCTTTTTTTTACCAGATTTTTAGATACTTTCGATTTTTTTACCGTCTCTTGTGTGTGAAAGGACTTTCTTATTTTTCGGCTCACTAAATGCTAATATTCTTGGATAACCAAGCCGATTTTAGAAGCAAAATCTGTGAGCTGGAGCAGCGAATCTCAACACTATACCAGATCCAGGACACCGAGAAGTACTTGGACACAATAATCCTCAGAGCGGCTCCGGCTTCCTCGGGTGCCAAGTTGAAGGACACAGCCCCTGTTGCGTCTTCCTCTATGGATGTGGCCTCCACATTTCCCGGGGCCTCTGCTGCTTCCATCGTGGCCCCAATTCCTGCTTCACGGTCGATGACTGTCGAGCCACCTCGACAATCTGTGGGCTCTTTTGGGAGCCAAACTCAAAGTCTCAGCCGGTGCTTCGCGCTTCCACCTCTCCGCCTGGTTGAATCAAAACAACTCGGACTCCAGTGTGGATCTACCTGGGTTCACTCTCATAAGGTCAGACAGAGATGCTCAAGCTAGTGGCAAGAAGAAAGGAGGAGGTCTGGCTTTATTTGTCAACCAGAGATGGTGTAACCCTTCACACATAACTATCAAGGAGAAGTTGTGTTGTCCAGATATTAAACTGTGGGCAGTTGCTCTTCGGCCATATTATGTTCCAAGAGAATTTAGTCATATAACAGTAGTTGTTTACATTCCACCCAAATCAACTGTTATGATGTTTTGCAAAATAGTGTTGCCAGGCTACAGACTCAACACCCCGAGTCACTGATGATAATATCGGGAGACTTCAGCCACGTCACCCTCATTTCTCACCTGACTGGATTCACACAGTTTGTGAACTGTCCTACCAGAGAAAACAAAACCCTGGATCCGCTGTATGCCAACGTCAAAGAAGCCTACAGTGCCACTGCCTTACCACCGCTGGGCAAGTCAGATCATAACTTGGTCTATCTGCAAACGTGTTACAGACCTTGTGTTCTGAGGCAGCCTGTGACCAAAGTCAAAATAAGAAGATAAACACCTCAAGCCAATAAGCTCTAAGGGACTGTTTTAAATCAACAGACTGGAATGTGCTACTGGAAACAGATGTGGATAGTATGAACACTGATAAACAGGTTATGTCAAATTCTGTAGAGACACAGTTATACCCACAAAAACTGTTTGCGGTTTCCCCAACAACAAACCCTGGATCACAAGAGACATAAAAGCAATCCTTAACCAGAAAAAGAAAGCTTTTAAAGATGGTGACAAAGAACAACTCAAACAAGTGCAACAAGAGTTGAAGAGGAGACTGAAGATGGCAAAGCTGGAGTACAAAAAGAAGATAGAGAAGAATCTACAACACAGCAACATCCGTGAAGTGTAGAGAGGAATCAGTACCATCTCTGGAAACAGCAGTCAAAAGAAAAGACAGCCAGTGGTGGGTGATGTGAAAAGAGCTGATGAACTCAACCTGTTCTTCAACAGATTTGACACTGCTGTCACTCCCACTTACACTAGTACTCCACCTTCCTCTCGGCAACAGATCTCCACTAGAACTTCTCCCCTTCCTCCTCCATCTCATTCAAATGTCTCAACCACTTCAACTGCCTCTCACCTAGAACACCAGTCCTTGTCTGTCACCGAAACAGGGGTGAGGATTGAGCTTGGAAGACTTTGTCCTGGGAAGGCAGCTGGTCCAGATGGTCGGTGTCCAAGGCTGCTTAGAGACTGTGCTGCAGAACTGTGTCAACTTCTCCACAAGATCTGCAACCTGAGTCTACAGCTGGGGCAGGTACCTGCTCTGTGGAAAACATCCTGCATTGTGCCAGTACCAAAAACAAAATGTCCTGCTGAACTCAATGACTACAGACCAGTGGCCCTCACTTCACACATCATGACAACCCTGGAGTGGATGATTCTACACCTTCTGAGGTCTGAGGTCAAAGACAAACTAGACTCCCTGCAGTTTGCATACAAAGAACACATTGGAGTGGATGATGCTGTCCTCTACATGCTTCACCATGTCTCATCTGGAGGAACCTGGGGTTTATGTGAGGATCATGTTCTTCGACTTTTCAAATGCATTCAACACCATCCAACCCACCATACTCAAAGACACGCTCACAGAGATGGGAGTGGATCCTTCCTGTGTTTCCTGGATCGCAGATTACCTGACAGGAAGGCCACAGTTTGTCAGGCTGGGGAACTGTGTTTCTGGGACATTCATGAGCAGTACAGGGGCTCCACAAGGGACAGTGCTGGCGCCATTCCTGTTCACACTGTGCACATCAGATTTCAAATACAGTACTAAGTCCTGCCACATCCAGAAATACTCAAATGACACTGCTATTGTGGCATGTAACAGAAATGGACAAGAAGCTGAATACAGAGATCTAATTAGAGTCTTCAGTGACTGGAGTCACAAAAACTGCCTCCTCCTCAACACCTTAAAGACAAAAGAGATGGTCATAGACTTCCATAGATCCAAACCCCCTCTTCAGCCAGTGAACACCTGTGGAGTGGACATCGAAGTAGTGACATCATTTAAATACCTAGGTTTACATCTGGATAATAAGTTGGATTGGTCTAAGAATATAGACTACATCTACAGAAAGAAGTAGAGCCGCCTCTTTTGCCTGAGAAGACTCCGATCAATAGACAACTGTAGTAAGACGCTGCAGATGTTTTATCAGCCTGTGGTGGCAAGTGTGCTGTTCTACGCCGCAGTCTGCTGGGGAGGAAGCATCAAACATAGAGATGCGAGGCGTCTTAACAAACTGGTGAAACCACAAAACTAACCCCAAAGTTCTCTTTTCAACAACTGACAGCATTTTAAACCCTGATTTTAGTAAACGTCTTTTTAATCCCACTGATGCCCTCTGTGAGGAATTTGCAGACCACTTCATGGGGAAGATGAATCAGATGCAACATTTTATTATGTCAAATTACTCTTTTTAGTGCATCCGAGTGTTTGTCTTTACCTGAGGAGACACTGGACCGATTTGTTCTGGTTAATGCTGAGATGCTGGATAAAGTTTTCTCCTCAGTGAGGCCCACCACATGTCTTTTAGACCCTGTCCCAACCTCATTCTTTAAGTTTTTTTATGATTCTTTTAGAAATGAGCTTTTAAACATGGTGAATTGCTCTCTTCAGATGGGGGTACTTCCCGCTGCCTTTAAAGCGGCAGTGGTGAGGCCCCTGCTGAAGAAGGGCAATTTAGATCTTAATGATTTGAACAATTACAGGCCAGTGTCTAACTTACCATTTTTAAGTAAAATTTTTGAAAAACTTGTTTTTATCCAACTTCAAGAATTTTTAGATAATCATAATATTCTTGAAAAGTGTCAGTCTGGTTTTAGGGTGAACCACAGCACCGAGACCGCCTTGGTAAAGATTTTAAATGATATTAGATTTAACTAGAAAAACTGCATTTCCTTGCAGAAAATGCGTGGAAATGCTGAGTGCTGAAAGCTGAAAAAAGCGATGCAAAACTGCTAATAAAAAATCGAAGAATGTTTAAATGTGAAATTGGTTAAAGGGCTGAAAAGTAGAAACAGTAGCAATAGTAGTTGAAGTAGAGGTCAAAGTTAGTTAGTTGTTAGTTAGTTAGTGTTAGCAGAGTGGGTTTTTCCTGCACAACGTTTAGCGAAAAAACACACATAACACACGAGTGTTTCTTTCTGAGTGAGCCAACGCACACGCACGGGCTCAGCTGTTTTAATTAGAGACAGCATACCTGTGACCAATTCACTGATTAGGATCACGTGACATGACGTCTAGATTGACAAGGTAGTGACAAAAAGAATGACGTCTAGAAACAAAAAATGAAATGAGAGCACATCTCAACACCCCCGCTTGCTCACATTTTCTCACATTATACAGAACTCATGTCAACAGAAATTCCACAGGTTTTTACTTTTTTTTTTTTTTTTCTCTTTACATTAGTCAAAAAATCATACAGTTCAGAGTCCATTAATAGTACATAGTTCATTCACCAAACATAAAGGTTTCAAAGTCCATTAACTTCAGCTTACTGGCTGGTTTCGTCAGGATGTCTGCAACCATCTCATTGGTTGGGCAGTACTCCAATATCATATCATCCTTCTGTAAAGTAGATCTTATAAAGTGGTATTTAATGTCCACATGTTTACATCTTTGTTTTTGTACGGGGTTTTTGGCTAGAGCTATAGTGCCCTGGTTGTCTTCATAGATTGAACACTTGTACACCCGTCCATCAAAATATTTCAAAAGCTGTTTTAAGTATAGGCACTCCTGCATAGTTGCAGCTAGAGTCATGTACTCAGCCTCGCAAGTAGATGGTGCAACTGTAGGCTGTCTTTTAGTTTTCCATGACACAATTGGTCCATTTCTGTTCAGGCTAATACAGTAACCTGTCGTGCTTTTTCGATCAATATCAGCGGCCCAATTAGCATCACTATAAACATAGATTATGTTTTCATCTTTGTGCTTTCTGAAGCTTAGTTCTTTATTCTGAGTACCTTTTAAGTATCTCAGCACATGCTTTACTGTTGTCCATTGATCAGTGGTTGGTCTAGTGAAATACTGGGACAGTTTACTCACTATAAAACTCAGATCAGGCCTTGTACAAGTTGCTAAGTATATCAAGCTCCCAACTGCTTCTCTGTATTTTTTCACATCATCCATTACTTCAGCATCATCATTGTAATCAAGTTTCTGTTCACAAGGGGTAGCTCTGGACTTACAGTTTGACATGTCAAATCTCTCCAGTACTTTCTGTACGTACTTGCATTTTAACATCTTAACACAATCTTCAGACTGTTCAAAGTCAATTCCCAGAAAATATCTTAGTTTGCCTAGGTCTTTCATTCTGAACTTTGATTTCAACATTTCTTTGACACGTTGTAAGACATCATCATCATTAGCAGCAATAATCAAATCATCGACCCATACTATCATGTGAACTTTTTCTGTGTCAGTAATTCTGCTATAAACACAATGATCAGCCGGATTCTGGACGAACTGCATCTCACACAAATGATCATGAAACATTTTGTTCCAGTTGCGTCCTGATTGTTTTAGACCATACAGGGATTTTTGTAGTTTGCACACTAGTTTGTCGCCTTCTTTTGATGTAACTTCATAACCTTCCGGTTGTTCAATGTAGATTTCACATTCATTTGGTGCATAAAGATAAGCTGTTTTTACATCCATCTGGTGGACAACTAGATTATCCTGAGCTGCCTTCTGTGCTAATACTCGGATACTGGTCATATTAGCTGTAGGGGAGAAAGTCTCATCATAGTTTACCCCCTTCTTTTGGCTAAATCCTTTTGCTACATATCGGGCTTTGTATTTGTCTGTTCCATCAATGTTCTTTTTCAGTGCATAAATCCATTTAACCCCCACTACATCCTTGCCCTTGGGAAGAGTGGTTAAGGTAAAGGTTACATTATCTTGCAGTGATTGCATTTCTTCGTCCATAGCATCTACCCATTCTTTTGCATTGACTGAAGTGATTGCTTCTGTGTATGTTTGAGGAACATTACAAAGGAGTCTGTAACAGTAGTCAATATTAGTAATATCCTCATCAAAACCACATGCATGATCACCATAAAAGTCAGGCTTTCTTCTCTCTCTGTCAGGGTAACGTTTCTCATCAGGTTTGTAGTCTTCCTTTCTACCTTCTTCATTTTCTGTCTTCACTGTTTGTGCATTTTGTTCATCTTTCATATCTGCCTCATCGTTTGTTAGCACTTCCTGGCTTCCTACTCGTGGGTTAGCTAGTGGGATTATCACAGATTTTCTCTCATTTTGAATGTCAAAATCATCTTCTGCATCCAGTACCTCCTCCTTCTTGTTGCTAACAAACTCTACAAGTCTGTGTTTTTGTACTTTTCTGGTGCTGGGATAGTACACCAAGTAAGCAGGACTATTCTTGTCATAGCCAATAAAAACGCCTCTCTCGCATTTAGAGTCCAACTTTCCTTTTTGTTGTTTGTAAGCATAACAGTCTTGTCCAAATTTCTGCATTCTGGCAATGTTTGGCTGCCTGCCTGTTAACATATAGTAAGGTGTCTGTTTTGTGCGATTATTGAAGCATCTATTCCTCACTACAGCAGCTGTCTGGACAGCATAGGTCCACAGCATCTTTGGCAGCTTGCTCTCTATTAGCATACACCTGGCCATTTCAAACAGGGTTCTCCAATTGCGTTCTGCTGTACCGTTTTGGTGTGGAGAATATGGGGCGGAAGTCTCATGCCTAATACCCATCCTACACATTAATGCTTGGTACTCTCTACATGTGTACTCTGTACCATTATCAGATCGCATACATTTTATTTTGCCATAGGGCGCTACATCAGCAATGAATTTTTCTGTAGCTAGTACAGTGTCACTCTTGTGTTTCAAAAAGTAAACAAAAATTGCACTAGAGTAATCATCTGTAAAAGAAAGTGCATATTTATGTCCATCTTTAGACATTGGATCTATAGGACCGGCTAGGTCAGTATGTACCATGTCTAGAGGCACTTTAGCCCTCACATCTGGCCCTCGGTTTCTAGTTTGGATAAACTTCCCCTGAATGCATACTTCACACTGTGAAACAGGTTTGTTACCTTCATCTTTAATTTCCATTCCATTAACAACATTTTTCAGTTTCATTATGTCTGCATAATTGCAATGACCCAAGATTTCATGCCAGCTCTGCAGATCAAGGCTTTTCTTACACTGGTCAGTCTTACTCATGTTCTCTGATGTGTGCAGGTAGTAAAGTTTGTTGTGTACGTGTATGGGGAATTTGGTACCGTCTCTGTGCAGCAGCACATTCTTCTTCTCACTGAAGGTCACGGTGGCTCCGTTGGAAGTGGCAGCTTTCACAGAAAAGATATCTTGTGGGTAGGTCGGGATGTGTAAGGCACCCCTCAGCGTTGTTCGGAAGCTTCTGCCCCCGCTGTCGATGAGCCACACCTCCGCATCACCTCTGCATTTGGCCACGCCTTTGCATCTGGAGCCATCAGCAAGTTCCACGCAGTGGGTCCCGGCTTGGAAACTGCTGTTAAACTTCCTGAACTTTGTGATGTCAGTGATTATGTGGGACGTCGCACCGGCGTCCACCATCAGACCCTTCCACTTGATATCCAGCGTTGATTCATCAGAGTCGCATACCCGAAATGCATACTCTTTGCCCCCGGTCTCGTCTGCTGCTTTACGCACATCATCCCACTGCTTGTTTCGTCTGCAGCTCGCACTATAGTGTGTGTTATTTTTGCAGTGGCTGCACCATCGCCTGCATGAACATGTTCTGGCTATGTGTCCACTTGCACCACACTTGAAACACAAAATGTCCATATAATTGCTGTCCTTTGCTCCGGTGGGCGCACGCTTTGTGCCAAACTGTATTTTTGCCTTCATGACATTGTCCTCAGACACAGTTGCGCGCATGTTTTCAACATCTTCATAACTTCGGAGCTTTGTCCTTAAATCAGCGAAAGTCATTTTAGCTTCATCCTCGCTCTGGGTTACATGTATGGCAAAAGGTTTAAATGTCTCTGGTAACCCTTTCAGCACCATTGCTATTAAAAGTCCATCACTGAGCGTTTCACCTGCGTTCCTCAGGGCTGTAATCGCAGTCTCTGCTCTGATGACATACTCCGTGACATTCTCGGTGGGCGACTTCTGCAGTGAGGTTAACTCTGTGTACAAGTTAATTATTCTGGGCTTGCCTTTCCCAGCATAGTACTCACGGAGAATCTTCAGCGCACCACGTCCATCATCTGCAGCTTCACGCATCACCAGCGACAGGCTCTTGTCATCCAAAAACTGAATGAGCTCTGCATAGGCCTCTGCGTTTTTCACGTCATCTTCATCATCTTCATCGTCGGGTTCATTTAGGATCGTGCCTTTCAATCCTTGGAGACATAGATGGCCCAAAAACTTGGTTTCCCATATCTCATACTTTTTCTCGTCACCATCAAAAACGAGCCTCGCCCAGCGGCTACTTGTTGCCTCCTTTCCCTTTCTGCTCATTCTCTCGGCTCTCAGGTGCACGCAGTACAAGCAACGACTTTCACCTGGCAGGTCACTTAAAACTATGCGTTATGGGATTATCCTAGGCCCATAACCTGTTAGCAGAGTGGGTTTTTCCTGCACAACGTTTAGCGAAAAAACACACATAACACACGAGTGTTTCTTTCTGAGTGAGCCAACGCGCACGCACGGGCTCAGCTGTTTTAATTAGAGACAGCATACCTGTGACCAATTCACTGATTAGGATCACGTGACATGACGTCTAGATTGACAAGGTAGTGACAAAAAGAATGACGTCTAGAAACAAAAAATGAAATGAGAGCACATCTCAACAGTTAGTTTATTTGATCATCATCACAGTATCAAATGCAATCATACATATACAAAATCATACTTCATCAAAAGCAGTCTGTAACACTGTTAGGTGATCAAAAAGAATAGGCAGAAGCTCGAAGCTTGTAGATGCCTATCCTACATACTCATATTTGTACCAAAATTAGTTTAGTTACTCAGAATATATAAAGAGTACGTTTGTCTAGCTGAGCATACCATAGTAAAAGCAAAGCAAGAACAGAACAAAAAAGGATCAGCAACCAGAGGAAACAGAAAGCATGTAATTTAATTTAGGATCAAAATAGATCAAAATTTCTAACTTATTTAAATCCTACATATTATTTAGTAATCATTATCGTATGGATTATTATAGTTATAAATAAATCCATATATATATATATAAGGCTCATATATATACTCATATATACTCATAGATATACCTACATATATCTATATATAAACATACATACATAACTACATACATACACATACATACACACATACACATATTCATATATATATACATACATATACATACACATGCATATACACACATACATATATATATACATGCATTCACACCTTATTAAGCTACGGTATGTTTTTGTATTTATGCAGGATATTACATTTAAGCCATTTTTTAAACTGGGTGATAGTAGTACTATGTTTAACCTCCTCAGTCAAGCCATTCCAAATCTTTACACCACAGACAGACATGCACATACTTTTCCTAGTGGTATTAGCACTGCGTTGTTTTAAATTCAGTTCCCATCTTAGATTATAACCTCCCTCCCTATCCCTCAACATTTCTAGGAGGTTCCCTTACTTTGTACATAGTTAGAGCGGTTTTATATTCAACTAAATCTACAAACTTCATTGAGTATGACCTTAAGAAAAGCTCATTTGTGTGTTCATAATAACCTACCTTATGCACTATTCTTATTGCTCTTTTTTGTATTATGGATAAAGGCTGAAGGTTGCTTATAGAAGTATTTCCCCACACTTCCACACAATAAGACAGATATGGTAATATTAGAGTATTATACAAGGTTAGCAATGACTTATGATTTAAAATATGCCTTGTTTTGCCTAGGACACCAACACTCCTTGCAACTTTGGACCGGACATACTTTATATGAGGTTTCCAACTGAATTTGTGGTCAATTATCACTCCCAAAAAGATGCTCTCATAAACTCTCTCCAGATTTACATGATCTATTTTTAACTCCACCTGTGTATTCAATGGTATTTTTTTTATTACCAAAGATCATAAATGTGTTTTTTTTTTTTTTCAGATTAAGAGATAATTTGTTTGTATCAAACCAAAATTTTAGTTTGTTAAGTTCAACTGACACCTCCTCCACCAGCTGCTGAAGATCCTTCCCAGCACAAAAAATGTTAGTGTCGTCCGCAAAAACCACACATTTAAGAATACTTGAGACCTTACAAATATCATTTATATATAAAATAAATAGTTTAGGGCCTAGTATGGAGCCTTGGGGTACTCCACAAGTGATGGGTGAACTAGATGACCTATACTCACCCATCTGAACATACTGTTTTCTATTTTCAATGTAGCTCTTAACCCAATTAAGTTCTACCCCTCTAATACCATATCTTTCCATTTTTTCAAGTAGTATATCATAGTTAATTGTATCAAAAGCTTTTCTTAAATCTATAAAAATGCCTAGAACAAATTTGTTATTATCAATTGATGAGGTCAATTCTTCAATCAACTCCATCAATGCCATTGTGGTTGACCAACCAGATCTAAATCCACATTGGCCATCCATCAATGTACTGTGTTTTTCTCTGAATCTGTCCAACCGTGCAGGAAATATTTTTTCCAGAATTTTAGAGAACTGTGATAATAGGGAAATAGGTCTATAATTAGACCTATTTCTTACAGGCATTCACCAATCCCTTTGTCATCCAGGGTTTATCAACAGACTTTGAAGTTTTTCTATATTCTATTATTGGGCAGTTTCTATCATATAATAATAAGAATATATTTAGGAAATTATCATATGCTATGTCAACATCCTCTGCTTCATACACATTTGTCCAGTTTTGAAATAGTAGATCTCTCTGAAATGCAATTCGGGCTTCCTCAGTTCTCACTCTTCTATATGTTTTCTTATCATCCTCCATCTTCATTATATAATCACAGTCATAGATTGCAAAGACCGGCAGATGATCACTGATATCGTTCATGAGTATTCCACTCAGTATATTGTTCTCCATATTATTAGTATATACACTCACCGGCCACTTTGTTAGGTACACCATGCTAGTAACGGGTTGGACCCCCTTTTGCCTTCAGAACTGCCTCAATTCTTTGTGGCATAGATTCAACAAGGTGCTGGAAGCATTCCTCAGAGAGCTTGGTCCATATTGACATGATGGCATCACACAGTTGCCGCAGATTTGTCGGCTGCACATCCATGATGCGAATCTCCCGTTCCACCACATCCCAAAGATGCTCTATTGGATTGAGATCTGGTGACTGTGGAGGCCATTTGAGTACAGTGAACTCATTGTCATGTTCAAGAAACCAGTCTGAGATGATTCCAGCTTTATGACATGGCGCATTATCCTGCTGAAAGTAGCCATCAGAAGTTGGGTACATTGTGGTCATAAAGGGATGGACATGGTCAGCAACAATACTCAGGTAGGCTGTGGCGTTGCAACGATGCTCAATTGGTACCAAGGGGCCCAAAGAGTGCCAAGAAAATATTCCCCACACCATGACACCACCACCACCAGCCTGAACCGTTGATACAAGGCAGGATGGATCCATGCTTTCATGTTGTTGACGCCAAATTCTGACCCTACCATCCGAATGTCACAGCAGAAATCAAGACTCATCAGACCAGGCAAGGTTTTTCCAATCTTCTGTTGTCCAATTTCGATGAGCTTGTGCAAATTGTAGCCTCAGTTTCCTGTTCTTAGCTGAAAGGAGTGGCACCCGGCGTGGTCTTCTGCTGCTGTAGCCCATCTGCCTCAAAGTTCGACGTACTGTGCGTTCAGAGATGCTCTTCTGCCTACCTTGGTTGTAACGGGTGGTTATTTGAGTCACTGTTGCCTTTCTATCAGCTCGAACCAGTCTGGCCATTCTCCTCTGACCTCTGGCATCAACAAGGCATTTCCGCCCACAGAACTGCCGCTCACTGGATATTTTTTCTTTTTCGGACCATTCTCTGTAAACCCTAGAGATGGTTGTGCGTGAAAATCCCAGTAGATCAGCAGTTTCTGAAATACTCAGACCAGCCCTTCTGGCACCAACAACCATGCCACGTTCAAAGTCACTCAAATCACCTTTCTTCCCCATACTGATGCTCGGTTTGAACTGCAGGAGATTGTCTTGACCATGTCTACATGCCTAAATGCACTAAGTTGCCGCCATGTGATTGGCTGATTAGAAATTAAGTGTTAACGAGCAGTTGGACAGGTGTACCTAATAAAGTGGCCGGTGAGTGTATATTGTCTATTAAAGTAGCAGAATGTGTAGTTATTCTAGTAGGTTTGGTTATAATAGGATATAAACTCATACTATACATTGTATCACTAAATTCATCGATTAATATATTATTATTAGGATTCAGAAGATCAATATTAAAGTCTCCAACGATATAAGCAACCTTCTGCTCAGTCCTTGCGAACATCCCCTTCATGAAGTTCTTGAAAGTCTCAATACTGTAATCTGGAGCTCTATACACACAGCTAACAACAATGTTTTTCTTTTCCTCCATAAGAATCTCTATAGTAACACACTCACACACATCATCAATGGCAGTAGTCATGCTTTCAACGATCTTATATTTTAATCTGCTGTCTACATAAAGGGCAGTACCTCCCCCTTTTTTATTTATTCTATTCATAAAATTTAAATCATAGCCCTCTATTTCAAAATCCAGTCCTCTCTCCGAACTAAGCCAAGTTTCAGAGATGGCAATCACATTAAATGGTGTAGTAAACCGTCTCAAGTAATCTCTAATACATTCAAAGTTAGCATATAGACTCCTGCCATTGAAGTGTATGATTGATATACAATGATCCAACTTGATATTATTTTTAAACTGGTCGTCTGTGTAATAGCAGCAGTTATTATTTGCATTCATAAAGAAATTACTATCAGGATCAATATCCAGATTCAGGTCATGCATGATGTGTCAAAATCAAGAGCCAATGACATAGCCAGCCCAACGTCCTCATGCCTGCACTCTGTCGTGGAAGTTTTTTCTTCTATTGCTGCTGGTGAAGAATGAAATAGAGACTTCTGCCGGCCGGTTTTATTTTCTTTGCAAAGAAAAGGTCAATCTGCATCCGAGCGGTCAGAATCAAGAAAGACCCAGAACATGGGGAAACCTGAACATTTATGCTTGAGGACCGCCCCTCAGAGGGCAAGGAATGGGGCTTTGATGTTGGCACCTTTTGTTTTCTTTTTTTTTCTTTTTCTTTTTTTTATTTGTGCAGTGTGACAATACAAGACATACAACAAACAACAGCATTTGTGGTTTTGTGTGTGTGTGTGTGTGTGTGTGTGTGTGTTTGTGTGTGTGTGTGTGTGTGTGTGTGTGGTGTGTATTATATATGTGAATAATAATGAAGAAAATAAATAAATAAATATTACAATTGTCAGACGAGCAAAAGAAAATTATAATACACGAACAATATCAATAATAATAATAATAATAACAATAATAATAGTAATCATAACAATAATAATAAGAAGAAGAAGGAGAAGAAGAAAAAGAAGAAAAAGAAGGCACCTTTTGTTTTCTGTGGGGACCGTCACTTCACCCCCCTGGGGTGGTGGTGGTGATGCTTCACACCTGGAGTATCCTGCAGGATGTTGTATCTTGCTGGGAAATTAGGGAAGTCTAGACATCATAATTAACTGATATGTTGGAAGGAAAGTCTGTTGTGGGGGGCACCTCAAGCAGTTCTATCAGAGATATTAAAATTACAATTACAACTCGCGCACAGACTCATGCACACACACACACACACACACACACCCACCATCAACTCGCCGAGAGAAAGAGGGAGAGAGAGAGCAAGAAGAAAAGAAAGAGAGCGAGAGGGAAAGCGAGAGTTATAGTGCATTGCGCCCACAACACAGGGGTAAAAATATAAATAAATAAAAAAGAAAAGAGCGGGGCAAGGCATTAGTTTGTACAGTTTTTGCCAAGTTACATGTCCTGTCCGTCTCTCAAAAGGAAAGGGACTTAAGGGAGAAATGTCTTTACCTTCGAAGAAGGAAGAAAAGAAAAGGCCATGCCATGTCGTTCCAAAAATAATTAAATAAATAAATGATTAACGAAAAAAACAGATTCCTCCATGCATGTTTTTCCAAAAATAATTAAATAAATAAGTAAAAAACAAAAAGAAAAACGAAAAAACGATTCCTCCATGCAAGCTGACTAAGGAGAGCCGGAAAGTGTCTATCAAAAGTAAGAAAATACAATATAATCCTGTTTAAGTAAGGGGTGTCGACTCCAGTCCAGCAGTCTAGTCTTGCGCATGCAAAAACAAGATGTATATAGAAAAAATAACCAAGGTGGCGCAAAACAAATCCTTTCAATGCCAAAATATGTATCAAAGATAAAATAAATAATATGGTGATATAGCAGGAAGGAGGGAATCCGTCACCCGGCAGAGAGCCATGAAAAATATCCTGCTCAAAAAATCCAACGAAAATAACAAAAGAATAAAAATGGAAAAATATAGAAGTTCCATTTGAGAGGACAGAGAGACAGTTCATGACGACAACATGTTTCTTTGGCCGTTTCATCATTTGAATGGATCTAGGTCTCGTAGCTCTCTTACCGTCAGTACTTTGGATTCTTCTGGCGTGTCTCCGTTCAGGCGTATCATTACTTAACAATTCCTGGTCCAGGTTGACTTTATTTTACGCTGTTTTCTCAGGTTGTGAACTTCTTTGGCTATCTCAGAATTTTTCTTGGTGAGGTGTTCATTAATATAGACATCAGTTCCCTTTAGTTTCTTCCACTGCATCAGTAGTTCCGTCTTGTGACTTCTGTTCCCAAAGCGAACGATGATGGTAAGTTTGCCGTTTCGGTCCTTCCGAGGGAGGGTATGGCAGGCAGCAATGTTCCTGGCCTCAAGGTGGATGTCTTTACTTTCAAAGTATTCAATCACTTGTGATTCAAGTGATTGTTGGTCCTCGGGCGCTGCATCCTCGCCGTCGCTTCTCCTTTCAGCTGCAGCTTTTGCATAGGATCGAGGCTTTACGTTCATTCCAGTGATAATCATGTCCTCCATCCGCGTGTGTTGTTCCAAATCATTTATTCGTTGTTCCAGCTCACCAATCTTCAGAAGCATGACTTCTTTCATGGGGTCCACAAGTGCCGCTTGCTGCTTTACAACAGTAGCTAAGTCACCTGTCATTTGGTTCAGCGATCGTCAGATCTCCTCAATGTCGTCGGCGTTTTTCCTATGAGCCATATTTGCACGCAGCCTTTGTCCTTGTCTTGTTAGAAAAGTAACGTTTTTGCTTGTTTTTTTTGTTGTTGCTGTTCTTGTTGTTCTTTTAGCTTTTTGCAAAAGTTTGCTCAACAAACTCAGCGTGCACTCAAGTCGCCGCCATCTTGCCACCTTTTTCAGAGCAAGTATTGGTTTGATTGATATTAGCAGTAGTTGTAGTAGAAGAAGTGGGAGTTTGTTTGAAGGATGGAATAATGCATTAATATTAAAACTAATTTAAAACAGGGAAAATTTAAATAATTAAAAATCCTTAGTATTAGAAAAAGATTTGAGTCAGTTTGAATGAGGTTTAATTTGTTTGAAGAATTGAACAATGCATTACAACTGAGTGATTTTAAATGAATAAGAATCCTGAATACACCCCATAATGTCCTCAATGAGCTGAAATTTTGAAGCCCTGATGGTTTCTGTAGCTCAAAGTTTGTGGGAGGAGATAGGGGCCAAAGTTTGTCAAGTGCTTTAGTGAAGGGTTTTAAATGTAACCCCCAGTGCTCTGTGTACTGAGCCTGGCTTCATGTGTCTCATATGGCCATTTGAAGCAGCTTTTCAGTCAGCTGTGTGTCTCCAGGTGCACTTATTGGTTGCCATAGGCAGTGACACACACACACACACACACACACACACACACACACACACACACACACACATTGTTAGACTGTGTGTGTGTGTGTGTGTGTGTGTGTGTGTGTCTCGTTAGAGATTTTATCCTAAACAGGTGTGAGATCAAAGGCATTAACTGACCTACTGTTTGACTGAGAAGCTCTTCTTCACCTCGCTGTCAGCTAAAAACTTTTTGTGAAACTTGCTTATATATGTAAACTCAGTTAGTGTATAGGTCAAGGGTGCCCCCCAGTGACCTGAATGATATTTTTTTGTTTCTTAATTAAACAGAACTAGTAGTCCTCGCTTTGTTGGTCTTTTCTCATAGACCTCACAAAGCAGCAAGTACAAGAATTTATGTGTGTGTGTGTGTGTGTGTGTGTGTGTGTGTTAATTAATGCATCTTAACAGGTGTCAGACATCAAAGGCATTAACTGACCTACTGTTTGAATAAGAAGCTGCCGAACTGCAGTGAATTTAGGGCCTCTTAACTTCTTCACATAGCGTGATTTCCGTAAATCCCAGAATGAAAATAAGAACATTGTACGCATCCTCCGCCCTTCATGAACACAATGATGTGTTTTTCATGTCTGTTCTCTAAAAAATGTGGCCACAACAGCGAGTTAAAAAGATCTGAGCCTGAGTGATTATCAGGATTTTCTGGGAGAAAGATTACATTATGGTTAATGGGAAGAAACTTTGCCTTTTTGGACTGTTGGTCACCTGCTGGCCAAGGGGTACGATTTAATGATTTGAAACCTCTTTTGTGAGAAGCAGGACACATATACCTCCATTTTGATGTATTTTTTATGGCTGTGGAGTGAAATTTGTGGGCGTGGGAGTACTATATTTGAGCGAGGTTCTGTTGATCCAAGAGGAGCTCTGCACTCTAGCGATGTTATCAAACACTCTAGCTCTTCCAATACACACCCGTTATAAAGCCTGAAATTTGCTGAAAACCATGAGTTGCTTAAAGTTAAATTGTGGGAAAACTGTAAAAGATATAAAAAAATTGAATAAAACATTTAAAGTCGACAAGATAATGAACATTTAAAGCAAAAATGCGGTCTCTAGGTGAAAGTATGCTGAAGTTATAAGGCTCAGAAGGTTGAAGAATAAAAGGAAGAATTGGAAGATTTCCCCATTGACTTCAATGTTAAAATTTTGGCACAAAAAGTTTAAAAAAACATAAAGTAGAAAGGGTAGAAAGGTAAAAATTACAAGCACACATGTCCTGAAGGAGTGGAACAGTTTAAAGTTTGAATGGTTGAAATAGCACAAAGTTTGAAGGAGTTGAAAAGCAGCAAAAATCGACGGAAGAATAAGAAGAACAAAGAAACAGGAGAATAACAATAAGTGGAAATGCTTAATCAGCATTTTCACTTAATAATAATAAAGAAAAATGGCCGACAGGAATAACAATAAGTGGAAACGCTTATTCAGCATATCCACTTAATAATAATAATAAAGAAATGGGAGAATAACAAGTGGAAATGCTGTGTCAGCATTTCCACTTAATATTAAAGAAATAGGAGAATAACAATTAATGGAAATGCTTAATCAGCATTTCCACTTAATTATGGTGAACCAAAGGAGACAGTGTTGTTCTGCTGGATCTTAGTGCTGCCTTTGATACAGTAGACCACACTATTCTTTTAAACTGCCTAAAACACCTTGGCCTCTCAGGTGATGTTTACAGATGGTTCACCTCCTACCTGACAGACAGGACATTCATGTTAAGTGTACACCTGTGCTCCTCCAAAGTCTATAAAATCACATGTGGTGTACCCCAGGGTTCGATTTTAGACCTGTACATCCCTCTTGGCGGTGTCATCAGGAGACATGGAATCAACTTCCACAGCTATGCTGATGATACACAGCTCTACATCTCCGTGTCTCCTGATGACACCAGGCCAATGGATGCTCTTTTTAACTGCATTTTAGATATCAAACCCTGGATGGCAGAGAACTTTCTCCAGCTTAACCAGGACAAAACTAAAGTTTTAGTCATCGGTCCTGAGGCCCAGAGAGAGAAACTTTTACCCAAACTACAAGCACTGTGTTTTAATCCATCACCACAAGTAAGAAACCTGGGCGTCATTTTTGAGTCTGAGCTGACTTTTAGTCCACACATTAAGAACATAACAAAAATAGTTTTTTATCACCTGAAGAACAGCGCCAGAGTCTGCTTCATTCTCCCTCAGGCCAACACGGAGACGCTGATGCATGCTTTTCTCACCAGTCATATAGACTATTATAATGCCCTGCTTTCTGGTCTTCCCAAAAAGAATGTTTCAGGTTTACAGTTATTACAAAATTTAGCAGCACGTGTCCTGACTAAGACCAGGAGGTGGGCCAGCAAAACACCGGTTATAGAATCATTGCATTGGCAGCCTGTGTTTTTTTTAGGATCGATTTTAAGGTTCTTTTACTTGTTTTTAAATGTCTTAATGGTCTTGGGCCTTTCTATCTTTCAGAACTGCTTTTACCTTATGAACCTTCACGGACCCTGCACTCCTCTGGCAGCAGGCTCCTAGTCATTCCAAAAGTCAGGACACACACTCATGGCGAGGCATCTTTTCAATGTTACAGCCCTCGTCTATGGAACAGCCTGCCAGAGGACCTCAGGGCCGCAGAGAACGTTCATGTTTTTAAGAGCAGGCTCAAGACCCACCTTTAACTTAGCTTTTGATTAATATTTATTTGTTTTATCTTCATTTATTCTAGTTAGCCTAGGTTTATAGGTTTAGTGTTTCTAGCAATGGCGGCTGCTGGTCTTTCAAGGAGGGGAAGCTCATTTTTCTGGCCTACATCACAATTGTGTTTGTTTATTTGTATGTAACAGAACAGAGTCGCCGAACACAACAGCAGTCGTTTTTAACAAAGACAAAAGTCGCTGAGGATCGGTAAAGTCTCTGGAGCAGTTAAGAACAATGGAATGAATAACTTGGAAAATGCTTTGGTATATGTTTTATTCTTCAAGATCGCTGATTCGCTTGTTCAGCTGTCAATCAAAAAAGGATTTCGCCTCAGACAGCTCATCCAATCATGGATGCAGAAGCTCGGAGTCTGGGAGAAAGTCGGGACCGCCCTCTCGCCATAGAACTCCAGAGAAGCTCAGCGTCCGATGGGCGGGACAAAGCCCAGCATTTATCCAATGAGCGTCTAGTTTCGCTGCTGAAACAACCCACTTTGAGCTTCCACATTGAAGTCAGCAGAAGCCGAGCGTCCGGCTGTGCGAAGCGCTGAGGCGCTGCGAGGATGAATGAGAACGAAGTTGTGCAGAATCAGCTTCTTATCACACTGTGATAAACCTAGTGGAAAAAAGGGCCCCAACAAGCCTGGTGAGGGTTCAAGCATTTGGCCTGCTTTGCTTGTAAACAAAGAGGGTTATAACCCGATAACGAGGGTTAACTCCATGACAAATCCCCTATACTTCCTTGGGTGCCAATCATAGCAAGCTGGAGTTGCTAGCTTTGTTTCTTGGAGCACCAAAATATTTGGGCTGTCACTTGACCTAAGGGTTGGCCTAAGTGTCTGTAGATGGGTCAGTATGTGTTTCAAAATATTCTCATGTGAGGCCTGCTGTTCTGTGATGGTTTTAAGAGTTTTCTCATGAGCCACCTCATCATAAAACTTGGCTGGGTGACTACCACTAGAAATCAAACACTAGAAACACTGGAGACACTGGAAACATTCACACAACCTCTCACTATCTCTGATGGTGAGACAGTGAGTCAGTAATGGGAGCTGGAGCTCAAGAGTATATAAAAGTTTTTTTTCCACACACCAGAATCAGAGAAGCAAAACTGAATCCCTCTGACAACCTCTGCTTTTTGTGTTATTTCACTTTACCAGCTCTCATCTGAAGGCCCTTTTAAAGTTATACTAACTAGGACAGGGGTGTGCTTTTTAGGATATTTTTACAGCTCAGAGTAATCCAAACTTGACAACTGAGAAACAGAACTTGTCAGTGAGCCCAAAACCTTTCAGGGGAATAAAACCTTTTACATTTTTTTCTGCATTATGTTAATTGAGAAAATGTTATTTATGTATTTTAACCTCACATGCTCCAGATTTCCAGATTTGCAGTTCCAGAATAATAAAAACAACAACAGGACAGATGAAGAATTGCCTATGATTAGACTAAATGTCAGCCAGGCATTACACACTGAAAAACATTCAAATTTTTTAAACAGCATTTTTAGTAGGTGCTCCTTAGACCTCCTGATTTCCTCAGCTTTATGGTAGATCCGTACACCAGCTGCTGCTAAAGCTCCCTTTGTTTTTCTCATTTCTCTGCAGTGATTTTAGCACCACACATTCACTCAAACACGTACAAAGAAAAGAGCCTCTAAGTTACTACAGGCACGGACATCTTCATTTAAACTGTTCAACTGGAACAAAAAAGTGTTTAGCTGTATGCTTGGACATGCTTTCTCAGGTTGGATAACGAATCACTCACAAACTTGTAACATTAAGAAGTGTCAAACAAGCAAAAGTTGAGAAAACTTAGTGTTTTGAAACAAGTATCTGACACATGAGCCTGACTCAAGGCAGCCATGTTATGCAGAGACTAGTTTCCTGTACAGAACACACTGATATCACTCTGCTCATTCAGGATATCCTACAAAAGATAAAGAAACACAAACTATAAGACTGGGATACTTTCTCAGACTCTGAGGTCCCTGTGATAGCATCAGTGACTCAGTTTCTTCTCCACTTTCTCTTCTCTAACACCTGTGTGAGTCCAGATGGTGCTAGTGGTATGTTGGTAGTTCCAGTGACCTCTAACAGGAACCAACATGGAGTCCCTGTGGTGGAAAGTTCTGAAGGGAGCTCAGAGGTGTTCACACTGCAGGTAATAAAACAAGAAATAAACTTCTCAGGCTTTCTGTTTATCCTATTCAGTTTCTGTTTGCACATCGCTGAATGCATTACATTTTGTTTTTCTGCACCACCAAGTAAGAATAAGAACAAAAACTGTGTATAAAATTAAGTCCAGTTTACAGATGCCTCCTGACCCACAGATCTGGAGGAAAAACTGAACAGGAAACTGCAGCAGTACTGCTCGATGAAAATGAAAACAGTAAAAGGCTTTGACAAGACAGGTGCAGAAAACTATGATCAGGTACATGAAACCCTAAATTGTGGAGGACCCTAAACGTTTCTGTGGCTGTAGACCTAAAGCCAGAACAATGTAGAGCACGTGGGTCATCATAACCAAACACACCTCATCCCTGAACCCCTGTAGTTTAGTACAGCTTTCACAGACTTTCTCATGAGTTTAAAGGAGACTTTCTTTGGTGTGTTTGCAGGATGTTCTGCAGATGCTTGGGCACAGAGCTGATGCTCCCTGGGGTCTTTATCTGCGGATATGTGCTCAGCAGCTTCTGGAAGCTTGTCTCAACCTCCTGCACTCAGCCTACAGCAGAGGGGAGCTCTACAGGCCCATCTGGATTGGCATGGAGAGTCTGCAGAGAACTCAGGACATCAAGGTATGTGGCACCATCTTGAGTATCATATAGGAGGTTTTAGTAAGGCTTTGGCCCTCATTTATCAGGCTTGCGTACGGCAGAAAACTTGCGTACACCTTGCGTACGACAATTTTGACGAGAGGATCGGCATTTTTCAATCTGCACGTAAGAATAGAATAGAATAGAATAGAATAGAATATTCCTTTATTGATCCCCCATGGGGGAAATTTTTTTGTCACAGCAGCATCACAGACAAGTCAAAAAGTGCAAAAATGCAGTTATAACAATAAGGGTCCTAATATTAAGAACTTAAATAAATGTAATAATTAAGAAAAAAATTAGAAAAGGGAGAAGAAAAAATAAAGCTTTCTACAATATACACAATTTAAATGCCAGAAAAAAAGTGGTAGTGTAAATCCAGTTTTGTTACTGTTCATTGTAAAGTCTTATTGCAGAGGGGAGGAATGATCTGCGGTAGCGCTCCGTCCTGCAAGGTGGGAGTCTCAGTCTGCTGCTGAGGATAGATATAGATAGATAGATAGATAGAGAACTTTATTAATCCCCGAGGGGAAATTCGGTTGTTGTAGTAGCCGATACAAGCAATACAAGAGAAATACAAAAAATAGATAAAATATACAAGACTATACAAGACTAGTCAAGATAATGAATGAATATGAGTACTTAAATAGTATGTGCTAAGATGAATGAATCTGTAAGTGTAGATGTGCAAAGGAGAAATGTGCAAAAGTGATAAAAATATTGTATGATACTTATATGTGCTTAATATAACTTAATTACAACCTAAGCATGTGTACCCGTATTTACAACAACAATGTAGGAATGGCAGGCTAGTCCATGTAAGTGACTGTGGCTCTAACAGGGGTGGATGAGTTAAAGAGTCTTATTGCAGTAGGTAGGAATGACTTCCTGTATCTTTCCTTAGAGCAGCGGGGTTGAATGAGTCTGTTGCTGAAGCTGCTCTTCAACCTGTCCAGTGTGTTGTAGAGGGGGTGGGAGGGATTGTCCATGATTGCCAGCAGCTTTGCCAGCATCCTGTCTTCCACCACCTCTTCCAGGGTGACAAGTTTAGAGCCCACAACAGACTCTGCCCTTCTGATGAGTTTGTTCAGTCTGTTGGCGTCCTTTGCCTTGATGCACGCGCCCCAGGACACCGCAGCAAAGAAGATTGTGCTCGCCACAACAGACTGATAGAACATCTGCAGCATCTTGTTGCAGATGTTAAAGGACCTGAGCCTCCTCAGGAAGTAGAGCCGGCTCAGGCCCTTCTTGTACACCGCCTCTGTGTTTGCGGACCAGTCCAGTTTATTGTCCAGTGTAACACCCAGGTACTTGTAGGTGTCCACCAAATCCACATCTGTCCCACTGATGCGGACAGGAGTGGGCAGGGGCTTGTTCCTCCTAAAATCCACCACCATCTCTCTCGTCTTCGCCACGTTCAGCTGCAGGTGGTTCTCCCCACACCACTTCACAAAGCGGTCGACCAGGTCCCTGTACTCAGCCTCCCTTCCCCCCTCCACACACCCCACAATGGCCGTGTCATCGGAGAACTTCTGCAGGTGACACGACTCAGTGCAGTACTTAAAGTCTGATGTGTATGTGGTGAAGAGGAAGGGGGACAGCACAGTCCCCTGGGGGGCTCCGATGTCACTGATCAGACGACCAGACTCACAGTTCCGTAATCTCACAAACTGCGGCCTGCCCGTCAGATAGTCGTCGACCCAAGTGATGAGGGGAGAACTCACCCGCATGCTCTCCAGTTTGGCCTTCAGCAGTCTGGGCTGGATGGTGTTGAAGGCGCTCGAGAAGTCGAAGAACATGATGCGGACTGAGGTGTTGGGTCTGTCCAGGGAGGCGTAGGCCTTTTGCAGCAGGTAGATGATTGCATCATCAACCCCAACGTGGGGCTGATAAGCAAACTGCAGGGGGTCTTGTGATGTGCGCACCAGCGGTCTGAGGTGTGCCAGGACCAGTCTCTCCAAAACCTTCATGATGTGAGAGGTCAGTGCCACCGGTCTGTAATCCTCCAGTGCAGCAGGACGTCCTTTTTTGGGCACTGGGACCAGGCAGGATGTTTTCCAGAGCACTGGCACTCTCTGAAGGTGTAGGCTCAAGTTGAACAGATACTGAAGAACTCCACAGAGCTCACTGGAACAAGCTTTCAACACACGAGGGCTGATGTGGTCCGGTCCAGCTGCTTTCCTCTGTTTGAGCCTCTCCAGCTCTCTCTTCACCTGGCTGGATGTAATGTGGAGTCCAGACTGGGGGGTGGGGGATATGCTATCGTTCAAGGTGGATGTTGTTGCTGGGTCGTGGAGTGGAGGTGACAGGGGAGGTACAGAGGGGGGAGGGGATTGTCTGCTGTAGGAGGTGGTGGGGAGCTGTGAGTATGTCTGTGGGGCGGGAGGTGTGAAAGAGTCTGTGACGAGTGTCCGCACAGGGGGTGGGGGTGGTGTGGAGCAGGGTGTTGTTGTGGTGGGAGGTGAGGAGTTGTTTGTTGAAGCAGTAGGGGGGCCGCCTGGTGTGGAGTTGAACCTATTAAAAAACATGTTCAAGTCATTGGCACGTCGTTCATCCCCCTCTGCCGCACCCGCACCTCTCCTCTGGAAGCCTGTGATCTCCCTCATCCCCCTCCAGACGTCCCTGGTGTTATTGTCTGCCAGTCTTTGTTCCAGTTTTCTTCTGTAGATGTCCTTGCTCTCCCTGATGCTGTATTTGAGCTCCTTTTGTACCCTCTTAAGTTCTGCTCGGTCCCCTGATCTAAAGGCCTTCAGGTCGCTGGTTATCCACGGTTTGTTGTTTGGATAGCAGCGGACCTCCTTAGTGGGGATGGTGTTATCAATGCAGAACCCGATGTACTCAGAGATACAGTCAGTCATGCCATCTATGTCCTCACCATGTGGCTCATACAGGGCATCCCAGTCCGTGGCCTCCAGCGCTCCACGTAGTGTTTCCATGGCCTCATGAGACCATTTCCTCACTGTCTTCACTGTAACTGGATGCTGCTGAACCACAGGCTTGTATAATGGCGAGAGCAGGACTAGGTTGTGGTCTGACCTGCCCAGTGGTGGCAGGGCAGTGGCACTATACGCATCCTTAACATTTGCGTACAGCAGGTCCAAAGTCTTATTTTCACGAGTAGTGCATGTCACAAACTGGTAGAAGGTTGGGAGTGTGGATGAGAGGGAGACGTGGTTAAAGTCACCTGTGATGATGATGAAAGCCCCAGGGTGTTGTGTCTGTAATCCTGCAGTCACATTGTGAATAGCATCACACGCTGCTTCTGCGTTTCCAGACGGGGGGATATAAGCAGTTATGGCGATAACACTGGTAAATTCCCTCGGCAAATAATATGGACGAAGTCCGACGGCGATGAGCTCGATGTCCGGGCTGCAGATCCGCTCTTTAACCGTAACGTGCCCGGGGTGACACCACCTGTTGTTCACGAGCACGGCGACGCCTCCTCCTTTCTTCTTGCCGGTCGCCGCGGTGTCTCTGTCGGCTCGGACCGTCTGGAAGCCAGGGATGGTGACGTTCGAGTCCGGTATCTGCTCGTGCAGCCACGTTTCCGTAAAACACATGATACTGGACTCTCGGTACTCCCGCTGTGTCCTGGTGAGCGCTTCCAGTTCGTCCACTTTATTCGCCAGTGATCTCACGTTTCCAGTGATGACTGCAGGGATGTAGGGTTTAAACTTCCTCTTCTTCATCCTTCGTTTAAGCCCCGCTCTGCAGCCTCGCCGTCTCCTCTTAAGCTCCTCAGGTATGGAGGGTCTCTCCCCGGCCAAGGGAGTCGCGTATCTGAGGGCCATCAGCTGTTCGCGGGTGTAAACAATGCCAGCGGTGTTGCAGGCATGACTCCCCGTGATCCGGAGAGACATAAGTACCATTAAAAAGAGACCAAGATGTACAATCCTTTGGAAAAAGTATCTTGTCGTAGTGCGTGACGATGATGTGCAGAACTGTATAAAAATTAAGTTAAAAAATAAACAATAAGCGCAATAAAAACACAATAAAACGTTAGAAGTATCCGGAGCTACTACAACAAGCTGCCGCTAGGACGGCGCCATCTTGAGGGAGCTGCCTAAAGCCCCCACAGTCTGGTGCAGTGGGTGAGAGGGATTGTCCATGATGGATACAAGCTTTGTTAACATCCTCCTCTCACCCACCTCCTCCAGGGAGTCCAAAGAACAGTCCAGGACAGAACGGGCCCTCCTGACCAGTCTATTCAGTCTCTTCCTGTCCCTCTCAGTGCTACCCGCCCCCCAGCAGACCACTGCATAGAAAAGTGCAGATGCTACCACAGAGTCATAGAAAGTCCTGAGCAGAGTCCTGCACACTCCAAAAGACCTCAGTCTCCTCAGCAGGTGGAGACGACTTTGGCCCTTTTTGTACAGAACGTCTGTGTTTGTTGACCAGTCCAGTTTGTTGTTGAGGTGAACACCCAGGAATCTGTAGGACTCCACCATCTCGATGTCCAGACCCTGGATGTTCACTGGAACAGTCTGAGGTGTCCTCCTCCTGCGTAAATCCACAACCATCTCCTTTGTCTTACTGGCGTTGAGCTGGAGGTGGTTTGTGCCACACCAGTTGACAAAGTCAGTGATGACAGTCCTGTATTCCCGCTCATCCCCTGACGATCACATCCGACGATGGCTGTGTCATCAGAGAACTTCTGGAGGTGACAGCTCCCAGAGTTGTAGCTGAAGTCCGAGGTGTACAGGGTGAAGAGGAAGGGGGAGAGCACTGTCCCCTGTGGAGCCCCCGTGCTGCAGACCACCATGTCCGATACACAGTTCTGAAGCCTCACAAACTGTGGTCTGTCGGTGAGGTAGTCCACGGTCCATGCGGCTAGGTGACAGTCCACTCCCGCCTGCTCGAGCTTCCCCCTGAGCAGTGAAGGCTGGATGGTGTTGGACGCACTGGAGAAGTCAAAAAACATGACCCTCACAGTGCTGCCGGTATTATCCAAGTGGGCCATGGTCCTCTGCAGCAGGTAGATGACTGCGTCATCCACCCCGATGTTCGGCTGGTACGCAAACTGCAGAGGATCCAGATGAGAGCTCACCAGGGGGCGGAGGTTCCTCAGCACGATACGCTACGACCAAATCTCACGACAGGTCTGACATTGTGTACGCAAATTTGAGTCACTGTGGATCTGCGGTGCAGCAAATGTCTGTCTCAAAATCATTGATATACAAACCTCAAACCTGTCATTAAGCACAATCAGCCAGATTTCATTAAAGATTAAGACGTAAATAAAATAAAATGCCACAGAGCAGGAGCGCCGTTTCAACATTACGCACACGCGCCATGTGGAGCGCTGCGTTTGACTCCTAAAAGGCAGGTGTCTCTATCTTGGTCCAGCAGCGGGGACATTGTTGTACACTCCTGAAAGGGTGTGGGACATCATTTGAGCCAGTACAGTTTTGCACAATGTTACACTGGCGAATGGAGTGCCGTTGGCTGTGCCGGTGCAACGTGAGGACCTGATGCCCGAACAATAACAAGGAGAGACTCCACAAAGGTGCTGTACAGAGGAGACAGGACCTTATCGATGGATTCTGATGTAAAATATAAGTTTAGAAAGTGCTCTTGCTGTTTAATCAGTGATAAAAATCCAATAGAAATCCATAAAAATGTGCCTCAGGGGCAGCAACACACCGTTTGGTGACGTTAATAATTATTTTTGGTCAGCCTCTGTCAGACTCTCCAGTCTGCTTTACATTACAAAGACGCAGCAAATTAAAATTAAATACTTTCAGTAATAGGAGCAACGTACCCTGTTTCATGGCAATAAAAAATATGAGGCATGTATGAGAATAATTAATAAATAATTTATCATCATGAGCAATTTATTGACTAATGATTTATTCAAACTTCAGCCACTGTCCACTATTCAAGCGGACAGGAGTATTTTGGACTGCTTTTAGACCAGTTTTGATGCTTCCAAAGAGAAAATCCTTGTTAGTTTCCACCACAGATGTGAGGATATCCACTTTCAGCTCGAAAAAGTTTCACATCTTTCTACTATTTCTACTCTTTCATGTTTGACCTCGGTGGCCGAGGCTTCTGAACCACGAATATTTAAGGGCGTAAACATGTTAATGATGATCGATTTCAGACGCCGCATTTATCAAGACCGGAACATACGTATGCTGGGATTGGTCAGATACGAACCCTTTCATAAATCTCACGGGTGTCCTATCGTATGATGAATCCTGCGCTCAGATCTGCGCAAGATTGATAAATGAGGGCCTTTGTGTTTGTGCAGCTCTTGCTCCACAAAGTACAGTCATATTAACCCTCTGTTATAACCTTCTCTCTCTCACTCTCTTTCTCTCAGGAGTTTGCATCCACAGTAGAGAGGCTCTTCCCTTATGTCACTCTGGTCTTTAAAGAACTGAACTGGCCCCCTTCAGCCCCACAGACAGTGACAGGCTTATCTTTATCTCAGAGGCCGGCTCTACATCTGAACACTGCAGCACTGCCAAAAGGACAAGAGACCCTGAGCTTTGTGGTGGACCTCATGGACAGATATGACCTTATAGTGGAAGACGACAAAATAAACAGTGCTGGAGTTTTAGCAGACTTGAAACAACTTATAACCCAGGGCAAAAGGAGAGCTAACACAAACATCTACATACTCAACAACCAACCTTAACCCTTCAACATGATCCCTTTCAAACTTCACGCTGCTGCTGCTGCTAGTGTAAAAATCTCAGCTTATCTTTGTATGATGGTCCAAAATCAGTATGCTATCTCATTAAGTCAAATTATGGGTGAAATTCAACAGACACTGGAAAATAACAGCTTTAAATCACGTAGAGAGGCTGATTTAAGATGGCGTTTGGTGGGGTCTCTTCAGTTTTTTCACAGCTGATTATTAATCAGTGACCCTGGCCCTCAAACTTAACTGGACTATCTGGATTTACAGTCTGAAACACACATTATAGCATCTAATCAGACCCTGGCTTTTATTCTTAAGTAGTTCATTTTAACTTAATACTAGTTTATCATTCTATTAGGAAGATGGGGAGGAAAAAAAACTTTCTAAATTTTCTGAGCTGATTTGCCCTAAAGCAGGGGTCATTAGACAGCAGTAGGGGTAAGGGTTATGACTTAGACCCCATTAAAAACCATATTTGGATCAGAATAGTTTTGAGAGTTAGGGATCTGGTGAGCAAGAGTGAGATTATGCAGGCTGATGGTTTAAGTGAAATGTGCGAACGGCCTTCAGACACAAGGAAAAGAAGCATTCTGTCAGAAGAAAAGGAGAAATTTCTCCTAAGGAAAGTTAAACCCACTCTATGAGGTAGTATGTACTGTACCTACAGACTGTTTTGAGGATTCCCACTTGGCTGTATTAAAGAGACGGTGCACATATGTTGGGAGGATTATTAGTATATGAGCAGTGTCATGATATGGTCTGTTTACTTAGTTTTCTCCTGGGGCCTTATTTATCAATCGTGCATAGAAAAGGTTCTATATTCTTGCGTAGGAGTGAAATTTAGAATATGCATAAGTAAAAAAAAAATCTGTATTTATCGGCCCAATTCCAAACTCCACCCTAAGCCCTCAAGCCCTGCACCCTCATTAGCTTAAGTTAAGTCAGCTGGTAAGTGCTTGAGTGTGGGAGGGTTCAAGGGCTCCAAAAGGGTATAAAAGCAATGGAACAGCCCTCTGTGATGTCCCAAGTTACCTTGACGACAGACGACAACGTTGCCGTGACAACCAAAGATGCGACTGACACTTGCCTCTCTGGGCCTCTTAATTCTCCATTTATTTTGCGGCCAGCGACGTCGCAGAAGAAAGGCCAACATTGTTCCGCTCCTTTTGCACACACTTGCTCTTGAACATGGACAACAGGTAATTGGTAAATAATGATTAGATTGATAAATTATAAAACCAGCATTAATGATAGGTTAAGTGATATTGAATGGTTAAAAGGTTGAAGCACTAGATTCTGAAAGTAATCACTGCTTTAGAGTGTTAGTTCAGTATAAGATGTATTGATTCAGATAAAAGTTTGAAGTAAAAATCAATTGTCTTTGTTATAAGAATAACGCATGCGTGTGTGTATATATGTATGTATATATATATATATATATATATATATATATATATATATATACATAATCTTATATCTATGTTAATGTAGTGCATTCTTGTTCATTTTGGCATTCCAGCGCCCACCATACACGATGCAGAACATCCATGATAGTGATTGTGGTAATGCAAGTAACAGACAATATGATCATTATAACTTTAACACTTTTGAACATACTGACTATAAATTAAATGAGATTGGACATGATATTGACCCGGAAAATAACTTTTACAATTCTATAAGTAATAACTGCCAGTACTACACTGTGTGCACAATTATTAGGCAAGTTGTATTTTTGAGGATGAATTTTATTTTTGAACAACTGCAGTGCTCTCGGTCAATCCAAAATGTTAATAAACCTCAAACCTTAATATTTAAGGGAGTAAAAGTGAGATTTTGGCTTCCTTAGGAGAATATCTATGTGTGCACAATTATTGGGGGCAGCTATTAGTGTGCAGAATTATTATGCAACTAAATCAAAAATGAAAAATTTTCCATCTCACTTGTTTATTTTCACTTGTTCAAGTGTGAATGATAAACAAACAACTCAATTTACAAATAAAAATTGTTGAAATTAAAAAAAAAAAATCAGTGACCAATGTAACTACCCTTCTTTTCAATAACAGTCATAAGCCTTCCATTCATGGAGTCTTTCAGTTTCTTGATCTGTTGACGATCAACTTTTTGTGTTGCAGCAACCAAAGCCTCCCAGACACTGTTCAGAGAGGTGTACTGTCTTCCTTCACTGTAAATTTCACGTTTAAGAGGGGCTCACAAGTTCTCAACAGGGTTTAGGTCAGGTGAAGAAGGAGGCCATGTCATTATTTTTTCATTTTTAAGGCCTTTACTGGCGAGCCACATAGTGGAGTACTTTGTTGCATGCAATGGAGCATTGTCCTGCATAAAAATCATGGTTTTCTTGAAAGATGCAGACTTTTGCCTGTACCACTGCTTGAAGAAAGTGTCTTCTAAAAACTGGCACTAGGTTTGGGAGTTGATTTTAAGACCATCTTCAACTCGAAAGGTCCAGCTAGCTCATCTTTAATAAAACCAGCCCATACCAGTACCCCGCCTCAACCTTGCTGGTGTCTGATTCGAAGTGGAGCTCTGTGCCCATTACTGATCCAGCCACGGGTCCATCCATCTGGTCCGTCAAGAGTCACTCTCATCCCATCAGTCCATAAAACCTTTGAAAAATCTCTCTTCAGATATTTCTTGGCCCAGTCTTGACGTTTCAACTTGTGTCTTGTTCAGTGGTGGTCAGATTTCAGCCTTCCTTACCTTGGCCATGTCTCTGAGTACTGATCATCTTGTACTTCTGGGCACTCCAGGTAGGTTGCAGTTCTGGAATATGACAGCACCGGAGGATAAGCGGTTCCTGGTAGCTTTACGTTTGAGTCTTCTCAAATCTTTGGCAGTTAATTTGCGTCTTTTTTTCTTAACACATTTCTTGCGACCCTGTTGACTATTTGCATCAAAATGTTTGCTGGTTCTGTGATCACGCCCAAATATCTAAGCAATTTCAAGAGTGCTGCATCCCTCTGAAAGACTTTTTACAATTTTTGACTTTTCAGAGTCATTTAAATCTCTTTTTTGGCCCATTTTACCTGAGGAAATGAAGCTGCCTAGTAATTATGCACACCTTGATATAGGGTTTTGATCTCCTTAGGCCCCAGCCTCCCTCATTACACTAATACACATTACCTGATATGCTTATATCCAATAAAGATTCAAGTTTATACAGCTTGGAGTTGGAAAATATGAATAAAAATGATGATATGATCAAAATACTCACTTGCCTAATAATTGTGCACACAGTGTACACAGAGGAACGATATACACATGTTCATATGACGGATACATTCTCAATTATTCATTTTAATAGCAGGAGTTTGAACAAAAATATTAGTAAAATAAAGAGTGTACTGGCCAAGTATAAAAAAATCACCGTCATAGCAGTCTCTGAGACCTGGCTTAACAAAGAAAATTGCCAAAATGTTGATCTTGTGGGGTATGATTTGTTTACATTGAACAGGAACAACAAAACAGGAGGGGGTGTAGCACTGTATGTAGACACTAGCCTGAGATGTAATGTGGTGAAGAACATGACAACTAATGTGGGAAACATTTTTGAATGTCTCACAGTAGAAATAGCTCTTGATAAGACGAGAATTATGGTCATAAGCTGCATGTATAGAACACCAGGATCGTGCCTTGACACATTCAATTGCACCTTAGAAAATATACTTGGGAAACTCAAAAACAAGATGCACTGCATATGCGGTGACTTTAATGCAGACCTCTTAAACGCACAGGGCAATAGAAAGATAAACTCTTTCCTAGACACCATGTATGCGAACGGTCTATTCCCTGTTGTCACCAAGCCAACCAGAATAACCACCAAGTCAGCCACCTTGATTGATAATATATTTACAAACATAATCGAAAACAAAATAACAGCTGGGCTTTTGATAAATGACACCAGTGACCATCCTCCTATTTTTGTTAACCTCCACAATCTACTCAAAACCCAAATCAATACCAAAAATAACATCTGCATGCTTACCCGCCACAGAACACCAGAGGCTATCGCTGCTCTCAATGAAGACCTTACCAGACAGACATGGGACGAGGTCTACAAAACAGTTGATCCTAATAAATGTTATGAGGCTTTTCTGAAAATAATACTCGAACTCTACAATAAGTACTGCCCACTTAAAAAATCCCATAGCACACACCAGCACAAGAATGAGAAACCGTGGATAACCAAAGGATTAGAGAATGCGTGCAAAAAGAAAAACACACTGTATAAATTATTCATAAAGCATAGAACAAAGGAAACAGAAAAACAATATAAGGTATATAAGAACAAACTAGTAAATATTATAAGAACAAGCAAAAAGGACAACTATCAAAATCAATTAGAACAACACAAAGGGAACATCCAAGCAACATGGAAAACATTAAATAGTATCATAAAAAAAGGTAAGGGCACTGGTGCGCTTCCAAACTATTTCATAAAAGACACACTAACCATCCAAAATTCCAGAGACATAGCCAATGAATTCAACAACTTTTTTGTCAATGTAGGACCTAGCCTGGCCAATGAAATTGAAGAGCCGGGAGACGCGGAGGACCTACAGGAAAACTTAGTGAAGCACAACCCACATTCATTTTTCAGCAGGAGAGTTGAGGAACAAGAAATACTGGCTATTGTTAGAAATCTCAAAAACAAAAAATTTACCGATAGTACAAACATAGACATGATACTAATTAAAAACATTATACTATCCATAGTTGCACCATTCACCTACATATGTAATCAATCATTTCTTACAGGCATATTCCCAAATAAAATGAAGACTGCTAAAGTTATTCCGATCTACAAAGCTGACGACAGGAATCAATGTACCAACTATAGACTGATCTCGCTTCTCTCCCAGTTTTCTAAAATCTTAGAAAAACTATTTGTTGCTAGGCTTGACCACTTTATTGAAAAACACCAACTACTTAGTAACCATCAATATGGTTTTAGGTCAAATAGGTCCACTGTGATGGCCGTGACTGAACTTGTGGAAGCGATTTCTACTGGCATTGAAAACAGGAAATACACCGTGGGGGTCTTTATTGACCTTAAAAAAGCATTTGACACCATAGACCACGCAATACTAATAAAAAAGATGGATAGATATGGTATCCGAGGAGTCTCAAATAAATGGCTTGCTAGTTACCTGCAGAACAGAACACAGTATGTACATGTGGATGGTGTTGACTCTGACCCACTGCGCATTACACATGGAGTCCCCCAGGGTTCAGTATTAGGTCCTTAGCTGTTCATAATATACATAAATGACATAGGTGAAGCCTTGACAAAGCTCAAGCACGTCCTCTTTGCTGACGACACCAGCTTATATAGCTCAGGACGAGATCTTGGACAGATTCTGAGTACAGTGGAGGATGAGTTAAAAGTACTTAAAAAATTATTTGATGTAAATAAACTATCGTTAAATCTTAGTAAAACAAAATATATACTCTTCTGCAACAGGAAAATGGAAACACCAGTAAAATTAACAATTCAAGATGTTGAAATTGAACGGGTAAATGAACTCAAATTCCTGGGAGTTATCATAGATAATGAACTCGGCTGGAAATCACACATAGCCAATATCAAGACAAAAATATCCAAAACAATTGCAATACTATAAAAATTGAAACCCCTTGTTAATAATAACTCACTTTACTTATTGTACTGTTCTCTTGTGCTCCCATATCTAACATACTGTGTTGAGATATGGGAACACACATACAAGACCATCTTAAATCCACTTTTCCTGATGCAGAGGAAAGCCACTCGTATTATACATAAAACAGACCATCTAGCACCCACAAACCCACTCTTTATCAATAAACAGTTGCTGAAACTTGAAGATTTGGCAAGCCTAAACACAGCTCTTATAATGTATAAGGCAAACCATAAACAACTTCCCCATTGCATGCTGGAGCTGTTTACAGAACGTGAGTTGCAGTACGAACTCAGGGGGACTGGCGTTTTCAGTAGATCAAATGTAAGGACAGACACAAAAGCAAGATGCCTGTCGACCAGAGGAGTATGGTTGTGGAATAACCTTAAAGAAGATTTAAAAATGTGTCCCACAGTCTCAAAATTTAAGAAAATGTTTAAACGCAAAGTAATGGACAAGTATAAAACACTATAACAGTACAGTACAGTACCTAACAAATAAACAAAAAACCTAAACCGTATCCTATATCTCTAAATATCTCCCCTTCCCTCTTCTGTTTCCCTTGTTGATGTTCTGTACTCAGTTTGTATCCTTAAATGGGTTAGCAGATGTCTTACAGCACAACATGAAACCATATGTCATACTATCCATTCGTTCTTTATTTTTTAGTTTTTTTTGGTCTTTCCTTTTGTCTTTCATTTAAATGGGGTAGGCGTAATACGCTTTTAGCATCAGCCTATACCCTTTCGGCCTAACAGTTTGACTACTGAAACAAATGTAATTGAAATGTCACTGAATGGAATATACCTTGTTTCAAAGCTGAAATAAACTATAACTATAACTATATATACCTGGATCCTGAATGTAGCATGAAGCCTGAGTTCAGGCTCTCCAGGCAGGCCTTCACTAGTCTGCTCAGAGTACTCCATCAAGAGCGAGACCATGGCTGGGGCCAGCACTTGGAAATCCTAATGTTCACCTACTGGCTAGCACATGGGTTGTCTTATAAAGGTCACTGCAGACGCCTTTGACATCCCCAAAACCACGGTTTTTAGAGCAATCCACAAAACAGCCAAAGCCTAATGTCCAATCATTATACCCACCACCTGGTTTTTTTATTTTGGGAGACGCTGGCTACCCCTGTATGGACCATCCCATCACCATGATCGTGCCATTCAAAAAGCCATTTGATGGGCCAATGCAGGAGCGGTTTAATAAAATGCATGGCAGGGCTCGATGCGTGGTTGAACGTGCCTTTGGGCAAATGAAGACACGCTGGCGGGCCACCTTCCTCAAGGCCCTGGAGGTCCAACCAGCCTTTGTCTCCGAGGTTGCCTTGGCATGCAGGTTCTTACACAACATCTGCCTGGACAACGGAGATGTTCCAGATGAGGAGGATGAAGAGGAGCAACGTGAAGACGAAGAGGAACCGGACGAGCCTGGTCTCCCTCCACTTGACCCAGGGGGCAGAGAGAGCAGTGGTAACTGTTAGAATAATGTGCATAAATGTATATAGAAGTTATCATTTTTACTCATATTCTTATGTAAGAGTTTACTACAAGTATGAACTGTTTTGACCTCTTGTTACACATTATACAAGAGTGTTTTCTAACTTCTCTCTCCAATAGCTTTATTACACAGCACGAGTGGTTCTTCATTTTTTCTGACCTCATTTCTCCTATCAGCAGGTGTGTGTGTGTTTGTGTGATGTATCCTCCACTGTGAATCATGGGAAGTAATGAGGAGGATCCGCTCCTATCAGGAGGAACTCGTTTGATGCAACAATGTCGCCTTGACCCTCACATATTCTCAGTTGTTCATTATTCTGTTTTATGAGAGTGCTTACGTTGCTGCACATATTTTTCCCCCATCCTTTAGAAACATTGTGTAACCAGGGACAACCCTTAATAAAGAGACTGGGCGGAAATACCTTCAGAGTGGTTTTGACATTGTACCTGATACTATCTCTGTCCATTCTCCTCGAGTATATACCATTGTCTTTCTCTTCTTTATATGTTATCAGGTATTTGGGCAGGTTTTAGACCCAACAGTAACCAAATCAGAGACCTCCTGTGTCAACACTTATCTGCACCCCAGCAGTTACACACCGTTTTGACTGACCATGATTATGCAAATATCTGATCGTTTCCTTTTTGTTTATTTAACAGCGCAACCACAAATATCATTTACCTTTTAAAATGAAGTACATCAGTTACATTTGGACAAATTCATGTTGTGGAAATAAAGCTAAAAAAAATGCACTTACTGCCCTCTGTAATTTATTTGTGATGGATAGGCAAGCCACAGACTCAGGACTGACCTTCAACCACATTTCCTAACCCACATGTCCATTAGAACAAATATTAAACATTCATACAAGACATAACACAGCAATTGTATGAATGTTCTTTAATTTCAAAGACGACAAAAGAAAAAGACAAGTCTACACACAATAACTACTTTGAATTCTCAGCCAATTTGGCCAAAATTCCAACAAGTTGATCGAGCTGCTTCTCCTTACGGTCTTCTCTCTCCTCTTCCTTTTTATCCAGCTCCCTCTGCTTCTTGTCCTGCCTTTCTGTATAATCCTGGATGTGTTCTAGAACCTCATTCCTTTTTCTTTTGGAGGATCCAGGTGTTGGGGTGCTCGATGTTCCTGGGGCTGTGGCTGGTGGGGGATCAGATGTAGCAGGGAATCCTGAGCAACAGCCTGATGAGGTATGGGGAGTCTCCTCATCAGGCTGTTGCTCAGGATTCCCTGCTACATCCCCTGCGGTAGAGATCAGGTTCAGTGGTTTCACTGAGTCCTTGTCCCCCAACGCCTTGTGCATTAATTGAAAGTATGGCCAGGTGCCAGGCGTCGTCTCCCCAGCCTCTGTCCCTGACCCAGTCCGGGGTAATATCAGGTCCTGTGTGTGAGAGTACAAGGGACACCACATTACATCTTTACATTGATAAACTTAATTATACTCATAGAACTGCCATTCATGAAGATTTACCAGTGTAAAATAAACCACCCATGTCCACAAATCCAGGTGATCCCCAGGGGCCAAATCACCAAATACAATTGATTTACCCTGTATTTTTTTTTAGGTTCTCCCACTTTTTGGAGGCCTGAGCGGTGGTCACCAACCCCATCTCCTTTAGGATCAAACTGATGAGAAAAGAAATTGTGGACCCACTACAGCATATAGACACATACATATACCCTATAAACGCGCACACACACACACACACACACACACACACACACACACACACACACACACACACACACACACACACACTTTTAAGATCTAGCTTGACTTTTACAATAGATAGAAGGATGACAAATCAAGGGTCACTCATTCACACACAAACACAAGTTTGCTGATAAAAATGTCTAACTTACTCAAATCCTTCAGCAGCTGAGCCCCTGTCCCCTGTAAAAAGGTGGTCATGCGTAGCTCGATAAAGCGCACAGTTTGTGCTTCGGTCCCTGTTTGTGCACAAAACTATATTATAATCAGATTGGATCTGATACAAATAAAATTAATAGAATAGTCAATTTAGCACAGGACATCTAATAAAATTTGTGGTAATACTTAGTAGTATAGTACGTTTTACTTACATATGAACTGCTTCTTCTTGAGCTTCTTCGCCATGATCTCCGTCATTTTTGGTGTCTGTTGCGGACGATGAGACGCTTGTGGCCTCGTTCCCTTTTAAATCCTGGCCCCGGCAGCGTCGGCGTACTCCTGTAACGCCCACAACGCAATGAATTGTGGGCAATTTCTTAGCCAAAGTCTCCAACGGTACGGACTTACGGAAAGGGTGCAGAAAGCGGCATCCCCGAGCCCTCGCTGACTTACCAATTTCATTTGGAACAACCATAGACTGTATATAAGATGGACAACTTGGATCTGCCTTCCAACTGTATACGGATTTGAAGCCAAAAAGCTCTCGGTAATTCCGGGTTTTTCTCCACTTCCTTGAAACCAGAGCTGCGCGCGTTCGGCCGCGCAGTCGCCGAGAGTCCCTGTGATGACGCTCGGCTCAAACAGCGTATCCCCCTGGGAGAGCTACGCAATCCCTTAACGCCCATAGGCTGTACCAGGTGTCAATCATAGAAAATATGAATCCCCTAATAACTTTTAAAAACAGAGCTGTACAGAAAAAAAAGGACTTGGGCACAAAACAGTCTTACAATAACTACATGTCAACATCACAAGCAGGGGGGAGAAAAATGTATGTTCTGTGTAATAAATTTCAAAAGTTTGTCCACAGTCCCATAAGCTTTGCTGGCGGAGGCGGGATTTATGGCCTGTACTGGTCGAAGGTCGAAGAAGAGGAATTTCTCGGACGCTGAGCTCGAGGTACTGGTTGGAGAGGTAGAAACTAACCGAAAAATTTTATTTGGAACATTGAACGCAGGAGTTACAAACAGAAGAAAATATGCCACCTGGGAGAAAGCGACGGCTGCTGTGAACACTGATGGGTCGGAGGCAAGATCACTTTCCGAAATAAAAAAGAAATGTTTTGATGTTAAAATCAGAGCCAAAAAACAAGTTACAGCCCACAGACAGGAAATATCTATGACCGGAGGAGGACAAATGACTGCTCAACTTTCACCACTGGACACCCGCATTGCCAGCATAATCGGAAACACATCATTAATTGGAATCATACCTGACAGAGACACAGCTACTCCCCCAACAGCTGTACCATCGGCCAGTCACACAGCAGGTAAAATAAAAAGCTGGACTGAGGTGTTTCATAAACATTTATTTAGACAGAATTGAAATGAATGTGACAATCATGCGATGTTTCTTCAGTAACTCAGAAACTCAAGCCAGCCCCCCTGCCCTCAGGAGTCGGAGGCGGTGGAAGAGCCGGGGGAGTCGGAGGAACAGGAGCAGCCGGTGCCATCCAGTACCCATTCGGTGCATCCTGGGGGACCGAGGGTTCTGACGGAGGCAGTGCTAAAAAAATCAACAAGACACCATGAAAGCAATGATTGAAATAAAGGATCAGCTAACCAACATAGCAAATACTTTGCTGCAAATTAAGGAGTCACTTAAACAGATCGCTGCATGCGCCTCACAAATGTTGACCAAATAAACTTTGAAATGTTGAAATTATTTGTCCATCGTATGCTTTCGATCTGAAATTTCTGTTTTCAAAGATCGCTTAACGGGCAAACTTACCTAAAATCTCTGAATAATTCTCTCTCTTGTTTAAATGGCAGCGGCTTTAGGGGGTGGGAAAGGCTCTGCGTACGGCATGGGTTCATCTGCTCGGGGGTGTTCCTGCAAAGGGACACCTTGTCTGATGGCGACATTATGCAGCACACAGCAAGCCAAGACAGTCCTATTGCGCATTCAACTGCCGTTCTTGAGCGCGCATGGGCCCGGTTGTAATGCTGCTCCTGCGGGGTTCTTGGGTTGGCTACGGGGGTCATCAGCCACGGCTTTAATGGATATCCACGATCACCTACAGAGATATTATAGTAAACCATACGCAGCCCAGAAAATAATTTAGAAATGTTGTAACACTCATCAATAAGCCAGCCATCGTCAACAGCTCCTGCTTGGAGGTGCACACCCACAGAGCTGATTTGTAGAATAAATGAGTTGTGCGTTCCTCCAGGCCACCGGGCAACAACGTTGAACAGATACATATGTGCATCGCAGATTATTTGAGCATTGACTGAATGAAATCCTTTCCTGTTGACAAAACTGAATTCATTGTGTGAAGGTGCTTTTATTGCGATGTGAGTGCAGTCTATGGCTCAAATTATGTTTGCATTTGGTTCTCCAAGTCCTCCAATAGCGCAAGATAAGCCATGATAATTGTATTTTCATTCTTGTCAGACTTCTTTTGAGGTTGTCCTGTCACAGCTGTCTTTTATAGCTTGTCACATCAATTATTCAAAATGTCTGCTAAATAACTAATTGATAAATTTCATTAATAAGAGGCAACGGGGAACATGTGTGAAGTTTGAGATTGCTGAACGCTGTGTCTCCTTTATTGGGCTCTACACTGTGTGCACAATTATTAGGCAAGTGAGTATTTTGATCATATCATCATTTTTATGCATATTTTCCAACTCCAAGCTGTATAAACTTGAATGCTTATTGGATATAAGCATATCAGGTAATGTGTATTAGTGTATTGAGGGAGGCTGGGGCCTAAGGAGATCAAAACCCTATATCAAGGTGTGCATAATTATTAGGCAGCTTCTTTTCCTCAGGTAAAATGGGCCAAAAAAGAGATTTAAATGACTCTGAAAAGTCAAAAATTGTAAAAAGTCTTTCAGAGAGATGCAGCACTCTTGAAATTGCTTAGATATTTGGGCGCAATCACAGAATCAGCAAACATTTTGATGCAAATAGTCAACAGGGTCGCAAGAAATGTGTTAAGAAAAAAAGATGCAAATTAACTGCCAAAGATTTGAGAAGACTCAAATGTAAAGCTACCAGGAATCGCTTATCCTCCGGTGCTGTCATATTCCAGAACTGCAACCTACCTGGAGTGCCCAGAAGTACAAGGTGTTCAGTGCTCAGAGACATGGCCAAGGTAAGGAAGGCTGAAATCTGACCACCACTGAACAAGACACAAGTTGAGTTTGTCGAGGTCGAAAAGGTTTTGGAGGCCTGGTTAACCACTCATTTGGAGGCTTATCGGAGCCTGAAAAAACACAGTCTGAAGCTTTGTTCAGCGCCATGGGCAGTGATTTTGTCTCCATAGCCAAGAGGGTAATGGGCTCTGCTTTCTTAGCCAAAGTTTGTCGTTGTTTGGCAAAACCTTTTACAGCAAGTTCACGAAGCTGTCGGCTAGTCAAAGTGTTTGGACAAGCTAAAACGCCAAGGTGATGACTGGTGGTAGGGTGGAGGTTCTGGACGAACAGCGTTTTGAAGTTCAAGTCCTCCTCCTTTTCTGGTTCATTTCGGAAACCAAAGTAAGCTTCGCGTAAGCGGTTGTAATATTGTTGGGGAGATTCTGATCTCCCTTGTTTGATAGACAGAGCAGCAGAAAGGCCTGTCTGGGTCAAATGATCAGAAAACTCTTCATTTAATGCTTGGCAGAGCAAGTCATAATTATTTCTGACATGATAAGGCTGTCGTTCAAGGAAACTGCTAACCTCTCGACTTGACGTCGCCTTAAGGTAGATTTTGTCATCAATGGTTGCACCTGGAAATTCTCGCAGGTAAAAGTCAATGTCTTTCAAGTAGGTGCAGGTGTCAGTAGCACCTTGGTGCTCAGGTTCAAAACGTGCTATGTTGCGAGCAATTTTGTCAAGATCCCTGTCTGAGGGAAATGGTAAGAAGCCATCATGAGGAGGAGAGTAGGACCGTTGGTTTAAGGATGACCTCTCAGGGTCAAGCAGGGTCCTGTCATGATGCTGAGAAAGATACTTAAGAGTTGGTTTGGAAGGAAGTGATGGCGTTCTCTCAGGAGGCTGATCACCTATCATTTCTTCAAGAAAAGTTTGCTCCATGCGTTCTCTTTGGGCTCGACCTGACTGGAGGGAGCATTGTAACTCTCTTTGGGCATCTTCAAGTTCTTCGTCTGTCTTTCCTTGCTGTTCTTGACAAAGAATTAACTGTCTTTGAGCTATCTGGAGCTGGTGCTGTAAGGTAGAAGTTTGTTTCTCCTTAACTTCAAGAGCTTCAGCATGCACTTTGACCAGTGCTTTCAAAGCTTTTACATCTTCTGTTGCTTGCTCTAGCAGGGATTCTGACTGTATCAGATCCTCTGTGGTCTTAGCAAGCTGCTTATTGGCTTTGTCAAGTTCTTTCTCTTTTTGGTTAAGAGTTTTATCAAGTCTTTCAATCTTGTCTTTGAGATCAAGATTTTCTTCATGACTTACCAGTGAGGGAAGCTTTGACGCTTCACAACTGGCACTGTGTTTTTCTAAAACACTTAGAGAGACTTCTTAGTCTCTTCTAGCGTCTTTTTCAGTGCGCTGTTTTCTTCTTTTTGCGCCTTTATCTTTGCTAAAGCGCATTCCAGCAAGTAGTCTTTATACTCAAGCTGAGAAGACATCACGACAGACATGCGTCTAGTGAGCTCTTTGTCACGAAGTGTCGTGGTAAGGCTGTTTCCAGTAGGTCGGCCATTGCATCCTCCGGATTGGAGGGTTTGGCCTTTTGAATCTTAGTCATGTACTGAGGTATCAGCTGACTAGTTAAGTTTGCCAACACTGTGTGTATGTCCCTCAGGGGGTCTCCCTGGCTGGACTCTTTTGTGTTAGGCATGTTTGGTTTTGGTAACGAGGTGCAGGTGGTTGGTTGATGAGTTTGAGTTGACTTAAAATGAAAGGAAGAAGCAGAATATCAAATTAAGTGGGTTAATCAACTTAATTTATCAGTGCTTGATAAAGAGGGAGAGCCTATCTGAGTAGATATCTAATGGAGAGAAAACTAACATATAGTTAAATTCATTTCAATGAAAATTGAAATAAAACAAGGTGAAATAATGTTAAATTAAATTTAACATCATGTACAGAACCATTGAATAAAGGGTTCAATTTGTCTCTGTGTTGCAGAGATCAGCAAAGCTTAAATAAACTGCTTGATGCAGTTGGATGAATTTGAAAAATCAATGAAATTGTCAATTTAAGGAATTAACTCTGAAGTTAATTCACAAATTGCAATAAATCCAAAGGTTCAAA